GATCTGGATTCAGAGGGAGAGCTTCGAGCTGTAAGCTGCCATTTACTCCGACGATCGTCTTAAAATAAATGCTAATCACACTGTTCAGATGTGGCGCCCCAGTGGCCATCCGGGATTCTGGTACTTCGGCGGAAACCTCGCCTTATGCCGGATCTACTCTAAGTTTCTCGCACTCCAAATCAAGGCTGTCGAGTCTGGAATATCAAACGGTGTACGACAGTAGATGGGGAGAGGGCCTTTGTGATTGTTCAAATTGCATTTCATGTGTAATCAAAGAAATATTGCAACTTTGATACTGCAATTTGACACATTAATATTATCTATTCCGATAGATGAATAAACTCCGACGATGCGTCATACCCCAAATGGCGTGTCGCACCACAGTAGCCTCTCAGCTTCCAGCTCCTCCTCATATGTATCTCCCGTGAATGCATCACTAATGACAGCTTGTATTTCTCGGGGCGGCTGCGCATCATAAAAAAGCTTTGTAAAATCCCAATATTCAGGATAGAAGCCGGCAATTCCCAGTCCACAATTGCAGACACGCGCCCAAGGTCAATAAGAATATTGCTGGGACTCAGGTCCGCATGGGTGAAGACAGACCGGTACGGACGCGCGTGGACAGCCGCAATATTTTCCCTTGTCGCATTGAGCTCGTATTTATGGATGAGGAAGGAATTGAATTCAACAGTCTGGTAAAACGGACCACATATGCCGGAGGAGAAACAATAATCAAACAGTGGGCCACCAAGAGTGCCTCCAAAGCAGTACGGGGTCTGCAGCTCGGATGTTTTAGCAGGGGTCAAAAATGCCTGCAGAAGAGGATAAAGAGAGCCCTATAGTAGTTTGGCAATTTAGTTAGATTTCTGTTTCTCGGTCTGGGCTCAAAATTTCCCAATAAGCACCTACCTCCGGATCCATGTCGCTGTCATTGAAAAGGTTCAATGGGATCACCCAGACATGATCGAACCGAACGGATACATTGGGGTCCGATGGTCTCTGGTCTAGCATAAGACAGTGTGAATTGCCTCGAGCTTCAACGAGTGTTTGTGCTTGAGATGAGACTGAGTCTCGTCTGGTGACTGCTCTTATGCTTAGCGGAGATATGGAGGCCATCGGGCATTCTGGGGAGGCTGGTTTTCGACTAACACTTCGTAACCAGTCGCTTCCATTCAATTTTTGACTCATCCAGGACTTCCTCCGGAGAACAAGCAGGGCGATCATGAATCCTTTCCCAGATATAGCAAGCAGCATATTCTGGATCAACGGCCTCATCTAAAAATGCTCTCCAGATCTCGTGCTCGGTGAGTGTGAGCTGGGCAGATTCAATGAGCCGGATAGTCGCGTGATACCTAGCTATTGAAGATTGAAGCCATTCTCGGAGATGAGCGAATGGTATTTCTATGGAACTATATCAGAAGCTACAATAAACCTATTGTGGTTCCGTTCTCTCTGATGTTGGTCCAACTCTGAAGTCGGACCGTTGGATGCCAAGGTCGGATGGACCTCGGGCTAAGCGCTCTCCCACCCCAGATCGTGGTAAGTGATCCAGGTGTCCTCCCTTGCTGAGGATGATCTGCCAGAGATGTATCGTTCTCTTCGTGGGGCTTTGCGACCTTTTTCTGTCTTTGAAATGACGTGCAGATTAATTTACTCCAGTTTTGGACAAGTTTGGAAAAGTCTAAAAAATACTTTTTCCACCCGCCACACGAGGCGTTGTTGTTTACCTTCCTAAAAGAGAAGAGCTAACCGGACACGTGACCGGCTTTTTCGTTCACCGGCAAACATATCCCCATCAGGAATTTGACAGGCATTCGGACCAAACCCAAGCCACAGCTACGACCGATACACCTCGGTAGGTTTTCGATTCCGTTGCTAGAAGGCGTGGTTGGTTAGCGTTGTATTGTTAAAATTGCATAAAGAAACGGCAATCATGAGCGAAAGAGGGTCGGAAATTGTCTATCGAGCGGAAAATGTCCCAATTCGCTTCTTTAAAGCATGTCGATGGTGCAGGAGACAAAAGATGCGATGTGATGCGCGCAGCCAAGTCCCCTGCTTCCGCTGTCGTTCTACCGGCCGGGATTGCATTCTGGATCCGATCGATGATGGCCGGCGACGAAATGATCGCCGGCGGAAAACAACAACCCCCGCAAGGTGAGAATAAAATTATCGGTCTTAGAAATGAGAACAGCGAGCTAATATACTGTCAAAGAAGCACTGCTTCGCCGCTAGACCCTAGGACGGGATACCACACTCCGGTAACAAGAGATCAGGGGTTCTCGCCTGCCACAGTGCAAGACGGTGGTTTTACCACTCCGATTGATTCTTTGCCCGATTCTACTGGATTAGGCAGCTTACAGCGGTCTTATACATCTGATACGAATGGACCGGAATCTCAGCAGCTTAGCCCCAATGAAATGATCGCGCCTGCGTCAGCGGTACACTCTATGTCCGTGAATTTGCTAGACACTAATGATGTGAGCCCTAATCCAACCATTTACCTAATTGGCATTATTCTAACATAGCAAGATCTTTATGGAAAGCTCTGTTAAGGGTGACCCTAGGGGGGATGTCGTCGCTAGAGGAATCGTCAGTGAGGAGCTTGCTCGTGTCATGTATGAGAGGTATGGTACTGACAGCCAAATGAAACTGCAAACAATTATAACCAAATCTAACTCCTCGGCTCAAGGTTCACGGGTGGATCGAAGAACTTTCTTCCTCTTTTTGATCCGATCAGAGACACATTCGACTCTGTCCGTTCAAGATCCTTGTTTTGCTTTACGGTTATTATCTATCTGGCTAGTCGCGCTGTGACAGATTTGCGCGGAGACACGCATATGCAGCGTGTTCTACAAGATGAGGCACAACGTTTGGCCGAAGACAGCTTCTTCGAGCGACCCACTAAACTAGAAACAGTCCAGGGAATGATTCTCCTGGCTGCCTACTCTGAAAAGACATGGTTCTCGATTGCTCTTATTCTTCGCACCGCCTTAGATTCTGGATTGGAGAAATCTTTGGACACTTTGCTGTCCCAAGAAAATATACCCCGAAGTTCGCTCTCAGCTTCTATGGCTGATCGAGAACTCGTATGGAAGACAAGAACCTGGTTGATCACTTTCATATTGGAGTTGGACGTCGCATCTGGTACGGGACGCAAATCACGCATTGCCGAGGTCGATGTGGTGAAGTTGCGCAGATTCCTTGACTATCCGCTCTCGCTGCCCTTTGATATGCGTACTGTCTGTATTATTGAGCTTCATCAACTTCGAGGTAAAGCGAACAAACCTACACGTGCGATTTATGTGTCAACTATTAACATAACATATGGCAGGCAATTCTCGTGTGGTTATTGATAACACTTCAACTGTTAGCGATATTGTGTCTACAGAACTTCCGGCCATTATGACAAGATTGCAAAACTGGTGGACGACATGGGACGAGATCCATGAAAGTAGGTTGGCCTTTCTTGCTTTGATACAACTACAATCCGGATCAACTCTGACTCGAACAAATTTGAAGACAATGGTTTTCATATAGGGGCGTTTCAACGCAGCAGTCTCAAGCTTATGCTTCTCTATGCCAGGATCTTTGTTTTCTGTGCTTCACTGGCACGGATTCAAAAATTACAACCGACGTGCACGGATTCAAACTCCGAGATCCTTGACCAGGATGTGATGAATCTATGGCAGTCCCTTGTTACGACCATCATGGACCAATTAAACTTTTTGATCAACGAGCCATCTTATCGCTGTCAATTACCCTGGGCGCCAACATATCCAGCTCTCACAATCGCTTTCGTCAGTAAGTTGATCATTTCCTCAATCGGTTGCATACAATTTGCTAATACAGACTTAGCAACATTCCCTCTTCGCATCGCCAGATGGCGTCCAAATCTGATCAATCAAACCCTTCTACTTGAAAGAGCAGAAAAGATCTGCGATTTCCTCAAGCAACCACCATATCCCGATATCCACCGGACTGTTTCCATCTTCGTCAACTACGCACGCGCCTTGATTGCCAGTCAGTGTCCGCAGAACAATAATAGTACAGATGTACCCATCGTGTCCGGTCAAAGTGAGGGCCCGCCATTCCAGGGAGCTGATAACCCCATGATCAACGGCCCGCCTCCATCAGGGGTGGGTCCCCTCGAGGATCTCCGCTACAGAACCGGCCCGACCATTCAGGCAGATAAAGTTTCAAATATGGTCTCAATGCCAAGTAGTGACCCATCTGCAGTGGCTAGAGCGCCGGTATCTCGGCTATCCGGCACCATGGAAGCACCGAACTGGACTGTATCAAACTCTATTGCAGATTCTTTTGGTCTGTTTGAGGAGGGGCAAAACGATATCTTTGATTTCTTGCCTATGATGCCATCGATTCCACAGTAACAACTACATACCTAATACAACTTATTGAATATTATCACTCCAATTCCACTGTCCAGCTGTGTAAATCGTGCAAGGGCCAAGTTCTAGCCTTGTAGATCAAAGCCGATACGTGTTCTATCGAACAACAAATTGGGCCGCAACGCGCAATGCGCAACGCAGTGTACTTGTTTATTCACGTGTGTTAAGTCACACCGGTCTAGATATCCACTCAAAATCCATCTTAGCAATCAATTTCTGCGTCAGGGGCAGCCATCCATGTCCGGATCCTGCCCGGCGCCGTGAGTGGATTGCCCTAACAGCCGGCCCCGCACCGGCGCCGGCTTCCCACCCAAAAAAATCGAAGTATACCGGTCTCTCATTGGCTTGTTGCCTACTTTAATATGATAGATAGAGGCATTATGCAAGATCAACACGTTCTAGCCAGGTGAGTCAAAGAATCTTCAGGATTTTTCAATCAAGGTCCGCTGGTTGCAATGGGAACGAGAAACTTTCTACTTGGCTTATATAGCGCTTGGTCCTCATCTACCGGTGTTCTTGAGAATCAGAATAAAAACATACTTCCAATCTTCTTCCTTTGTGTTCTAGCTGCCCCCACTTACTTGATGGTGCAATATGGCGTCAGAAACGAAACAATCTCTCAGGGCTCAGATAGCCGCCATCCTTTCTTCAGGTACGATCAACCTTATCCGGTATTTCCGGTCTGCTCTAACATATATTAGACAATGATGACGGTTTTGACGAGAGGTCTCTTGCCTCAACGGAGAAAAATCCAAAGTCAACTGGTGATTACCGAATAGTTGAACTGTCCCAAGATGAATTGCTTGTCGAGTTCCAGGAGAACTCTCCAAGAAACCCACCGAATTGGGCCTTTGTACGCACATTCATACATCTATATATTCCGAAGAATTGACTAACAAAACCAATAGAGCAAAAAGTTCTACAATGCCATTGTAGGGATATTTATAGTCCTCAATAGCGGCATATCATCCGCACTTCCTAGCAATGCAGTCCCCGCTATCATGCAGGACTTCCACGAGTCCGGAGACCAGCAAAAAGTCTTACCAACTGCCGTCTTTCTCATTGGCTACGTGGTTGGGCCTCTGCTATTCAGTCCATTGAGTGAAACCATTGGACGGAAACCCGTTCTCCTCTGGTCTTTCACTGTTTTTGTCCTCGCTACGCTTGGATGTGCTTTAGCGCCAAATTGGTCCTCTCTTCTCGTCTTTCGAACTATCTGTGGTCTGGCAGGGGCTGCTCCTCAGACAGTTGTTGGTGGTATTTATGCGGACTTGTTTTTCGATCTGCGAACCCGTGGTCGCGCGATGGCGATGTATATGTCGGTATGTTATGATCAATTACGTTAAAGGTAGAATATGTGAATAGTACTAATATGTATTCTAGGCTTGCAGTTTCGGTCCCATTCTGGGCCCGATCATCTCTGGATGCTCAGTCAAATATGGTTGGAGATGGCCTTTTAGGATTGACCTGATTCTGTCGGGTATTACCTGGCTGGCTCTGCTCCTCACGTCTGGTATGATTATCACTTGGACCAACAGTGGCATCAGCTAATCTCAAATTAAAATAGAAACTTTTGGCCCAGCAATCTTGAACCGACAATCTGCCAAATTGAGAAAACATTCGGGATCCAATCGATACTTTTCGCGTCAAGAGCTCAATCTGGACTCGAGATTCACTCCGATGGAAATCATCACTCGTCCCATCACGATGCTCTTTTTTGAGCCTATCATCACCTCAACATCCATCTATATCGCCCTCGCATATAGCCTGGTCTTCTTTTACTTTCAGGCCTATCCTATCATCTTTGAAGGTACTGCTCCATCTGGATTTCTCATTGATCTCCAATACTAACAATTGATCGATAGGTGTCTATGATTTCACCGTCGAGCAAACTTCCCTCACATATATCCCAAGTATGTGAATTTCTTTTCATAATATCCCCAGACATAGCTAACCATCACAGTTGGCATCGGCGCCGCATCCTCCGGCTTCGTCGCCCTCTACTACGACATGATCTACGAGAAAGCCAAAAAGCTCAACAAAGCCTGGACCTCCAGCGAAGAGTACCACCGACTCCCCATGTCCTGTATCGCCGGGCCCTGTCTAACAATCAGCATGTTCTGGCTCGCCTGGACAGCAAAGCCCACCATGCATTGGGTAGCACCCGTGATGTCCGGGTTCGTCTTCGGATTCGGATTCCAGACGATCTTCATTTCGCTTCTTACCTACGTGACCGATGCATACAAGATCTACTCTGCGAGTGCACTGGCCGCTTCTGTTATTGTACGGAGCATTGCTGGAGCGCTTTTCCCGCTCGCCGCCGAGCCGCTCTATAAATCTTTCGGGGTTTCATGGGCTACTTCCCTCCTTGGCTTTATTAGTCTGGCCTGCATTCCGATTCCTTTTGCTTTGATGCGATTCGGCCCTTGGATTCGTGAGAGAAGTCCCTTCTGCCAGAGGCTAATCTTGGAGGAGAAACTCAAGGCCAGTGGGTCAAATACACCTGTGCAAGTATAGAGAGAGAGGCATTCTTTTCGGGTTTTGCATTTTTGGCTTTGGATTCTGGGGAACCTGGTTTATTGGCCAGGAAATAAGTACGAAATAATGACTTGATACCTAATTTAATAAAAGTTATGATTTACAACTAGAATACGACGCCGAAAATAACCGCTTTTGAGGCCAGAAACGGCGGTCTTTCCACTCGTAACCCTAAAACACCACAATTCTGCAGCCCAGCACTTGAAGTCATCCTCGAGTCCTACTGCGGCCTTACCTATTGGGTTAGACAATTGCCTAAATAGGAAGCTACTCAATCGCTTGGCGCCAAGGCAGCACAGCACCTCAAGACCTACAAGTTGAAGTTGAAGTTGAATAGTCCAGATCGGTGGATCTATCCACCTCCACTTACTGTTCTTGGCGTATAATTAGCGTGGTATCTTCACAGATTCAAAATAATTTAATATCTAAGCAACGGCGCTCTCAAGCCTCAATCCAATATATGGTAGGGTCCCCGCGTATCACTAACAGCCTAGCATCCATCGGGCATATTATAAATAAGGTTTATACAATATAGAAGGGAAGAATTAGAAGAAATCTACATAATACGAAATACAAGCTTAATACTAGGGACTAAGACTAATTAGGGAGATATTAGGCAGATCTCTGCGCAACTAGAAAAGAGGGTGAATTGTTGTAGATCATCATCATCATCATCATCTTCATAATGTGAGGAGTATCAAGTGTGGAGTCCCCAGAAGTCACGAACTATGGAGACCTGGTTGCCAAGTCTATGAAAAATCGGTGTGCCGATCTTGTGATTTATAGGACTTATGGCTGTTTTCTTTTGTTTGGTATGTCGTGCAAGTTATTTACATGTGTGCAGATCCACCGTATAAGCCATTTTGGAAGTTTAGTTGTCAAAACAACCCGCCCCGTGACCGCAATGTCTCTTCCTCACGATACATAAAACGCTCGCCTCCGGGAGACCTGGTCTCCAGCGTCATCCTCCTTTTTGATTCAACTTTTCAGTGTTTCCCACAATGGACACCCCAGAACCTTCCGTTCTGCTCCTTCCCGACGATCCCTTCTTCCATGAGCTGTTCAATCGCCATACCCAAGACCCAGAAGCATGTGTTATATATGACCGAGCCTCGGAGCGCTCGGTTACCCCGTATCACTTTCTTGTCGATATTCTCCAGACTGTCGACAGGGTTCGCCGCATTTTGAGCCAAGGCGAAGAAACACCAAGTGCCAATAACATCTTCGTTTGCGTTCTGGTGCCCTACGGCTATGAGTATGCTGTTACTATACTCGCTCTGCGAGCACTTGGACTCACAGCAGTACCGGTGTGTAAGTACCAAACCCCAAGTCCCTAAAGTTCTCTCAGTACGACCTGAAGTAGGCTCTTGCAAGTCTTTATTTCCGAACCTGACTTGTGGTGCGTGGAACAGCGGAAGCCATCTTACCTGAGGAGTTCGAGTATTTCGTTCAAGTCTGCAACGCGACATATTTAATCACAATTCCTTCACTACAGGATCATGCAGAGTCTCTTCTCAGTGGTACTAGCCTCGCCATTCTAACCCTACAGCTTTCCCTCTCCATCACACAGCCACTGCCGGTGCTTCGAAAACCTTTACAAGTATCAGAGACCTGGAATACAGACCGTGGAGCCATTCTTCTCTTCACTTCCGGAACCTCAGGCCCTCCTAAAGGTGTACTTCATACACATCGCAGCGTCTACATCGGAGCCAAAGAATGGATTGAAACCTATGGCCTGACCCGCGATGACCGGATACTGCTTCCCTGGAACAGCCACTGGTGCGCAGGCTTCATGATGCTGTCTGGCTGTATTCTCGCTGGTACCTGTGCGGAGATCTGTCCAACAGTCTTCAATCCCGCCTGGTTCTGGGAGAGAATCAAGGCTGCAGAGGTCACATTCCTACATCTAACACCTAGCCTTCTCGGTCCGGCTATTGAGTGGTACGCAAGGGAAGTAATACGTCAGTCTCCACAGGAAGTCGAAGGGTACTTGGTGGGGTCAAGGCGGCTAAGGACTGTCGTTATTGGGTCGACAACGGTACCGACGCCGGTTGCAGATTTTTGGATTGAGAAAGAGGTCAAGTTCGATCTGCACTATGGTTGTACCGAGTGCTGGATGATCGCTGCGACAGACTGGAGAAAATCCGAAGGTTTCACACCTGTGAGTATCGTAAGCCTATTGCTTTTCCTTCTTGTTGAATTAACGTTGTGTGAAAGCGTCATGTTGGAAAGCTAGTGTCTGGTGTCGAAACAACTCTCGCAAGTGAGAGTGAAGGCGAGATGGCGATAAAGAGTCAAGGGTTATTTCAGAAGTAAGCAGTTTCTCTTGCCATCATAACAGTGTGAAACGAATATTAACAGCATTGGCATGCTTAAGATATCTGTCCGCTAATCCTCACATCATGAACAACGTATTCGACGACAATGGTTATTATCTGACCGGTGACTTCATCCGACGTGGACACGATGCCAGTCTCTTCATCCTCGGCCGTGCTTCTCAAGATGGTGAGCAATACTCTCGACTTTCCCGTCCAAGGTTTCCTACTTTTGACTACGGTTCACATATTCTGTTCGCAAGCTTTGTCCACACTGCTGATCATCCTGTTCCATCGTCAGTGGTGCGCTTCTCTGGCTGGAAGGTCTTTACTTTGGACGTTGAAGACGCCCTTCTAAATATCCCTCACATCGCTGCCGCCGTAGTCCTTGGTGTCGACGATGACACGGTGGGCCAACGGGTCTCTGCTCTTATTGTGACAAAACCTCAGCTTGAGCAGTCATTGCCACAGAAAGTATCCCTTGCCACACTGCGAAGGACTCTTGCTCTCGAGCAACAATTACCGGTATACAAGCTGCCAACGCTTATGCGAGTCTTAGCCCCAGGGGAGGAAATTCCGCGAACCAACAGCGGCAAAGTAAGCAAAGCATCAGCTCGGAAGAAGTTCTTCGCGTCAGATGATCTTGATTCCGAGAAAGTGGAAGCGTGGGATCTGAATAGGAAAGACGAAGATCTACCGACAAGAGCATGGGATTGGGCTGGAATTGGAGCACAGTAATTCAGAGATACACAAGCGCAATCACACGATGCCAGACAAATAAATGCAAATTTCCGGAAAGAAGAAAGGAAAAGGTCTGATACTAGAATACAGACGAGGTAATAGACAGATGGATTGCCCTATAGGCTGGTTCCACTTTACAGTTAGGTTCATGAAAAGGACAATCGGCATCTTACGAGAGGGCATTGGGTGCTCATGGTATTCATGGCATTCAATTTTCCAATACTTCCGAGCAGGTTATGACAACGCTTACACACTTGTGCCGTTCTATTATTGCGGTACCCTCAAAATGTACGAAATATATCTTAATAGGTTTGCATCACCCCCATCATCGATCGAATTACAGATGCAAACAATAAAGTCCCAAAGTATGTCTACATGAGAGTTACTGCCGAGAGGCACGCCATATAGATCTCTTTGCCTATTCAAAATGTTTCCTAATGCATTTTACCTAACTCAATTCATGGCGCGGCAACAATAACAGACATAAGTCCTAAATTCCCCCTCTCTAGCCTAGGCATACGACCGTCAATATCATCCGTTGTGAAACTATCTATGCCATTCCAAGTCTTGGTTTGTGTTGATCGAAACTCAGCGAGCATCTTCTCTTCTTCTTTGCTGGTCGGTTCCTCGCTGTCAGTTTTGTTCTTGTATCGGTCGAACGCTTTGACGCAGAAGTGGAATGATTTGGAGAATTCGGCTTGCGTGAGTTTATTCGTGGTGTCGGCTGTTCCCTGGATGACTAGAGTTGAAAGCAGAGATTAGAGACGAAGTTTTGTATGTGGGAAGGTGACAAAGGGGGGGGACAAAGTTAGATTCTCCATGTGAGTCCAGTAGATGGGCAGGACTTACTCGGCTTGAAGAAATTGAACGCTCGATCGAAATTGTCTTCGCCGTATTCACTCAAGACCGGTTCCTTTTGGTTACCTATTTGCTTGTACGTACTCAAGACGACAAGCAGCCAGCGTGAGTAACCTGCTTTTACCTTATTGCTGTGCCATTTTGCGGCAATTTCCTCTTCGCAGTCGCCTCGAATAGCTGCCGAGACTGTCACTGCGGCAGAAAGCGCGCTTGTTATTGCCAGATGGACTCCGGAGGAGAAATATGGGTCGATAAAGCATCCCGCGTCGCCGATAATGCGTGCATATGGGAATGCATAGGAAGATGAGCTGTATGAAAAATCTGACGCCGATTTGATTCCTGTGACAAGTTCGCCTCCCGATAGGAACTCGTTGAGATGCGGTGCCAGCTTCAGAGACGATAGGTAGAAGTCTCTACTTGACAGACCAGAGGCAGCTTTTTTCTTGTTCATGATTTCTTGGTTCATGACAACGCCGACGGATGTGGTATTATCATGGAGAGGGATGAACCAAGCCCAGCCACTCTCATCTGTAAGTTACCGTCATAATCATTAATTGCATCGGAGAACTATTTTCTGCCTCGTACACAGTTGTAGAGTAGACATACCGATTAGTGCCTCAAAGTAAGGCGAGTCCTCTCTTGCTGTTCCGATTCCATATTTCCCCGTGGATCTCCAGTATCCCCAACTTGCAACATTTTTGAGACCTTGATTAAATGTGCGATTCTTCAAGTATTTGGTACTTAGCAACCCTTTACTGCCGCTTGCATCAATAATGTAATCAAACTTCACAGCGCCGCTGACACCCTCGGATTTGAGTGTATACGACGCAGAGACAGGACGACCGAGAGCCGAGGCACCGCTTTCGTTTCCGGCCGTGCCATTCGAAGTAGGCGGTTGTGCGAACTCGATTGAGTTGACCTTGACCCCGTCAAAAGCCTTTGCACCTGACTTTGCCGCATGTCGAAATAGTAACTCATCTGCTTCGGAGCGGATGACGTTCCACGTATAATGATTTGGTCCACCTGAAGCGATGAAATCCGTATCTGTCGACGAGCGTCAGAATTTGGAGCTAAGCACCATAATTGATGTTCGCTCATAGACTCACATCCCTCATAATTTGCTTGGTTCAGTGTGAAAGCTGCACCGACCTGTATAAGTCAGCTTGAGAAGGCAACCAAGACCGTACCGATACCAACCGCCAACATCTTCAAGAGCTTGACGCAATATTCACATGATACTCTGGACGTGGCGGGATATGGCAGTGCTGGTACTGGGACTTGCCTTCTTCTTAAATCCATATTGATCGAATGTGGAGTCGCAATCGATAAAGCTTAAGTAGTACCGCATTGAAGGTAACATACTCTCGCCGATATGATATCTAGTCAGTCCACGTTAAGAAGTGTTGCTTTCATAAGTTTAGTGAAACAAGTCGGAGATTTTTGAAGCCAAAGGTGACACCGGAAAAATATAACAGGCAGTATACAGGGTTATAAAGGGGAATCTGTGAAAAATCGGTTGTCATACCTAGGATGTACATCGGCCTCCAAGAGGACAGTATCGATGCCCTCTCGAGCTAAAGCTGCAGCGGCATAAGATCCTCCTGGCCCGCCACCAACGATAAGGACAGTGCAATGCTCAGGTATTGACATTGTAAAGCGTGGTTTGAGAAGAGATTGATTTTGCATCAATTGAGACGGCAGTACTAGGTACGGAGTACATATGGGTAATTCCGCTTTAGGATTATGACGAGTAACTAAATCACTATGTTGTATGTAAGAGACTTTCAAGATGTACACCGACTTTTCAGGGACTTATGCGGGTTTCAGCTGAGTTATTGTCCACCGGATCTCAGAGCGGGTACGGCATCGCCGATATGGACCCGCTTTCGCGACAATAGTAGTACCAACCACCAAGACTGCAGATACCTACCATTTGTATGTAAATCTCTAACAAAATTAAGTCACTTTGGTCATATCAACTGCTTCATCTATCAAGGAGTTGAATCCTTTAGGAATCAGGTACGCTAACTAATAGGTCCTACTAATCACAAAACCAAGGTCGCTTAATCCATGAAATTCAAAAAGTGGAGAAAATAGATCATAACTGATCTTCCACCCTGTGCCCACCTTCTGCCGAATTTAGCAGGGACTATACCTACTAGTACGTCATGAGTGTGGAACATGTTTTGACTACGGAGTACAAAACAATACAATGTTTCCTCAGTCAGCACCAGAGGCTTTCATATCACATTCTCACTCTTACTTATGGCTGCACTGGGCATCAACAAAACGCAGCTAGGAGAGCCTTTGCCCCCCGGAGATATACATGTAAGGCTAACCATCAGTCCAACGCAACTAGGATATTTTCTCACTGATCAAAGGGCGTGAGCGTGAGCCTTCCGCTATGGGAAGATACGGTTGGATGGTCAAGCCGAAACCCGCAAGTTCTGGCGCTGCTAAAGACAGGATACCCTCGATTCTTTATCCATCGTCTTATCGACAGACTCGCGGAGAAGATTGTTGAGAGGTTTCACACGCACAATGACCACTTACTTTCTTTGTCTTCAGGAAGGGAAACGTTGCTAGGAATGCTATTTCCTTGCAAGCGAAGTGCAGATCAGTGTGCGCAATTTCTCAGAAAAAGTCTTCCCGAGATCCAGACATGTCGGTTCACAGTTCTCTCTTTCTGCAAAGAGTCAAATTCACCGTCTAGACTTCAGACAAAATTCGGTGTAGACTGGCAAAACTTGGAACTGTATGCTGTAGTCTATCCCAATTCGGCATTTAGTTTTGCCAAGTCGTTCTGGCAGCACACGGGCTTCGGGATATCAAGTCGCTATGCAGTACTGTGCCTCGAGAAGCAAGACCTCTTGAGCTTGAAAATCGGTCGCTGCGATGCTGAGAGTGGGTCTCACGAATTGGCAAAGGGACTGGGCCTTCCGGCAGCCGGGGATATAGATTCGCCAAAAGCAATTCTTCGTCAGCGGATTTCAGAGCTCTGTGGTACAGCTACAGTACGGCCCGAAAGCAGTGACGTCTTCTTGTATCCATCGGGTATGGCAAGCCTGAGCAATATGGCCCAGTCTCTGCAGCAGCACTTTCGGAAAGTCCGCCCCGTCGTGGCGATTTTTGGGTAAGGCATATTGCCCTCAAATGAGGAGACTCGCCGCACATGTCTGTATTTGGCTAATTGTTGCAGTTTCCTATATGTTGATACCGTAAAGACGCTCCAAAAGGTCTATGACTTCGAAACAACACTGTACAGCCATGCGTCGAGGGAAGACCTGGATGCGCTCGAAGAGGATCTTTCTTCCGGAAGAAAGATCCATGCACTCATTTGCGAATTTCCAGGGAATCCGCTTTTGCAATCACCAGACTTGAAACGCCTGCATCAACTGGCCAAACAGCACAAATTTTTGTTGGTGGTAGATGACACTGTGGGGACCTTTGTCAACCTCGCTATCCTGCCACATTGCGACATGATCAGCACTAGCCTCACAAAGATGTTTAGTGGCGGATGTAATGTTATGGGTGGCTCCCTCGTCTTGAATCCGCACTCCCAATTCTACCAATCGATGCATGCCGAACTCACCGCCAATTTTATCGATACATACTTTCCCCCCGATGCGTCCGTCATGGAAGCTAATAGTCGCGATTTCGCTGTTCGAGTCCGACAAGCTTCTGGGAATGCGGAAGTCCTTTGCGAGGTGCTTCGGCGGCACCCAGTAGTTACACATGTCTACTATCCCAAAGGCAGTTCTACTCAGTCTTTGTATGATGCGTGTAGACGGACAGATGGAATGTATGGCTACCTCTTTTCCGTCACGTTCGCTACCCCGGCCATGGCAGTAGCATTTTATGATGCACTTGATGTCGCAAAGGGCCCAAGTTTGGGGACGAACTTCTCACTTGCATGCGCGTACACTTTGCTTGCTCACTACAACGAGCTGGAGTGGGCTGCACAGCATGGGTTGGAGGAGTATTTGGTAAGGATAAGTGTAGGCTTGGAGGACTTGGATACTCTTTTGGATAAGATAACGATGGCATTGGATGCTGCACAGATAGCAGAGTAGGAAAAACCCTTTATCGAAGTTTGAAATGAAATAATACCCAAACATTGACATTGGCGGAATGACGCTATTAGTTATACATCAGTCTAGGAAAAAGTATCACGATAATCACGATCTCTAGCACCTGGACGAAACTGTCGACCTGAGAAGTGGTATATATAATTTATTCAACGCCGATAAATGAGTGTATACGGAAATTTGTATGGTGGGAATAGCTTCATTTTCTGCACTGAGCGCTGTCATGGTAATTCAGGTATTTTAATTTCTGCCAGTATATTGTTGTACTTCAGGCATTTGACCTTTGGCCGCTCTGCCCCTTCGCAGAAAATCTTCGCAAATCGTGATTTGTTGTCCCATCCTTGGTCAGATTGCATACGTAGCGTATTGGGGAGCTAAGCCCAAAAAGGCAAAACCAACCCGATATGGTAATTCGCAGTTTACATGTAAGTACTTCTGTGCAATATTTACAAGGGCACAAGGGAGCCAATACTAAAAGATAAAAATAAATACAAAGCCGAGACCTATCGGAGATAGACTGGGAGCTAACTTGGAACATCTCCAACAACAGCGTCTGGCGCTGGCGACTTTAAAATGATTTCGCCTCTCCAAAACAAAAGTTTGACTAGAAGGTCCATCCCGAAGTATCTATATCTCTTCTCCAGGACCAATCATTGCAAGGCTTAGCTTGGCCATAGATGGCCAATGTATTGTTGTCTGCTCGACCCTTGGGCTTGAAGAATTCCGGGTCTTCAAATCCTACGAAATGACTGAATATAAGATGTTAACAACCTAGTTTGGACTCCGCATCATCACCTCGCAAGATATCATGCAAAACCTACATTGTTTCCCTTTCCTCATTCCATATCAAATTTGTAAGCCAGCTATCGACTGGTAACTAGGATTCCGATATCCGCAGCTTTACTAATCATATATCAGTATCATTCCACAACAAACAGCCTTTCAAGTTAGATAAAGCTTACTCGTATTCCTCTAAGAAGACTTTAAGGATTTTTGCACGTTTCCGGCGGCTGCTCCCAGTACATGCTATCCCCATTTTCATCTCCAAGGGCAATTCCCTCAACTTTTTCAAAGATAATCCATGTGATAAAGCCACCTCGGACGGAACCAAGAGGAGTCCTGAGTCCCTTGCTCCCATGCTAAGAGCTTAGGGGTATTAGGCGAATTTCTTTCCTTAAGGGCTTGGTATGCCTCTAGCTCGGGCGGCGTAAATTGAGTGGCTTCCTGGGGTCAGACAGGGCCTATATCGCCCTTGGCAGAGGGAATCTGCTTCACGATACGGAGGAAGGCTGTGGGTCCATTAGGAAATTGGGCATCACGACAGACGAATTTAGTGGAGGCTAGGGAGGGGTGGGAGGGGTAGGAGATAGCATCTTGCCATTGTTCGACGTGCTCGTTAATCTTTTGGACGACTTCCCAGTTAGAAGGGATAGGCTCGCTCAGAGTCAAGATCTTGCATTCTGAATCCTGGATAGGATCAGGAAACCATATTTTTTGATCAGCCATGATGGGTGCCTGCTAGAACAAATTTCCATGTAGGAACTGACTTATACATATATATGGATGTGACGTAGCTCTGATCCTTTCTATAAGTAACGTTGTTCTTGTTCCATGAACCTTAGAACTTTGCTCATCGTGCGGTGATTTGAACACTGTGGCAGCGTTTCACTAAATGTCTGCCCACTAAGTGCCTGTCCAAAGGTGTCATCGTGCCTGATTACTGGTGAATATCCCAGACCCCAGTCGCTTTCAACATCCACTTTCCGAACGAAAACGGTCTCATCGTACGTTGTCAAGAACGCGTACTTGAGGTCCCGCTCGCGCATCTGGCCAGCCAATTGCCCTATACGTTATATAAATGTTAGCCTTGGAACATATCGAGTTTGGGGGATTATATGATCACACGAACCTAGGTACCGCCCAAGCTTCTTCTCATTTCCTTGTTCGAATTTGATTATGGCCGCATCCAGCATATTAACTTTCAGACGATCCCATGGTGTTTTCGCCTCTCCGACGACCTTGGTGGCTCTGGACGAATCAAGGACTACAAAGTCTGGAACGCCCGTGAAGGGAGTTGGCCTCGCAGCCTTGTAATCCGCGAATCGCAGATTATACCCTTGGGTTTGGAGAACAGTTGTCACTGCCTGTCTATTTCTTTCGTGGAACCTTCTGCGCACACCAAGTTCGTCCCCAACCAGAACCTGCTCGGTTGCGACAGAGAATGAGCCGCCTATGACAATGGCCTCGATTACCGCCGGATCCCAAGTTCCGTTGTGAGAATCGTACTTGGCGACGACATCTTGGTAAGAACTCTGCCATTCGTGAAGCGCCAGGTCGATCTTGGACAAGGAGTGCATTCAATCAAATAACTAAGATGAAGAAAGAAAGAAGAAGCAAGTTGCAAAGTTGAAGAGGCCAGTTGATATAGCTGACCACTTTGCAAATGTTGCAAACAACTAACCTTCAACAGTACACAGCAAACGCCGGGATATGGAAGTAGTGGGTTCCCCTTGCTTTGGCCCTTTCGAGGGCAGCTTTCAAGGCAGGTACAGTCAGTCTGCTTTCAGTTTACCCTCACATGAACTTCAGATTGCAAGGTTGGGTGAGAAGATGATGATGATAGTGATGTCGGCAAAGCTTCATTTTTACCTGCCTAGACATGTGAGTTGAACTTCGGTAATTTGCTTATTCGGTCTCTGTTATGGTACATCAGGTATTGAAGAGAGGAGACCCTGCAACGGGGGCGGCAGGGGCACTGACAGCTCTATTTGCGAAACAGGGTGAGAGCATAGTCATCACTTGGAGTAGGGTGCCAGAGAGGACCTAAGAGAAGATGGTTGAACGTGTCTTTCGTTTTTATACGAATCACATGCCGCTGAGTCATACTGCACTACCTAAAATCAGGCGGAATTCAGGCATCAGCCCTAAAAAACCAGACATAGATCCCTGCCCGCCATGGACCTTCGCAGCCAATGCCAAACGATCAAAAGATAAAAAGCAAAGATGAAGCCAAACCCCATCGGACTTAGATCAATAACTCGGGCGCTAACTCGAAACCTCCCCAACCAGAGCGTCTAGTTGCCTGGCGTCTTTAAATCATTTCGCCTCTCCACTTTCAAAAGGTCCAGAATCGCATCTTGGTTTATTGATTTTCTTGATTTTCTTGGTCTTCTTCATAATACTCTTGATTTATTTCTCGTTTCTCGAAATGTACTCGCATCTTGAAGCTGAAGGCACTTCGGTAACTGTCGCTCATTGCAAGGCGCAAAACTTACGAGTTGGTTCGTGATCCCCTCCCCCCACTTCCCTCCTATCCGTGTTTACTCCCGTATATGTATGGACTAACCCGACAACGATTAAGTCGATCGTGTTCTTGAGCCTCAAACCGTCGCACATTTCCTTCAATTTGCGTTCGGTAATGAGCCCCTACCAAATGGTGTTCAACCCAACACCGAGCGCTTATCTGCTGAGGAAGCACTCTTCATCAAACCAAATCAAAACTTCCCTCCAGACTCCGATGGCGAACCCCTCATGACCACTGTCATGTCCCGGATTGGTTCCCACCGAGATCCCAGTCGTCTGTGCATGGTCGGGAAGAACTTGCAATTCCTCAAGTCCCGTCTATGGGAGGGCGTCATCCCCCTGAGCGACCAGCTATGGCAGGAGAAGGGCCTCGACCGACCAAAGCATTTTGATTTCGCGTGTCAGTATCTAACGGCCGTGATCGCCGTGTTCCAGTATTTGAATGAACCAACCGTGCGATTATATCTTCGCGACACGTTCAATTACATCCACGAGCATTGGGCAGCGCTCGACACTGTTCTCAACAGCCGCAGAGCGGAGCAAGGTAAAAATCGCGTTAGTGTCGCCGGTCTCTGGACAATGTACATGGCGGCTCATTTCGAGATGATGAGCGAGCGCGCTCATAGATGGGTTACTGTGCATGTCAATACACTACGAGCGCCATTACTGCGAGCTCTTCTAGAGCATCGGCCAGTAGATGGGGGAGCCAACCCCCTCGGCGAGCCTGACGCTATGCAATGGAAGCTTAGTGATGCGCTGCACATGCTAGCTGAAATTACCGCCAACGCGGATTACACCATCATGATCCCTATGAACGGTTATAAGGGGTATGGGGCAGCTCCCCCGCGGGACGGTCCGCCAGCACTTCATGCGGTGAACCTACGGGTGAGAAGTAAAGCATACCATGAGCGTGCCAGGCTGCTCACTCGGGAAGAGCTCGCCCGTAGTGCAGCTGCGTTCATGGGTTCATCTACAGTCCCTTCGGCCGCAGTATCATACCATACGACATCCCAGTGCCAGATTAAAGGCCAGAATCGGTTGAGGAAAGAGATTCGTGGTGCACCTATTGAACCCATTCCACGCGAGCCTTGGATTGCTGCCTGCGCTTCGAGGATTGAATCCGGAAGGAGGGAGCGTAGGTACGGGTTCGCTGTGTATCGGTTGACTTACGGGCAGACGGAGTCTGAATGGGCAGAATTTGTCCGCAAAGTGGAAGCTCATGTTTCGGATTGGGGCAAAGGGCAAACAGGAAGCGGCGCGATCAAGAACCATTTGAGGCTGCACTGGCTGGATGGGAAAGAGTTTGGTATTCCAGAGGGCGATATCGATGCATCTAGAAAGTGAGTATGCCCTTTCCCTCTCTTTTTTTCCCTGTCCTGCACTGCGAAGCTAACAAGCCAACCAGACACTTCGAAACCATCAAAAATTCCCTCGATGACTGGTCAAAGTTACAAGTCAGGGCTTTCCTCGCCGTTGACTCCGCTTGCTTTGCCTCATACACCACCAATTCGTACAGTGCCGTTACATCCCGGCTCATTCCAGGTGACTTTGCCGGCTTCCTTCTCGCCGTCGATCCAGAATTCGACTCGAAGAATGGTAGTGAATCAGCCGACGAGTCTCCAGGCTACGAAGGCCATATGCGCATCCTCGGAAGTCTTGTGTGGAGTGATCTCTATTCCTTGTTATTATCACAGACGGCAGATCTCGAAGAATACTGGCCATTGGCAAGCGAGCACCCGAACATGGTGTATGTCGGCCCGACAATCCCATGGCAGCGATACATCTGGAAGAAACACAACGATATGCGCTGGAATATCCTTCGAGCGGTGGTAGACTATGTAAAGCGTAACCCGGGAGTGCCAACAACGCAAGCACCCCGGGCGCAAGGTACGCTTGCAGCGATATCCCAGACCGCAGCTGCGTCTACAACTACGCCAACAAACCCTGCTATACCCACACCGACAGCACACACAGAGCAGGACCCTAACCACGGAGCCTTCCGCACATTCATGCTCCTCGAGTTCCAACGCTACTTACGCCAGCAGGGTCACCCGCGGCGGGCGGCCATGGTCGATGAATTGCTCCGTATTCAGCCTAATGAGGAGCCGGATGTAGGACGGCTGAGACAGTTGGTGAATGATGAGAATGAACGACAGGAGCAGCGGAGACGAGATGGTTTGGGTGAGGATGAGGAGGCTTCGGGGGAGTACCGGCCGGACTGCCCATTGCAGTGATTAGGGCTAAATTTATTTCTTATTAGTTGCGAATAGTTCTCATCATGGATTGAAAGGGTTTATCTCGCTGGCTGGTCTAGGGAGAAAACCATGCATACAAAGGTCAAGGGTGACATATTGAAAAACGAAATTGAAATTGTTTAAAACATGAAGTATAGCCACCCGCGCTGACATCAAACCGCAGGAAGATACACTAACCCCGAGGCTTGAAGCCCACACCCCAGCGCCAAGCTTAGTCATAGTCCCGACGAGTTCGCTTGCGAGGACGCTCATCCGGGTCCACAGCCTTGTGCCAACCAACCTGGCACATATCCTCCGTCAAGTCCCTTCCACAGCAAGGATGAAAGAACATTTTCGGCCAAGCTTCGCGATATTCCTCAGTGTCATATCCATCATATCCAAGTCCATAGGCAATTTCGTCCTTGTCGCACATTTCCTCGTCGATGATGTCGAGCTCTGTTCATACATTAGTTACATTTCGCACTTGAGCGCATGTGTGCTAGGAGAATACACGTACCAACGTGATATCTACAGCTTGTCTCTGAGTTTCGGGTGACGTCGAACTTTTCCATGCAGTAGATGCAGTTTGCAAAGCGGGATGTCATTGGGACGCTGACTTCTTGCTCAGAAGTAACGCGCGCCGAAGTGACGGCGACCTCAGAAGTGACGCGGGCGGTGGAAGAGACAGGGAGAACGGGCTCGGTTTTCACATCAGCCTTTGGTGCTAGTAGCCATTCTGAAGCAATCTTGCGGCCTTCAGGGCTGTTCTTGATGATGTCCTTCAGGATACCCTCCAGCAGTAATTTAGATTGTTTCTGCATTTCTACTAGGAGGAGTGACAGGTTCTCTGGTTGCTCGTCAGGTGAAGGCATAGTGACGGTTGAATGAAGTGCAAGTAACGTAGGGAGTAAAGAAAGGTGAAGATCTGTTCAGAGACTTTGTGTCTTTTTGTGGGCTGCAACGCGCGCGTCCTTTGGTTATAGAACAAACACGACTAATCAAAGGGGCGCACCGCAGCGAACGCAGCATCTCATGACAAAGGCATATATGCGGGAATGAACTATTGTATGTGCTTCGGTCGCACTACATCGTCATTTCAAGAGAGAGAAAGACTCTGTGCCAGGCTATTCCAATCCGAGAAGTCGACAAAGTTAGGATCCCAAATATCAATATCGAAGCCTCCGTCAAGCCTCGAATCCCTAATCCCAGGTCCAGTCCCATCAGCACAGACAGGACAATTCCCATGGACAATTGGATGACTCTGCTCATGCGCCTGGCGAATACGCCTTGCCTTATTCCGCAGCTGCACAATCATCGGCCATTTAGGACCCGGGTCCGGCCATGAGGGATCATCCGTCAAATCGAACTGCATATCGATAGCGCGCCAAGCTCGTTCGACATGCGGACCAGTGGGGTAAACACACAGAGTCCAGAGAATGAACGTGAAGAGGTGGTACTGGGTGAAAATCATCATCATCCAGCGGAAGCCACGCAGTAATGCGTTGCTGTTCATCTCAAGGCCAATTTCCATGCCATAGCAGGCTTTTGCCAGCGTATCTTGGACGAGGTTGTGGTCGAGTGAACAAGCCGCCGGTCCCTGTGACTGCAGCTGTTTCTGTCGAATGCACACTTCGATCTTTGTGAGGAGCAGCCGGCCGAGGAGGAAGCCGAAGCGCTGGATTGGGATGTTTGGGTCGCTGTGGCGCAGGTATTTCTCCTCTATTGCGCCTTTAAACTCTGCAATGAGTAGCTCGGGATCAGATGCTCCTACTATGCTTCGGACCAACGCCGGCCGTCTGCTGTTGATTTCTAGGACGATTAGAGAGAATGTCAACTCGGTCCATCGGTTCTCTGATACGGCTGGGACGATGTTCGTCTCTGATAAACTCTGGTCGTCGACGTTCAAAGGAAGTTCGGTGTCGCCGTAGTTGCTTTCTGGGACGGTGAGCCCGTGGTCCTCTGCCACTCGGCTGTCGGCTGATTTGATATGTCCCCATGTTCGTCGGCGTAGCTCGCATTCCAACTGTGGGAGTTTGAAATGTTTCCCATCCCGATGGAGACCGATTGATTGTGCGGCTCGGATAGTTACTCCGTGTAATATCCAGCCAGACCGGCCACTATTACTAAATCTAAAGCATGCCTAGAGGGCAAAGAGATGTCAGCGATGACAATTACAGAAACATTGATCAAAGACACATGAAGCAACATTCCCTCACCTGATATATCACCATCGCTTGCAACGAGGTAAGGGTTGGAGAATCCAAAAACTCAGCGTGATACAAAGATAATTCCATCCCATGTTGGTACCGCCGCAGATTCGCATGCAAGACCTCATTACGAGCATCATCTGAAAGCAAGCTTGTCGTAGCGGCAAAACAAATAGCAAAAAGCAAAGCACGTACATCAGCACGCACACTCTCAGGCTGGTTAATCGCCGCAAAGATACGCGATTGTGCCGTCGGAACATGAAGAACCTTCACCAAGGGCTCTACACGGGCGATAAATGTCTGCCAGAGCAGAACCGCCTCCCAACGACTGGGAAATAGCTCTTGGGTGTTAATCTGCGCCGAGAGCGGGTTCGTAAAGATGCCATCTGCCCTCAACATCGGCAGTCTATGCGGACTAGTTACAGCGACGGGTGATTCAATTGCAGATTTCAGCTCCTGCTCTTTTTCCAGCACCCGCGAGAGAAACGGCTCGTTGATATATCGGCCGTCTTTGCCTAGGAACCCCTGGTGGGCGGGGCATTCTGCCGCAGCGGGGTTGCTCGATGAGGGTCTGCAGTCGGATCGGCTATTCGGCGTCGGTGGGATTGTACTCGGGCCTGGGCTTTGACTGTTGGTAGTCGGTCGTTCGTCGATCATGGATGCGATGAACTGTTCAAGCTGTTCTAACCGTACTGCAACATCGGTTGTGCTTTTCTTCGGGGCTTGGCGCTTCACTCGGCTTGGTCCTGGATACTGGCAGGTTACATTCTGGCGCTTGCATTTGCTGCATGGTGAGCCCTTGTCGCATTTGATCTTGTGCTCGTGGCAGCGTACACAGGATCGCTCTACGTTGTACCGGCGTGGGTGGTCCATGGTGCTGTTTCACAAGCTAGCGAAATTTGAGGTCTTGGTACTAGGCTAAGGGGAATTTCTTTATCAGATCCTGGCTTCTGCAATACATTGACTATCGAGCGTCGAACTGGTGATGTAAGTTCGGTGTTCGGTCGTTCGTGAATTGCCGACGTCCGAAAATGTGGGGGCGAAAGCCGCTTGGCTCATGCCCTATTCCCATACATCAGATGATTATAATGCGAATGGACGGCCTCCAGATATTGTGATGGTCAATTTTATTCATCCTTTGTTCAAATATTGACCTCCAGGTGGAATATCCCGCCTTCAAAGGTCGGCCAAGTAACAGAACACACGCATCAATACGTGTAGACGTTGATTTGCCAAGTACAATCCCGAAGCCAGATGCTAAATACAAAGAACGCTAATAAGAAGGCTTCTGGGTTGGTCCCAGAATCCAGAGCCGCCAATTCCCCCATGAAACAGATATTATGAAATAAGAAGATCGCGGACACTCATGCCCTTTCTCCTTGGAATATCAGCAGGCGCAGCTGGGGTCTCCTCCGCAGACAGCGCCAATGCCGTACTCCCAGGGAAATTCTCACTGATCGAATCAGCAGTCCCTCTCCGATCCTGAGTCAGCATGAGCAAAGCTGCCGAAGCCTCATGATCAACCCCCTGAAACTCCTGCATCTTCTCGTTCGACGCCCATATCGGGCCCAGTGCCGGGCTAGGAAGGATAGATGACGCATCCTGCGGGATATTGGCTGAGGGGACTTGGGTGCGCGGAGAGAAGGACGGGGATGTATCGGGGAATTCTGTGGGAGCAGCGCGCAACTCCGGTGATGCAGAGGTGGAGTATGAATAAGCAGAAGAACTATCCCTTCGCATAGGCGGCTCGCCTGTTTCTGCGATGAACTCAGGGGATGTTGGAGAGGGGGGTGCGGCCGGGGTATGTGTGAATCCTCCAGTCTTCATGTCGCGGATACATTTCTCTAGGTAATTGACATAGTCAATGCTTGCCTTGTTGGGAGAGTTAGCATGTTGTCAAATTTCGGAAGAAATGTGGCTGTACCTGAAGAATGGCCAGCTTATGCATTTCCTGCCCGGTGCATGCTGGGATCATGTCTTTCAACGTCCCGAACTCCTCGTTCATCTTGGACCGTCGTCGCCGCTCAATTAGACTATGTGCGGTCTTGCGGGCGATCTTGCGGCCTGCAGCACTAGTCGCACTGGGCTGTTTCCTTTTAGAGTTCGATGTGGGGGGCATTGCGTCTTCTGAACTCTGTGAACCCTTGACATTTTCCCTCGTCCTGGTTTTTGAAGGTGACTTTGGCTTCATCTGGATGATCTTGCGAGTTCTGGTTGGTGGCGGAGGCAAATCAAAATCCTCGAGCGGGCGTTTGATCGATGTACCCGACCGTGCAGTGTGGCTTGAACGACGGCCAGAGAGTTCTGGGGAGGTTGGCGATGCCGGGGCATATGAAGGATCTGAGCGAGAAGATCTCCGACTGGCGTTACTCAATGCAGCAGGAGGTAATGTGAATGCATCCCCGTCGGGCTTATCTTTGATGATGAAGCCGCCCGACATGGCTGGAGTTGGAAGTCGTGACATTGTAAAATGGAGGGGGGGAGAAATATGTAAATAGGTGCAGAGTTGTACAGCAAGGGGTCCAGACTATATAACCGTGAACGTCCTCGCAGGCCAGGTTATAGATAGTGTCGCGTGCTTCCAAAGGTTACGCCCACGAGCTAGAACCGGCGATGCTGATTGGTGGAGCGGAGACTCGTGCCTCAGGGAGCAACGGACATTTGCTGGAGTCAACTGTGGGGCCATCCCGAGCTTATTGGTAGGTACCTGGTACTTACATTAGCGTGGTGGAAAGGGGCTACCCCCTGGTACCTGGTACCCATTACATCAATTGAGGTAGCGCAGCACGTGCATCGATTGGAGGACAGTCTGCGCTCGACGATTACACGGACGCACTTTATGTCTCGTTTTTGGCGACGGCAACATTTATATTCCCATTGGCTGGCGATGGCCTGTGTCGGTCTCCATCCACGGTTACATCTGAAGACTTTTCCGTTTTGCGTGAGACGCCCTCTTCTCCCTAGAGTACCCGCTTCCTCTCGAGTCATCCACACATGGCACGTGCATTCTCTTTGGAGTCGAATTGTGGATGCCGGGCAAGCTAGCTCAGGGACGATCTGTTTCGGAGTTCGAATTGGGAAGATAACGGGAGACTGCAATAAAGCATTCATATCACATGATCACATGACCCTCATCCCCTTATCCAATCTATTTACAGTCTCGTTCTCGTTTCAAGTAAGAGGAATAGAACGAAAGAACACCGGTTTTGAATAGGGGGTGGAGTTCGAGATCGCTATGGGGCAGTTTTCTCAGTCCAAAAAGTCAAAAGCATATTCCAATCTCTATAGAAATCAACAGCTATATACGTCTATACCCACCAGATGAGTTCCACTTTTCCACCAAACGGACATTAGTTGAAGAGCCTCTCAAGGATGATATTACCAAAGTCCTCCTCCCCAGGAGACTCATCCATCCGCCAGATGCGATTACCAGCACGGCCACTCAGCCAGAGACCATGGTCACTTGAGCTCTCCTCCTCGCCTTCGATGCGGTGACGGTTGCGGCGATCGGTAACGCACATACCGCGAGTCCACTGGCCCAATGTGTCGACTCGGATGTCCTCAGGCGAGTTTGCCGAGTGAACCCACTTCGGGTCGTCGGATGTCAACGCATACCAGACGCATACAGGGTCGTGCAGACTCAGCATGGCATCGTCACCAACATGTCCAGGGTGCAGGCGCTCCAAGGTTCTGAAGGTGTGCCCCATGAAGGCATCGACCCACTCAGCCAGCGGGGAGCCGGCAGCTAGAAGAGGCGTAATGGCCTTTCGGAACTGTCCGCGTGATAGATTGTGACGCAGGGTGATGTCAAGTGGGAAAAGACGCAGAGTCAGTTGCCGGCTAAGACTTTTAGGATACGGTGGGAGACTCCCGCTCTTGGTGGGTGGAACTGTCGTGTGGGGATTGGGCGAGGTGAGTGCGAAGATACGCGCGGCTGCCACTGCATCTGCGTAAGCGTTGAACTCGCCCATTGGTGTCACCTTTTAATATCAGCCAACGTTTCTCAATATTTCTTAAATCTGGAAAAGGCTTGACTTACATTTCCTGGCTCATTGATGGCACCACCCATGACGACCACCTCTTTCACGCGGAGAAATGCCTCCGGGTCTTCTGCTGCAGCCAAGGCCAGATTAGTGAGCGGGCCCACTGCTACCAGAGTCACTGAATCGGGCTCATTATCACGGAGTACACGGAGAATCTCCTTGTATGCTGGAAGCTTGGACGGGGTGAATGCGTGGTCGTCACTTGAGCAGTCCTCGACAGGCTTAATTCCCTCATCCAAAGTTTTAGCGAAGAGGTGCTCCCATGCCTTAGTAGCGGTGAGATGCGGGTGCTTTTAGAAATCAGCATGGTCTACTTGTTTTTAAGCCATAGCAAAGGCCCGGCTTTGTATGAGCTTCACATACCGTTGCGTGAATACCCCCAAGTCCATCGGTTCCGTCTGCGGGGATGTCAGTAAACGGTAGCTGAAATGGTAGAGTAGAACTCACGGAAATAGTCGGCAAGCATTTTTTGGTCTTCAAGGGGGTCCTTTGCACCGACAGCCAATATAGGACGGCAAGCTCTCAAGCTGCCGAAGCCTTCTGGTCGGCCGTTCTCGCGGCGCCACTGCATCTCCCGCTCGAGGATGTGGAACATTGACACTGCATTTCGGAGACAGCTGGATATCACGTCAGAAAATGTATCTGCTTTTCAACCCGAAATGATTCCTTACTTCTCCACCTCGATGTTACCGAATGTCAATGAGATGAGGAGAACCTCTACCTCCTCCGCGGTGGCGGACAGAGCTAGCAAAAGGGCGAGGACATCATCAATGCCCTGTGCTATGGTTAATTCTGAAATTATTGAAATGGAATCTCAGGAGCATACCGGATCCGTGTCAATGATAATCTTCTTTCCCATGGTGAATGTTGTTGACCTTCAAATGTTGGAAGATGACGGAAGTGGGAGCTTATCGTTATCGGTTGTTATCGGGCTGCGGGGTTTCGTCTGGCTATGAACCCCTCGTATGCAAATCATATACTGCACACTTTCAAGTGTATATTAGAGACACCACTGTTAGAATGATATCAAGCGATTGATCATGGTATATATTCCCAACGAAGAAAAATCTACTAGTCCAGGCTTAGGACTGCAATCCCGGTGACCGACGGTCCGCGGGCGGCCAATCCCCGTTATCCACCCGAGCCTCATGCCCCACCAGATGGCGGCAACATTCTCGGTGACAACATAGTTCCTGCTCGTCAAAATTTCTACGTGGAACACTTTTTGAGGGCACTTTTGGAGGGATTAAAGTGATCAGGAGCTTGTGATTGTTACTAGAACATGTGTCTTGAGCCAATCATCCATAACCAATGTCGCAGAATAGGTAAGAACCAAGCCGTAGCAGCATTTGCATATCACCCTCAAACACGTGGATCCAACCTCGGTACCTGCAATTTCTAGCGCTTCTGATAGCTTGACAGCGTGGCGGATGTCCTCTTGCCTGTGAACTAGTGGAGGAGCAGAAAAGCGCCTGCATTTAGGTTGGAAGCTATTCAGACAGAGAACTTGTATCTTAAACTTCCTAGCTAGAACACAAAAATTGAGGGAATGACGTCCGGGTCTTAGCTTATTTGTCCGTAGACTGGGTGACTACCGACGCGTTCATACTACGTGCACCTACCCATCTTCGGCTACCGAGATTTACACCCCTCATGTATTCCGTGGGACTTTTCAAATGGCAATGAGAGCCACGACTTCAGGATCGTCCACGAGAAAGCCCGGTTTGATGTTTGATGCAGACCTACATGGACCTCATAACAAATATCGTAATGTTATGGTCCCTGTGGTAGGTGAAGCAGCATGTGCTACGGGTCCCTCTGCCTGCGCTGTCTCATGGGGCTACGGTGAAATGGAGGTCAGAGGGATGGGGAGGAGAGAAGGAGAAAAGAAGAAAAATTGGGGAGGAGAGAAGGAGAAAAGAAGAAAAATTGGGGAGGAGGGGCGCTTTTATACCCCCAACCCACGTGCCTTCCTAAAGTGCGACAGGTCCCTCGCACCTTCCCTGTGTTCTGGCCCGGGAAATGAGAACACAATCAAAGGCTCAGCACTGGATAGATAGTACGTGAGATTATATAGCGTCGCGTCGTTTCTATGTACAGTTGGTAAAATATTTAATGCCTTTTCTTGCTGCAGATTGTACAAGGTCATCACCTCCTAGCCTCTAAGCGTCGGCGCCTAGAATAGGCACAATTTCCGACACAGTCTGCACGTCCTTGTCCCCCCTTCCACTGAGGCAAGTAACAACATCCTTCCCCGGTCACGTACAGCCCCGGCAATAGCATGAGCGCTTTCTCATGCAGGAACAATGCCTTCCATGCGACCTAGCAACGAAAAAGCCTCCAGTACATTGGTATTATTGGCCGAAACAAACGACATTCGTCTACTTTCCTTCCAACTGGCTAGCTCCGGGCCAACGCCAGGGTAATCCAGCCCCACAGAGATAAATTGTGTGTTTGAAATCTGACTACTTTCGTCTTTGTGGTATATAAGTGCTCAGGCTGTGAAGAACACCAACTGAGCCGCGACCTAGAGTTACAGAATGTTGTCCGGCTAGAGGCCCGCAATCACCAGCTTCAACACCAACGATTGTAACCGATGCATCTTATAGGAAATGGTAGGACATGCCTGCCGCGATTGAACCGCCACCCACACAGGTGACTATGGCAGTATGGAGTCGACTTCCATTCATTGCGAGAGCGAGTCTCCGTACCAATACCATTTTGAAACGTCCGGGTTCGGGAGTTGATCTGGTGGATATCACAATAGTTGAAAATCGAAGACTTGGAGACATATTTTAATAATATACTCCGTACATAGGGCTTATTAGTCGCTTATTTTAGTTCCTAGTCGTGCAATTGAAGGCTGAGGGCCCAAAATGGAGTTGATACTTCCCAGGAAGTTCTGAAACCATGCGGCGACTAATGCTCATCATATCACTTCTCTTCTCATACGTAGTCATCTACGTAAGAGAAGAGAAGGGATCAACTAAAGGTGATGATAAACTGTGTCCGACGGATGGAAGATAATGATCTAGCTACTACCATGAAGCTCTCTAAATAGCTTCATACAAACAAAGCCACAAAGATCTCATCCTCCAGAATCTAGAAGACACATCTCTGCAGGCCAGATAAAGAGACTGCCAAGACGGCAAGTTGCCTTACAGCTGCTACGGCTGCCTGTGAGAAGAGAGAAAGAGAGAAATAGATGCCAAAGGAGAGGTCTACAAGCTGCATAGGGAAATAGTGAAAGCCCCTAAAAGCATCAAAATCTAGAACAGAGGTAGAATGAATACTGTCAGAGAAGTAAATGTTTGACCCCTACTTCTCATAGAACAAAGACCAAGTCGTACAGCAGACCTCCAATCAAGGCACCGCTAATTGATCCCAGATAAGACCAGCAGAGGCAAGTGACATTCCGAAACAAGTCACTGTCGTAGCCTAGTGCCAATAAGGCAAGCCGGGTCCCGAGGTCTCGGCTTGGATTGAACACAGCTTCAGTTTGGGAGGCGAAGGCAGCGTGAAGACACACGACCACAAGGCCAAAAATGATTGATCTCATACCGGTGCTAGGACTCTTGTCGTCAACGGCTAGAACCATGACAGCCAGGAAAAGAGCTCCCATGAACTCGGTTATAAACACGGTCGCAGGCCCGATCCCCACTGCATATTGAACGGCCACGAAACTGGACACTATCAGATTTTCCGAGCTCGTAGTGAGGTAACGCTCGATGGATTGGTAGCAGAGGCTATACGCAGCAATGGCAGCTAAGAAAGCCCCTAGAAACTGAGCGCCCAAGTATCTGGGGACTTTTCGTTTAGGGAAGCCGCGGTAGAACCAAAGCATAATAGTGATAGATGAGTTGAGGTGGGCGCAAGATACATTGCCAGACAAATAAGTAGCGATCATGGTCGCAGACCCCCAGATCCAACTAGTGTCGGGGTGGGACTTGTTGGTGACAGCGGCGATATTTGCACAAAAGCCAATTGCGAGCTGAATGAAGACAGCTGCCGCCTCGACAACATATTCGAAAAGGATTCCATGGATCACGGAGCGTGTCCTGTTGCTGATGTGGAGGCTTACAGGCATGCTCACCGTAGCGCCTAACCGTCTGTCTGAGTGAACATTTAGATCTTCAGGCGCTTGTTGATGAAGCTCGCCCTGTCGTGGGCGTTTAGATTTCACCCCATCCAAAATGAGCAAGGGGCCTGGAGCGGTGCCCAGAACAGATGCCGGACTAACTGGCGCGGTGCTGGAAATCAGAAGAACGCTCTTCGGTAGTACTGAATTGATGGTTTTATTATTGCCAAATGAGGAGCTCATTCTTGAGCTGTGGTCGTTGTTGCAAGTTGTTTTTCGAGAGATGCTAGGAATGCTGATTTATGACTTCACCATCTGTCAGCTATGCTTTCCTCCCTGCTTCATGTTGAACTTGACTTACCCTAAATTCTGGCCGTCTTGCCTGGCTCCGCTCATTCGTTTTGTGATAACGTGTTCGTAAGACAAAAACAAAGAGAAAGAAAAAAAATCGAACCCAAGCTCAAAATAATTAGCAAAGAAAGTAGACTCAAAATGTCAAATTGCAAGGAAACTTGTGTTCAATTCTTTCGGCCGACCAATCGAGGCCAATTATTCCTGCCTGGCCCCTTGATCAGGCCTCATCGCCTTTGACATATAGTTTCCATACTATATTTGGACGTCCATGGACTTTTAACTACTAGTAAATATTTATCATTTGATACTTGCTGAGCCCCCAGAGACATCTTGATTCCCTCTTAGAATAGCCGTGTTGTTTATTGTGAAATATAAAGCCAGACAGCGAACTGTGTGTATACCACATTTGGTCACTCAAGAATCACTGCCGATATACGGCAGATCCTTGAAAATCTCGGCCGAGATAATGGAGACGTTTTGATCTTCGAAAAAAACATGGCTTGTAAAAAGATCCTTATATGGAGGATTAGTCGAGTTTGCATAAGGTTGTATAAATCCTGGGTATAGGGAGGAATATATAGATGGATGGGTCAGACATTGGCACCGTAGAGCTGCCAAGATCATACCTTGTGAATGAAAAGAGTGTTGGACTTGTACTTAACGCAGTATATTGGGATTCGAACCTGACTATTATACCCTCATTTTTGCTGCCTCTCATGCCGCTTCTCAGCCTCTGAATCCTGATTTCGCTTGGCAAGGGAACGACATTGGTGTATTTTGACACCAAAAGGCTAGCTTGCATGATACATGCACATATGTTTCCTTTTTTCGAGTGAAATTTGCCTTACCCGGCCCTAAGTGCATGCTTGAGTGGCTTAGCTACCAGAAACCCTGCGAATGGTCTTAAGCCCACATGTCATAGCCTCCGCATGATCAGCAGTCGCAGCTCCAGGTGTCGGGTGTAAATAAAGATGTGTCATAAGCCACACCATAAATTGGGTGGCGTTCCTTTCGAAAAACTTTGACTACTCCGTACATGTCTCGTGTCGTGACCTTTTTCTTGTCGTTCGATTCGTTATGCTTTCCAGGGACACTTTACAGAGTCCACAAAGCTGAGATTAAGCTAATGGGAACAGCCAAAGCACAATCCGGACGAAGGCACGAGTAAGTAAACAAAATCACGCTCTAGACGCCGCCACGTTTCTTGGCAAACCTATCAATCAGAATGGGCGATATTCCACCTCGTATCCCCGACACACACACATTTTAGCGCGAAGTGAATTCGGCGATCGAGAACCTCTAGGCTACTCTCGGGCACCATCAATGCCACTACAGAACCCGGCTAACATATAACAGGACGATAAATCAAGGTAAGCCTGAGTATGGCCTGAGGTGTTTACAAACCGCCGTACCTATGTATCGCAGATATTAGCGTCCATAGCATGCCCCAGCCCCTTTTTCACGTCCCCGCCGGTCATCTCTCTCGTGTTTGCATCTCAGTTCTTTCGTCTTCGCTGTCTCACAATGTCACTTCCCGTTGTCTCCGTCGCGGGAAACGGGCTGTTGTCCAAAGGCAAACGATTCCAAATCAAAGGTAACTTCATTTAAAACAATGTGTAATTCATGCTAACATTTCCAAACTAGGTGTCGTTTATGGCCGAAGATCCTCTCGCTCGACTCCGATCGACGTTTTGGCCGGTTCAAGAGCCAGTCAGTGCGCAATCGATGGCCCTATGATAAAGGCACTAGGGGCGAATACTATCAGCGTGGGCTACATAGATGCGACCCAAAGCCACGATAAATGCATGCAGGTTTTCGAGGACAATGGCATATACGTTCTTGCCAACATGGCGAGTCAAAGGGATTGGAGCCTTATGAAATATGACAGGAATGGATGTCAGCTCGAACATAGTGAGTATTTTCGGTCACTATATGCTCGCTACATATGGGTACTAAGATTCCCAACTGCAGGCCAACTCCACATGGCAAATGAACGTTTTCAAACAATACGCGGCTGTTCTGGATTCAATGGCCGGATACAACAACCTCTTGGGGCTTCTTGTTGGAGATGAAATTATTAGTGGTATGCAGCCTCCACCGCTCACGGCCTAAACAAGATTTAAATGCATAAAATAGGCTATACATCGGTCGATCTAGCCCCGTATCTAAAGGCTGCAGCTCGAGATATGAAAGCTTATACTGCTGCTAGGCAGTATCGTCCTATACCGATTGGATACGCCACAAGCGCAGAGTATACCTATATGCAAGCGCTAGGAGAATACCTTGTGTGTGGCGGTAACAGCGACAATGCTGTAGATTTCTATTCGGTCAATGACTACCAGTGGTGTGGCAATTCGTCCATAAAAGAGTCCGGCTACGACACCTTGACATCGAAAGTCGAAGGCCTATCGGTACCCACATTCTTTTCTGAAGATGGTTGCGACGAAGTATCTCCGCGGCTCTTTGGGGACCAGCCCGCGATTTTTGGGTCTAACATGTCAAGTATTTGGAGTGGTGCAATCATCGATGAGTGGAGGCAGGAGTAAGTTGCAACCCTTGATACTCATTTGACATGTACTAACATCACACAGGACGGGAAACTACGGGCTTGTCTCATATACCACTTCAGGAGTCAGCACGCCAACAACTCTGGCCGACTACAATGCTCTGAAAAGCCAGTGGTCTTCTATCAGTACAAATACTGAACCTCCGTCTACGTTATCTACCCCTTCCTGTCCCGCATCGATCAATTCATATTGGCCGATAGACCCCAGCGCTGCATTGCCAACAATAGCGGGTCTTGACTTTGCGACCATCAAAGCCGCGGGTGCTACCGATACTACGGATAGTACCAGGACGAGTATCAGTACGAGCACCAGTACCAGTAGCAGCCATAGCACGGAATCCAGCCTTTCAAGTGGTGCAAAGGCCGGGATTGGTATTGGTGTTGCGTTGGGCGTGGTGCTCTCCATCAGCTTCCTCTTCCTGCTTTTCTGGCACCGACGAAAGATTCGCCAAGGAAGCAAATTACCTTTGATGACACAGACCCCCGAACTTGCTGCGGGAAGTTTGAATCGTATTGCTCCCCCAGCCGAACTAGCTCACACTACTCCGCTGGCCGAATTAGCCCAAACAAATTCATTAAATGAACTACCGGGTTCATCTCCGAGGGCCCAAGAGCTTGACACTGGGGTGGTTCACAAGGCTGACAAGCCTAAACCAATCATAAAGTGAATTACAACATCTGGATGGTCCTAAGTATTAGCTATATCGATGCAACCTCTCAATATCGGACAATTTATATGCTAGGAGTAGGTCTATTCTTGTATGTCTAACTATGACGCCAATTGCAGAAAATTTCGGCCTCTCATTCTTATGCTTTTACTTTCTCCCTTAGATGCAGTCGACGTTTCCATTTCATGCGGCTCTTTCTCATCGCCCGCTGAGTCCTCTCTAGAGGGTAATTGACTGGGGACTCGCCGCCAGTGAAAACCATGAAGTCATATAAGAAGCCACCAGCGAAGGCACCACTTATGGTACCCACCCACGGCCCATAAAACCAATACGGATTCAAAAAGAGGTCTCTGCCGTACCCAAGTGCCAGAAGGGCAAGGCGTGGGCCAAAGTCACGAGTTGGGTTGAATGCAGCGCCAGTCTGGTAAGCGAAACTAATCATTAAGCAGGTGATGACAAGCCCGATAATGAGAGAGTTCATTCCAGCACCGGGAGGGGCGTTCTGGTCGTCACCAAGGGCAAGAATAGTGGTGGTTAACACGATGGTTCCTAAGAACTCGTTGAAAAAGGCCGTGGCAGGCCCAATCCAGGCTTTACGCTGATTGGTCACAAAGCTGTTGATAATTCCGGTATCCATATTTGTGTCGATACTGAGGTAGTGCTGAATTGACTGGTAATAGAGCCCGTACGCGGTGAGCGCAGCGCAAAAGGCCCCGACGAACTGTGCTATACAATACTCTGGCATCTTCCGTTTCGGGAAGCCACGATAGAACCACAACATGATAGTGATAGACGGGTTGAGGTGCGCACCAGAAACACCTCCGGAGATGTAGATTCCCGACATAGTGGCAAAGCCCCAGGCCCAAGCGGTGGTATTCGGGTTTCCTGCATCAGCAACCGTGACAGCCAGGTCAGCGCAGAAGCCAATGAAGAGCTGTATAAAGACCCCTAGAGCTTCGGCTAGAGCTTCGCGATGGTGAGTCCTGATCACAGACCAGGTAGTGTGGTTGTTATGTACCTCTTCCTCAATCAATCCTTGTACAAGGGGATGTAGATCATCAGGTAAAGCCTCGTGATCAAAGTCAAGGCTACCTATTGTAAAATTATCCTCGCGCAAGTCCTGTGGAGGCTCTTCGCTCGGAGGCTGATGCTGATCCTCCCCTTCCTCGACAGAGGACAGCTTGGTTGCATTAGGCGAAAGCCACTCGGAGGGTTGTCTCCCGCGCATTGACGAAGTACGAGATACCCGGCTGAATCCAGCACCGCCGCTTAGGATTTTGTTCATAATGTTGCTCTCACGTTGCAGGCGAGCATCCTCAACTTGGGCCGAAATCTCCCGTGGATCAGCGGACTTCTGGATCTGGCCCCTCTCGATATCATTGGGGTCAATGTCAAGGCCGAGCTTCTGTGAATTCTCCGCTGGAAGCTGAGCAGAGGCATGGTTTTCCAACAGCTCCGCTTTGGTTGGTACCATGCCCGGCCGTACCACTCGAGGCAACGGTTTCGCCAAACTCCATACTGGCTTGGCGTTGGCAGGTTGCTCGTAGGAAGGGTTCAGGTCGATGTAACCTGGTTGGACGAACGGTTCATGGGAAAGTCGCAACTGAGTCGTCTCGTCAGGGCCAGCGACAATGAACTCCCCCTGAGTCCTCTCTGCGAGCGTGGTCCGCGGTACGAGACTGGGTAACACGCTCCGCCTAGAGGTCACTGAGCTACGCCGTCGGACATCAGTGCCGTTACTAGTTGCATCGAAGGAGACCCTTGTGGGTGAGACGAATGATTCGTCCGCTCGGGAACGGGTGCTTCTCGCCGGCGAGGTAGGTGTGTCTACAGACTCGGACTATGGATGGAACCAATGGTCAGTCACCTCTTGCCTCATTTGTGTTTATCTATCGTTCCTTCCTCACTCGCGTTCTTTCTTTCTCTGGGTTCTTTTTGGAATTACCTTCGTCCTTGCAAGTTTGTTTCCTTCGGCATCTCTTCTTTCCATATTCCAGTCGATGATTCGAGGTAATTTCTTAAGTGTTAATTGAAAAAAAAAACAAACAATCGAAAAGAGACCAGAGAAATAAAGGGTGGAGAAGTATCCGTATAGGCTAGGTTATCAAATTATTAGGGCTTCTATTTACCACACATTGTTACTACTGTTTCAATACACAAATTTTAAATGAACACTTCGTTTAAAGGGGGGCCAAACTGAACAAATAGATCGTGTCATCGGACGCCAGCACCGATCCGCAATGATGCGTTTGTCGGCCGAATGAATTCTTCGAGTTATTTTGGGCTATTACGGAGTACAGGCCATATACGAAAGCCTAGACTTGATTCCGTATATCAACGAAGCATCTCATCATTTGAATCGTCCGATGTCATGGAAAATTATCCTCGCAACGAAGATTCATGTAACAAGCATCATTGCTATATGTGCTTTATCCGCCATGCGGTCCAGTCTGGAAGTCGTTGGCCTTCAACGATTCTCTTCCTCGGGGCTGCTTTTGAGATTCCCCTCATTCTTACAACATGCCGCAAGCTCTTAGTGCTACGGCGATTCCTCGCTATAACTACCACCGTACACCCTCTTAGGATCCAATTTGATCATTGTTAACTTGATTAACTTGATGACCTCTTTACGAACTAAATGTTTCACTTCTATGCAAGCATTGCTTTTGTTTGAATCCTTATGGCCTCGTGATGGCCTAGATCCCTCTGAATATCTTTTTTTTATGGTCTCTAAACGACCCAGGTGATATTTCCTGCCTCTTTCTCCGATATTCAAAATCGGGACCTCACTTCCTCGAATACCGCGCTCAGAACTTGTGTGTATCGGCACTAAAAACTGAACAATACCTGCTTATTGTAGTCAGGCAATAAAGCTTGTTCGGCTAACATAAAAGCTTAATCTTGATATAGTGTCACTACTTTTCCCCTCATGCGGGGTGCGGAGAATGCTTGTCAAAGGAAAGTCACGCATCGGCGAGTCTTAAACTTACACGAAGAATATAGTAGTAAAAAGGTTTAGGTTAGAGGCTGGCCCAATGGAATTTGTCAGCATTCGGTAGCAAAACTTGAAGCCTAGTTTGGAGAAATCGGTCAAGGCAGACCTCGAGATATGTCGGCCGAGATATTTGATGCATTAGTCTCGTGCCTGCGAGTGGTACGAAAAACCAGAATACATGCTCCAAATCAAACCTGCTAGGAGAGTGTAAATCAATAAGTATTTGATAGTTGATAGTTGATAGTCGTCTATTCGTAGACCACCGGCAAGGATAGATAGATCATAGCCTTAATCCCAAATCAATTTCAAAGCCGGTGCTTGAACTATACCCCAAGTAGCAAGGACTTGGTTAGTGAAGACCCTTTGGGTTTATAAAGAATGGACGATACAAGATTTAGAATACCGGGGCATAATCTGAGTAGGATCAACGCCATAGATTTGCTCGGTCTCTGTATTCGACGGGGCATATCAAAGGTTTAAATATTCAATATATTGGCCTGATTATAAGTAGCCCGCAATATCTCCCTCCCACTTGGAGCTTCCTAGCGATTGAGCCTTCACGAAGAATCTCATATTTCTTGTCACCCTCGGCATTTCCCATACCTCAAACAGTTATCCCTCTGTACTCATCTCCATTGCTTGTCACCGCGATGTCAGATATGACGGGATCAGCAACCCAGCCAAAAGGCTATTGGCTGTCCTCCCGGCCTCGGCATCCTCACGATGTCTAGCCGTGCTGTCCAGCAAGTGCATTTGCGCAAGATTCCACCAGGTTCATATTACGCCTCGATCGCGAAATGGTACCCTGTCATGCAAAAATATGAGAACAACGAACCTGCCTACTTTACCACACCACCAACTCAACTCATCCGCGCTCTACACGCTACTCTAAGCCAGATCACAGCTCGACCTATTGCTGAGCGCATTGCCATTCACGGCAGGCTTCTGACAAGATTAAGGCTGCTGTCACTCGGCCTGGTCTGAAACAGGTTGCTACCCGCCCCGAGTGCCAGGCTCACGGGCTGACTGCAATGTACGTACCTCCTGGTTTGACCCCGCCTGACGTGCTCCCTGGCATCCTTAGGCGCGGGGTGGTATTTGCGGCTGGCTTGCATAAGTAAATAGCCAATCAGTATAATCGATTTGGTCATATGGGTGTCAGTGTTTTGGATACAGATCGCGGCGATATTGAGAAGGGTTTGGTAGCTCTGAGGGACGCTTTGACTGAGGCGAGACAGATCAAAGGGATGTAGGGATGAAAAGGTGGCTGTGTACTGGCACAGTCAAGGTCTCAGTGGTAGTTACTATCCATCCATCGTCTGTAACTCGCTTATTGGGATCAAGGAAACTACCACAAACCTCGACGAGGCAGTAACAGAAGCCTTTGTAATACCTAGCTCCAAATCGTGATTCTATGTATACTCAGGTCGATGACCTACAGCGCTCTCCGTTCATTTCTCATGCAGTCCGATTATTGTCCGTCACGGCGGCAACGGCATCTATCAGTTTGCTGAGGGTAAATAACCCTGAAGACCAACGGGGCTGTATTTCTCCCACATCACCTAGCGGTCACTTCCGCGTGCTACATTAGTTACTTAGTGTTTTGAATGATAGAACCTTCTCCCTCTGCGACGATAAAGGTTTCGACCTCCTTTTTTTTAGTTTGCTGAGAGGTTGTTTGTGACTCGACGCCTTAGGGCGGGCCGGCCCCGCCGCCTGGGCGCGTCGCGGAGTCTTTGTCGCGTCGGTGAGCCAACCACTTACAACATACCCACACCGCAAACGCCCCTGGCCAGATATTACTGAAACCTCGGTGACCGCTCATATCATGGGCTTAATGGGAGACTTCAGGAGAGTCAAAGGACACAGAAGAGTAAGAAACTAATCTGATATGTCGAAGACTTACTCCGTACATATTGATGACCGGCGAACCAATCCCACGCCTCCTTTTTCAAAGTGCTGCATACTGCAGGTCTTAGACTCGTTAGCCAATGCCAATGCATGACTTGACCACCAATTGGACCGGGTGGTCCGTTATGTCCGGTGCATAACTCCTTTCCGCCTCGTGGTAGGGCTCCTGTAAGGGGTAAAAGAACATTTGAGATCCCCTGCCGGATCGATGAATCCAATGTTCAAATAAATGAATGCTCCACGCTAGGAAGATATAAATCAGAGCGTCGAAAGCGGAGAATAAAGAGACAGGCGGAGACGTGGCCTGTTCACTCTCGGTGTCTTCATATATTGGAGCTTATTAGTATGTTCCCCAGGTACGGAGTACGTTGAATACAACGATTGAAACATATGCAGTCAATGCTCAAATCAGCGTACGGTATAAGCATCACATTGAAATGTTTATTCGCCAAGTTCCTAGACAAGTAGAAAATCGAGGAGACTTGAACAGTTAGACCAAAGATCAAGATGCTCTAGAAAGACGCCTTGGAGGTATATAATAAATGCAGTGAAGTCCAAAGCCAAGGGCTCGGTAATTTACCATTACCGTCACAGTACCGGGGTGGATCTGCCACGGTTGCCCTTTCCTCTACTCCTCTGCTCTTCGCCTTTCCACCTTTCCTCCCTTCTCCATCTTCTACTCTCTTTAACTTGCCTTGTTTATCCTGCGCACCGACTGTTCCTATTCCTCCCATTCACGAATTCATCCCCCCAGCGCATTCCCCCAGGCGCTCTCACGGTCAATTGACCGACTGGAATCTCCTCTTGAGGACCTTCCTACTGGATACATCAAGCTTCTGTAGCTGAGTACAATTGGCTCGGCTTTCGGTGCGCAACTCAATTTCGAAGTGCGCGTGCGCAATTGTCCTACCCTCTCATCCCCCGCAACTTTCTTCATCCGTCATCTTTCGATCAACACCCATCCTCCGCCTATCTCGGTTTTAATCCAACAGTAAGTTCCATGCAACCATCATGGCAGCGTTGATGGTACTGACTTACGAGTGCACAGCTCCATGACTATGAACCCCTATATTAGCTGGGCGATCTTGCTCGTCGTGGCAGGTAGCCTGGGCTGGTACTACACCAATGGCACAACCCCCAAGGCCAACGTGATTCGAGCTGCCGTCGAGAAGACCGAGGCCACTGTAGCGCCCAAGAAGTCAAAGCGCAAGTCTAAGCCTGCTCCCGAGCCGGCTGCCGCCAAAAAGTCTGAGGTGAAGACCGTCGTGTCGTCCCCCACCACCGAGGATGACAAACCGGACGAGGAAATCGACCGCAAGGAGATGGCCCGTCGCATGGCTGGCCTGAAGACCAACGCTCCTGCTCAGCCCGCTCCCGCCAAGCCCGCTCCCACAAAGAGTCAGAAGAAGAACAAGAAGAAGGCTGCACACGCCAGCGACACCCGTGCCTCCTCGACCACTGGCGCTGAGGCTGACGACGATCTATCTTCCGCCGGGTCGCCCCAGGTGAACGCCACTGTTCCCTCGGCCGGATATGTTTCCGACATGCTGGAGGCCCCCGCCCCCGGTGCATCTGTGCTCCGCGTTACTGGCAATGTGGAGAACCAGCCTAAGAAGCAGAAGGTTCAGACCTTCAAGGAGGTGGAGACCAAGAAGCAGCGCCAGCAGCGTCTCAAGAACGAGGCCCGCAAGCAACAAGTTTTGGAGGCTGAAGCTGAACGCAAGAAGCTGCTTGAGAAGCAGTTGCACACTGCTCGCGAGTCGGAGCGCCGCGAGGCTGCCCGATCATCTACACCCGCTGCCAACGCCTGGCAGACCCAGGAAAACATTGCTCCAGTGAAGACCAACGGGGTCAATGGCGGATCCCACCCCGCTCCCGCCGCTCCTGCCACTTCCGTCTCTCAGGGCCTTCTGGATACTTTTGAGTCCCCTGCTGCTCCTACTAAGTGGGCTCAGAACCTTCCCTCTGAGGAGGAGCAGCTGCGCCTCTTGGGAGCTGCCAAAGGTGATGACGAATGGACCACTGTCTCTAAGAAGCAGCCCAAGAAGAAGGGCGCCAAGTCCGACGAGAGTGTCAGCGAGACCAGTGCCTCGGAGAACCACTCCACCCTTGTTGCCCCTGCCCCTATTGAGCCGCGCGTGACGGTGACCCCAACCTACCTCCCCGACATCTTGCGCTCGCGCGAGAAGGGCCACCCGCTGGACTCTGACTGGGCTGCGTGAGCTGTTTCCTTCATGAAGTATTTCTCTCCGTTCTCTCTTCATCTTGAACTGTATTTATTACCCTTACTTCGTCTTTGTTTTCTCTTTTTTGGCGTTCTGGGGGTGTCACATCATTCAAGCACCCTCCCTCCCCTCAACAATGGGGCCTGGGAGGTTGCGCAACGCATTAGGAGCGGAATTGGTAGATTCCCTTGCAAGTTGTGCAAGAGGAAGAACTGCACTGCGGCAACAAAAGCAGAATTGCGGGAATGGATCTGACGCTGTGTTTGTGCAAGTTCTTTTTTTTCTTTGTTAGTCTAGCTGGCAAAAATCTGTATTGCAATGAAATCATAACCAATGCTTGATCTAAAACAAAATAAGGCGCAAGAATGTAGAGCTTCCTCCGATATTCACTATAGAGTCCCTGTGTCGTCACTATTCCCAAAACGGTTTAGCGGCCAGTTCCGGTTATCGTGGCCTGAAGGTGCTTTGTATACAACTCCTTGGTATTTGCTCCTGTCTTGAACTTCTTCTTCCCCAACCTGTGAGGACTCAACTCCAATTTCTTCTTCTTCTCAATCTCTTTTTGTATTATTCTTCCGCCATGGCCCAAATTCGTGGCACTGCGGGCTATAATCTCGGCCACCAGAACCCGTTTGGCGGGCCCGGCAGCGCAGATGCCGCCAGCGATCCTAGTCCACTGGACGCAATCCGCGAGCAGACAAGCAAGATCGAGGACTGGTTGGATACCTTGGCCGATCCAGTGAAGCCGTATGTTTCAATCCTACTCTTTGTTTTGGGCTTATTTCTCTACCCGCGTCGTGGTTCAAGTCGCGAAAGAGCTCAAAACAAGGGATTCAAGGCATGCACTGACACCCTGTTCTTTCGCTCTCTAGCTACCTTCCCGCTATCGGCCGATTCCTCATCGTAGTGACCTTCATCGAAGACTCGCTGCGCATCCTCACACAATGGAGCGATCAGCTCCTTTATCTCCGTGATTTCCGGAAGAGTAAGATAATGCCCCTGCATCCCGGTCCCTGATCGGCACGACTTAGGGTCCAGGGTCCTGCATAACATCGTCTAACGCGCTTTTTTCTTCTGCTGGCTTTAGTTCCGTGGGGAATCACGCACACGTTCCTTCTTGTTAATGTCATCGCCATGGCCGTTTGTTCGTTCCTGGTCATCGCCCGCAAACGCACCGAGGTCGCCGTCGCGGGATTGCTCGCCGTTGTTGTCACACAGGGTCTTGGATACGGTCTCATCTTCGACTTGAACTTCTTCCTTCGCAATCTGAGTGTTGTCGGTGGTCTGCTTATGGTCCTGTCCGATTCGTGGGTGCGCAAGAAGTTCGTCCCCGCCGGTCTGCCCCAGCTTGATGAAAAGGACCGCAAGATGTATGTCCAGTTCGCTGGTCGTGTGTTGCTGATCTTCCTCTTCATTGGGTTTGTTTTCTCTGGCGATTGGAGCTTCTGGCGCATTCTGGTCAGCTTGTTCGGTTTTGTCGCTTGCGTCATGGTCATTGTTGGCTTCAAGGCCAAGTGGAGCGCCATCATTCTTGTGGTCTTGCTGAGTCTGTTCAATGTGTTTGTGAACAACTTCTGGACTGTACGTTTACTGGGAGATTGATTCTATCTTTGGTTACTGATGGTTTCGTCTAGCTGCATGCCCACCACCCGCAAAAGGACTTCGCCAAGTACGACTTCTTCCAGATCTTGTCGATTGTGTATGTTGTCTCTCCCCAATAGGAGATATGTCCAACGCTAACAATTTCTACAGTGGTGGTTTAGTCCTACTCGTCAACATGGGCCCCGGCCAATTGAGCATGGACGAGAAAAAGAAGGTCTACTAGAGCAGAAGGAGGTCGAAACGCGATTCCCTTCTCTCTATATATCTCCCGGCATCTGCATCCTAGCAAACACAACAAAGAGGGATAGAAATCAACAAGGGGCGGCCTGGCTGGTGCTCCGCGGGCTCCGAGCATTCAGATACGGGCCCTTTTCGACCCTTGACTGGTTTGCAGAGGCTATGCATGGCTGGGTTGGGCGTTGTTTGCATTTGGGATGATTTTGAAACGCCGAGGAGATCCAACGATCTACTCGTTATTGCGTCTTTTCTTTTTTGGGTTGTTCTACCCCGCGCTTTTGTGTCCTGGTCTCTTCTTTCATTGAGATCGAAAACAATGTCCTTTGCATATGATGTTTTTGATGTGCATTTGAATTGCATCTATCACGAAGACAAACTGAATGGAAAATCTAACGCTGATTGCGACGCATATCTGTATTGTCCTTTGCTTAAGACTCAATAATAGTAGCAATGGCTACGTCTAATAGAAGGCATCTAGTAATATTGAGCCGACTTCTGTCCCTCTTTATATATGTCTCTTGTTGACCATTGTCAAACCCCCTATATGTTCCTGTGCAGAATTTTACTTGCTGAGGAAGTCGGACTCTTATGTATCATTCTGTATATAAAATCTACAGTCTAGACATATGTTGCTCATATTTAGTTTTATAATACGGATATTCTGACGGCCCAGATCTAAATCTAGATGAAGGGCAGCAGCTTCTAGAGATCTTGTATAAGAACCACCGAGTTTCAAGAAACATTCAACTATATTTACACTAACATAGTATTCATCTCGCCGATTAAATGTCTAAAAAGAGAAAAACATTCATTGCTGGTCAAACGCTATGTACTGGTGGTAACCCTAACAGAGAGGGAGTGATTATGGTACAAGGAAGAGATAACATCTAGGAACTAAAGCAAAGCTGAAAAGATAGAAAAGAGAATTCCGCAGGGCCACAAAGTGAGGGAGATAAAGGAGAGACAAGGAAAAGGATTGTGAAATGATAGGAAGGAGTGCTGTCATGATGAACTCGCCCGTTCTCTTACGGCTGTAATGAAACAACGCTGTGAGGGAACAGCAGAGGAACTTTTGCAGGATGGAGGTGCATTTCGCTTTTATATACCGGACCAGCCAGGTACATTCCTATGAGGGATCTGAGTCCGACAGCGAGAGGATGAGTGTTTGCTCCGGTGTTTTCTCCGAGGCAGATTTGGCAAACACGGAAGGAGTCTTGGAAAACGAGGTGAAATAAAGGACAAACAAGGACAAAAAATGACTAAAAAGCAGATGCTCACTGGGCTTGATATGCTTCAAACGCCGTATTGCTAAACCCGGAGAAGCTGATGCGAGGGGAGATATGGCGTTGCTGAGGGATGAGTGTTGTGGAATTCGCGTTCGACTTTAGATGTCCATGCTCCAACGCCAGGGGCGGATAGGCTGCAATTGACCCAGACCAACATCATCGCGGCTGTCGTCGTTGATCTCTAGGTGTAGCATGTGGACCTTCTTGTTGTCCCGGTGGACTGTGGAGAGAGTCTTCGAGATATGTGGGCGGTAGGTCTTATCTTCATCTGTGGCTTTCGATTGAGGGCGAGATGCAGGGGTGTCAGGGTATTTCCATTCAAAGCTTGGAGAGTCATCCGAGAGGGTCGTGGAGAACATAGAGTCAGTTCGAGAGTGTAAATCTGCGTCTGGAACATTGGAGTCGATACGGAGTCGAGTCAACGACGGTCGACGTTGTTGATGGTGCTGGGTGGTGTCATCGACAGCTCCGTCGCCAGACTCGCTGTTGATTCGTTCAGTTTCGTTCTCCCTGGCCACATTCTTGGGAGGCCGGGATATGTTACCACAGGCACTACCACGAGTCGGCGAAGTGACGTCGGCTTTACCAGCCATCACTCGGGCACTCGGTGGTGGCTGGAGCATCCATCTGGTCTCGGCACGGCTACACGGTCCACTAACAATGGGCGGGTGGAGGTCGTTCACAGGCGGCACGCGGGCGATGTAGTACTTGGAGGTTTCGTTCGGGTCTGCACGACCGCGTCCAGAGAATCCAATGGACGATCCGCGCACTTCCTGTTGTCCCCAAAGAGGCTCATCTTCGCGTTGGTAGCGCATTGATTTCCACTTCTCGCCGAGTGGATGCATCAGGCCAGCACTCTTGTCTTTCTTGAGTTGCGAGCTCTGGTCGGTAGTGCAACTGTCCGTTCGTTGAACAGGGCGGTGACCACCCCGACGAGCTGGAGGACCAGGGCCGAGGGCGATTTCTTCCCGCCAGCCTACATTGGTACTGAACGGGGTTGGTTGTGGGAATGGACGAGGTTGGTCGGTGATTAATTCGTTGTTGCGTCGCTCCTTCTCCTTTTCCCGCTGCACCCGGGTAGCATCATTTCTACGTTTCCGACGATCGAGGTTCTCGGCGCAGGGGGTGCAAGTGGCATAATAGAAGACCGCGGACTGAGCGCCCCGATAGAGCCACATGGCTGGCGCGGGGGGGTGAGTGGGGAAGATCGGTTTATTGGGGCTTGTTTTGTGGCTAAGAGTGCACCGTCGTGGACGACGGGCTATCAGCCCGTGAAATCTGTTGGGATTGACGCGGTATTCGCTCGTTGTGTTGTAGTGATACTATCGGACACATGAAGGGCTGAGCGGATAGGGGGGAAACTGCGGAAAGGGGCGGGATGGCAAGGTAAACGTATGAATTGGAGATCGCCCAGCGATCTGTAGGCTCAAGAGAGGGTAAAAAATAGTTGGGAGAGAGGGGGAGAGAGAAGAGAGAAGTGAGATGAAATGACAATTAGGGGAGGTTTCTGAGGGGGCGTCGTTAGTTTCTGCCTGGGGTGTTTCGCTTTGAGTTGATATTTTTTTTTCACTGTTTGCGGCCTAACCTGGGTATTCCACGTTCATATATGTCAAGATATATAGACAATTACAATTCACCGACTTCTTCTAAATCTTCAAACAAGTTACACCCTGCAGTATACACCTCACATTGTCACAAATAGCCTCCTAACTTGCTGCGCCAAGGCCGACAGGGGGCTGAGGACCGAGGCGTATGGGGTACTAGATAATTATAGAGATCGGATTGAACTACGGAGTACCCTGTCCGGAGCATACAATCTATAACATCACTGCCTAGTTCTTTATCTCTCTCTCTCTTTGTGATCCTTTTCTTTCTTGCTACGAGGATACATATGTACTCCGTTGACTCCACACCGTATGAGACCTTGGCATCTTCCCGCGTGGAGTCGAGCAGGAATGTGGCTGCAAACGGTAGATTACTCCTTTTTGTAGAGAATGCAGAAGATTGGAATGGTAATTCAGTAGATTCACATTCTTCTGGACCGTAGGGGCCTACATCTCATACTTGAAAGAGGCCAAGTAGTCGCATCCCCGTAAATTCATTGTCTGTGCCATCGTCTGTGCTCTGGGCCCCCCGCAAAAGTCATTCGAGGGGCAACAATGCCGAGTTGATGGTCTCATATGTAGCCATTGCATCATTGCACATCAGAGTCGGATATGTCAATGAAATCACAACCCGTGAAAGATCGCTGTAGGTTCGCAGTAAATAATCAATAGATCGACATTCAACAGCGTATCCATCGTGGTAGGCCAAGAAGCCCGCAATGGCGAATTCAATAGTAAAGAGCCACACGCAACGCTGGCAAACTCCAAGATTCTTCAGCTTGCTGAATCGTTGTATCGCATGCAAATGGTTTCCTTAAAACGCCCGAAAACTGATGGAAAATAGCACCGTGTATGTTGTAAGCCCCCGCTCATGCATTCTTCGTGCCTCGGATTACTTCGCCTTTCACCTTAGACCAGTCTATCTCGCTGTCCATTTTCTCGTCTATTTCACCACACACAACGACATTGTCACCGCGGATCAGGTACAGCCCATGCTCAATCTCTGTGGAGGGCTCCTCGTCGTCGGGAGTGCGGATGATGCGTTCAACGGTATTGGCCAGGACAAGATTGGTCGCTTGATCGGTTGACAGGAGATCGCCGATGAGTGTGCGGCCGTCAACGGTGAGGATCAGGACTTTTTCTGTTCGATCGAGAGTGGTCAGCAGTTAACTTCTATAGGAAATGGCGTATGTAGGCACTCCAGCTAATGCAGAACTCACTATTGACGTAAAAATGGAGAGACATGTTGGATGGGAGAGCGGTTCAAAAAGGTGAAAGGGTATCTCAAGTTTGCGGTTGATCGGGTCTAGGTAGATGCACCGCTGAAAGATGTATCTCGAGCCCGCTGATGTTCCTGTCGCTGGGCCTGGAGTAGCTCTCTTGCTTTGCGTGGGCTGGAGGAGGTTCGTGGGATCTTGTCACTTCGCGCAAAAAGTGCTCGTCGAGGTGAAGAGCCGGATTGATCGCGGTTGGTTGTAGCGCGACAATTTTGACTTGCCGAGGATCCTCAAGCTCGCGGACGGAAGATTCAATCTGCAGGAGCTCCGTTTAAAGCTCGAGGCCAATCAAATGGGAGTTGATGATAATGGCGCAGAGCGGGTCTGTACTGTTGGTCGAATCGCAAGTAAGATTGCCAGAATCCTAGATGATAACAATAAAATTCTAGAAACACGAGAGTCGATGACCTCGACTGATAGCAAAGAGATTGGTGGCAGCACGTGTCTTGGGGCTTCATGGTTGTTTTCCAGGATTGTCGATTGACATCCCCGATTCAATCACGTGCAGAAGCTTGTAGGAGAGTGGATACCACAACATTTTATACTGTTTTATGAGAGATCAACGCGTTTAAGGTGGAAAACATGGGCTTTGTTGTACAACTGAGCTACACAATGAGCTACATAGATGACTCTAGTGTAAAAGGATTTATGTATAGCAATTCACTATGTGTGCACGATATCGCCCGCAATTTCCCATGCACTCCAATCAGCCTCGCAAAGCACTCAGATCCAAAGGAACACTGCTGCCCCGTCCAGCGCGGTATCGGCGGTCTCCACCGATAAAGTGCCGTGGTTTGGGGAGTAGCCCTTCAGTTTGGAATTTGAATCGCGGGTCTTCTATTCGGACTGGGCCATGTCCTTGTGTTGAAGGACTTTGTGCGCCTACTGCAGGCGATCCACCATTGGAAAGTGTATACGCGCTAGGGTCCAGCGATGCAAATGGTTCGTGGGAGACAGGGCGAGAGGAAGCAGGGGATGGTCGGGATGGCGGCTCGCTTGGCGGAGCTGCAGGAAGTGAAATTGGAGGCGGTGGGGGTGGAGCACCTGGGGCAGCTGATGGGGGTGGTGGGGGAGGTGCAGAGGGCGAAGAATGTCCCAGGGCAGAACGTGCAGCCTGCGCAGCAATCGAGGGGGCTATTGAGGGGGGAGGAGGAGGTGTCGATCTAGAAGCAGCCGGCGGGGGAGGAGGTGCCCGACCCGCGGGGGCTGATGGGGGTGGTGGCGGAGGTCCGGACGGTTTTCTCGATGTAGGCGGTGGTGGAAGCTTGCCTGGTGCTGGAGGTGGAGGAGGCGCGCGTGGTGGCGGCGCTTCAGGGGCCCTTGTAGCTGGCGCTGAAACTGTAGATGATGATCGTGAAGCAGGCCTTGGGGGAGGCTTCTTCAAGCCGGCAATCAAAGGATTGATCGGTGGCGCAGGCGGTACATCGGTCGATGATGGACGGGGAGGCGGTCTGACTCCAGGAGGCCGGGGAGCTGTTGGAGGCTTGGGGGCTGGCGCAGCAGGTGGTCGATGTGCCCCTTCGGAATCGGAGATATATGGCGAGTCACGATTGGCACCTGTATCGATACCTCCACGACTCCGTAGCTTGGGCATTCCACCAGCAAATAAACCTCCTAATTGAGGTGGCGTTGGACTGGATGCACCATCTGTCCCCGAAACCCCTTCGCTGTTACTTCGTAATCGATTCGCGGCTGGACCGGATGGTACGGGCGGTGCAAGCCCGCTTGGAGGCGGCCTTGCGCCAGGAACAGGTGGCGCACCTGCGACTGGGGGAGCTGCTGAGACGCCTCCTGAACTGCCGATTACAGGGGCTGATCGATCATTGGTAACAGCCTTCCTCAGCCTGGCACCCTTGTGAATATCAGAAAGAAGTGCGCCCTATCTATAGGTTAGCTGCCAAGTTCCTTAAGCGACAAGCTGCTTGCGGTAATGAAACTGAAGCACCCAGTTTACCTACCCGATCTTTAGCCTGTCCTTTGGGAGGCCTGCCTGGGAGGCCACCTGGAGGGGGCGGCGGGGGAGGACCGCCCAAACCTCCCGGCGGCGGCGGTGGCGGCGGGGGAGGAGGAGGTGGCATAGTTGGGGATCAGATAATGAGAGTATCAGATAGACAATTGCATATAATTTAGAAAATAATCAGGTCAGGAAGATGTGTTCCTGGAATAGGAGGAACATGACAGAGAAGTAAGAAGACGTCAGGGTGCGAGTACGGGGAAGTGGACAGCGTCGGGGCGAAGTCTCCGCCTGGACTCTCCCATCGAAAAAAATACGGCTGCCTCACAACGTCACTCATCACCACAGCCATGAAAAGAGTTGTTCTAACAGCCAATAAGGGCTCCCAGCCACAGGGCTCGATCTGTCAATTATGTCAGTTCTCGACTTCAACGCCCCGTCGTGGCCTCCCTATCGCGCGTCTCCCCACCGCTCGCGCAAGTCGAGCTGCGACCTCCAATCTCCGTTTACAACCCTCGAATCGAACCGATAGGTTGATACTCGGCTCTCCTTCGCTTATTTTCCGTCGATATGCTTCCGCTGCGACCACTAGGATAAGCCCAGAGGATGCAATCAAAGAGATTGCGCAGGATGCATTGGCCGTACATCAATCAAACGCGGCGGCCTCCAACGAGGTGGTGATAGAATTGCTACAAAGATGCCAGCTGGTCGCCAAATCCCTTGTCTTACAGGAACGGGATCAAATCGAGGGATCATCAAAGGGTGAGGGCAACGCGGTCTCTTCTTTACTAGACCTGGAGGAGAAGCAACCTGCGCCGAAGAACAAAGGCAAACCACACTCCTTACAACATCCGGACCCCCGACTGGCAAATTCAGTCGCAAAAATCGCCGTTGACCTCTTGAAGGACGAGAAGGTCTTCATTTCGCCCGAAGCTCTGGCCTCCTGCACCGAGACCCTGACTCTACTGCGACGGGCCGAGCACTTCCCCGAGCTCTTCCACCTTTATGCCTACAAGCCTGTCCCAGAAGAGGGTAGCTCTCCGGTGAAGTTGCTGAAAGCCAACCCCAAGAGTGTCAACAGCGCCGTTCCGGCGGAGCTGGCTAACATGGCTCTTGGGGTTGCCATTGCACAGAAAAATCTCTCGCTCGTGCTGGCCATCATCGATAATACTTTCTGCGCCCCCGCCTTCCACCGTGCGAAGATCTTCAAGAAAGCCGGCGTCCCGCTGGCTGGCCTTGCGGCTGCCCCGGCTGCTTGCTATGCTCTCGCATCGTGGGCCGCAACATTCCAGAACACAATGGATCCGAGCGTAGCGACTGGGATTGCGTTTGCCGCTTCACTGGCTTACGTTGGCGGTGCATCCTCCATGGGCTTTTTGGCTATTACCACGGCTAACGATCAGATGGAACGTGTGGTCTGGATTCCTGGTATCCCACTGCGGCAACGGTGGTTGCGCGAGGAAGAGCGCGCTGCTATGGATAGAGTTGCTGTTGCATGGGGTTTTAAGGATCCTTATATGAGAGGCGAGGAAGTTGGTGAAGAGTGGGAAAGTCTTCGTGAGTTCATTGGCATGCGGGGCATGGTTCTGGATAAGACCGAATTGATGGAAGGCATGGAGTAACTTGATTCCCTGCATGTGTATCATAAGAGTCTCTTGTTTCACACATAATGAGCAATGTAACATACAAACCTAAGCTTTATCTACAGCTACATTATACTGGTAAGATTACGATAGAATAGCAGATTGAGACCGATCATGAGCTTCATATTTTTTTAAAGTCGTGAGACTATGAGATAAACCCAATACTCAGGCCCAAACTAGAAAACACCGGCGCAGTTAAGCGACAGATAATCTAGTAGACACGGTGGGGAGGGGACATGGAAGCCTTGATGACAAGACTGCCAACGTTCTGCCAGCCCTTCTTGAGGAGGGAGACGAGGTAGTTGATGGCGAGCATGAGGTTGGCAACGAGGGCCTCCTTGTCCATCTCGACGTTGCCGATGGCAACACCGAGGCACAGAACCTTCTTGAGCTGGAACTTGATGGTGGAGCGGACGTCGGTGACCTTGGCGGCCATGTCCTCAGCGGCGGAGACGGGGGTAGGGAACTTGCCGGCCTTGGACAGACCGGGACCGAGGAGACGGGGAATCTGCTTGATCAGACCCTCGGAAGCAAGGAAGGCATCGTACTTGCGAGCAAGCTTCTTGATGAGCTTCTTGTTCTTGTTGAGCTTCTTGAGATCGTCAACGGACATGGCATCGATACCGTGGTGCTTGGCACGGTCAAGATCGTGCTGATCACCAAGAACACTATAGATTCCGTCCGTTAGCTTCTATGTTCTTTCGAGGTGTATACATCCTTCGCCGCCGCGCATCGTGGGATGTGAAAGATTGCCCCGCGGGACGAGTTGTCGATGGGAAACGCACCAGATGGCCATGTTGGGGCGGGGAACGCTGGGCAGCTTGATGGTGCCAGAGAAACGCTTATCACGCTGGGGATCGTAGTTCTTCAGGCCGATCTGAAGCTCAACGGTCTCGTTGAAGTTACGCTTCTTCTCATTGAGAGAGTAGTTGAGAAGGTTCTCGACATTCTGGCGCACTCCGGCTGTAATGAGAAGAGCAGTTAGTGGCAAGATCAAGTAGAGAATATCATGGGGTAAGTCGTACCGACTGTGATCTTGGACATGATTGCTACAGTCTTCCAAAAGAAGTTAAAATTCTGTTGGTATGGCTCTGCGCTGAATGCTTGAGAAAAGAAATTGTCGAGGGCCGTGAATTTCTCCGCTTGTGGGTGTGGACTTGCGCTAGTCTAGATTAGGATTAGCGGTGCCCTAGATTTTTGTTTGCTGACTCATCAAACAGCCTGAGGCATGAATACGAACCGATTTCCCCAACCTCGGCAAGACCTACGCTGTATGACGGCCACGGATACTTCACTCAATGCAATTCCACTCGCTCATACTCCGTACAAATAATCGCATTAGCAAGCGTCGACTCGGCTTGTATAAAAGAAAATATCGAGAATCCTAATCCCTCTTCGTATTGCTCGGTCAGGTCAACATTGCTGCTGTTTCAAGTAACCGCCGGCCTTGCCTAGTACGCTTTTCCTGTTACTGCATTTGGCAAAACTTCCAATATTAGACCAGGTGAGGACTAGTTAGTGCAAATAATGGAACATCGATCTTGCTTGTCAATAATATGTCGGGCACACACGAAACGAAAGCATACGAAGAGGTCTGGACGGATACTAAATTGGTGATTCCCTCGGAGAATTGGGATTAAAGTGATAAATTGCCCAGATAAGAAGCACGCAAACTTATATTTCAAGGTTCAAAGCTATATACGATTCATGTAGGTATGTCCATTGTATTTTATAGAACGTACGGCATACTCAGGTAGAAGCATCGACCGGGTCGCCCCGCCACATAGCCGACCCGCTTATATCGATAGATCATTACTTTATTATTTATCCTATTTCATTGTTCAAGAAAGTGTCTCGTTAATTGATATTTCTTTGTGCAGCGATAGCAGTAAGGGCTTGGATCGGATATGTTTATAAATACCTTGTTTTCGCATATCCCCGAAGATCGATCTAGATCAACCACAAGCACGAGTCCGTATTAAGCAGGCACAAAGTAGTCCAGCTGAGTAGATACATCATTTTAACAGGCGGTGGTATCTGATATTAATTATCAAATACGTATACACCACCTAAAAAGATCTTCAAGACTCCTCGTCATCGGCATCTTCTGACCACAAACAATATATATCGAATAGTCCAGATGACCGACCAACACACAAGCTTTTGCTAAGCAGACGGGTATATAATACAGCAACCCACAAAACGAGCAAATAGGATGCTAGATCATCTATTTTAGGACAGTTCTCAACTGGTGAAACGAACTTGACATGGTCTGCGGGGGCTGCATCTGATCGCAGCGCTTAAACGTGACCGGCGGCAGTGTCAGCCTCAGGACTGGTCACCCAACCCCCCTTTGGCGTCGAGGGCTATTGCCTTGTGTTTCGATTTAATTTAGACATTCCCAGTGAGATTAGAATACTTAAACTTGACTTTCTGCTTATTCCTTTTGTGATATACTCCAGGTTTACATTCTATGGTCAAGGTTGTTTACACCTGGGCATGACTTGGCTTGACTTAATCCGAGATACCCCCTCCTGACTTGGCAGCTGATCTTTTGACCATTGGCTATTGATTTTTTTTTTGGCTTATTTACAGACCACCTTGTTTGGCTTTATCATGTCTTCTACAACAGATTCGCGCGAGTCAACTGCACCGCAGGATTACTACTCAAGTCTTGACGATGAGGGCCCGCTTGTGGAAAAGTTCAAGAACATCGACGATAAGACGCAGTTTTACCTTGCTATGCGCCGTCTACAGGACCCTCTTACTCAGAATTTCGTGCTCGATTTCGGGAACGATGAGGCATGGTGTGCGTCTGATCTGGACACTAACGAATTGAAACGGTTGCTGAGCAAGCCGGTAAGTCTTTTTCGAAGATTAGACTTGAGTCTATCCAACAGTAAAGGGCTGACATGATACAGAGAGACAAGTGCTTTGGTACACGGTGGATGTAAGAATGAAGTCCTCAAATGTAGACGAGTATATACTGACATTGTGATCACAGCAATATATGGGCACCAGAGGAGCAGAAGGAAAGCATAAGGGTATGTTCAATTTCATTCGCATATGAGCAGTATTGACTGACCATGGATTCCTAGGCGATTACCAAATACTATGGAGTGTCAGAACGGCTACAGGGGATGATGTGCACAGAGCCAGTGGATCCTGCACCCAAAACTACACCTGTACCAAACAAAAGGACTTCGAAATCGCCTATTATTGAGCCGTCGTTCGAGCACGAAGTGGATGACCCGGAGAATGCACTCAAGCATCTCGCCGATCCAGATAAATCGCGCGAGTCGGCGTCATTCTCGAATCTCACCTTCGCACAAGTCACGAATCAAATCTGGCACTTCTCTTCTGTGGATCATGGTCCTCGATGTAAGTACATCGCACCAAACCCGAGTGAGCATAAACATTAAGAATCTGTTAGACACATGTATCGGCTATAATACGTTGTATGTGATTCCCACACTATCACAACCGAATGGCCAAGATCTCCCGGATGGAAAACGGCTTTGGACCTGGCTGATCCAGTGCGACGATGGTGAGCATCCCATTTTTCGGATCTCGAGTGCAGCCGCTAACTTGTTTGCAGGCACAATAATTTCAATCCAAGAGAACCCGTTCCCGAGACGGAAGGCAGTGCCAATAGATGAAGCCAAGCCAGTCCTCGACATCGTGCGCAGGAACATCCGCTTTATTTTCGCTGGCGTTTCGAGACAGCACTTTGCCATGTCCGAGAGCGAGTCGCTGATTACCATCCGAGTGCGACATTTTAGTGACCTCGGACCGGATCAGGCCAATATCAAGCAGAAGGATGGACCGAGTTTGCTCTTCTACTATATCTTCGATGACTGGGTGTCAAGTTATGGACTTATCGCAAAGCGAGAACACAAATATGGGGTTGCTTTGGAGAAATTGGTCAGTAGTGTCGGGAAAGCACGGTTGTGTTAATGTGTTCCGATGGCTAACCCCGCGCAGAGAGGCCAAATGCTCGATCGTCCGGTTGTAGATTTGGTAAACGAATTGCACTGGCTGGGCCGACGACTCGCAGTTCTCAAACGATTGTACCAGAGCTATGAGCTTATCATGCGGCGACTCTTGCAACGGCAACGCATGCTCCGCGACGAAGCGCGTTCGTCTCAACCAGCCCCGGTTTCGTATGGAGCCACCTTTAGCGACATGGAGTATGTAGATATGCGCCAGTCGAGTGTCGTGAGCGATTTCACTTTCCATGATACAACTGATAAATCGGTCGGTGTGCAGCTGAGCTCGACGGCCGTGGCGCGTTTCGAACGGTTGGTTGATCGGATCAATCTGTACTGTTTGAGCGAGATTGAGAACTGTCTGAATGAGAAAGAGTCTTTGACGTTCTTGGTGAGTATCTTCCCGTGCTTTATTCCGAGAACTCTGCTGACGTGGCCTAGAATTTCAACTTAATTGCGCTCAAAGACTCGCAGGCTGTTGAAAAGCTCACTCGGATCACTATTCTGCTGGCTAAGGCGACCATTTTGTTCCTGCCGGTCAGCTTGATGAGTGCGTACTTTTCGACGGAACTCGTTGGAGTCAAGAATGGGTACACCAAGGCGGATTACTGGGTCAGTTTCGTGGTGATCTTCCTTGTAACCATCTTGCTCTTGACCGTTTTCGGTTACGCCAGCGATACTGTCGAAGGCAGGACGATCTACCGGTCCATGATACGAACATTCTTCCGACGGTCTCGCCAGAGAATGTCGCGACGATCAGAAGAATAAGAGAACTTGGCTATGACGGCATGAAGAACCGAGAGATGGGGTGGAAGAAATTACGCGGGCACGATAAGTGTGGGAAGGTCGGGCCTATCACTCGGCCTATCAGACACGGTGGGACCTTTTCCTGAGGGTCTTAGCCCGGGGGAACTCCCTTTGGTATTTCATTTACGGGGCCAACACGGTGTCCTCTTTCTAGGAAAATATACCTTCCCGAATCTATAGCTAGTTATAGGCAGAACTATTAGAGTCATACCATATATAGTCGACCGAATCTAAATCATAAGTTGCCTTCTTCATATATCTCTCAGCCTCATTTTCTCGACGTTGCGTGCTCTCCAGCAAAACGGGTGACAAAGACTACGCCCACCGCCGTCGGTCTGCGTATTTCCACGTATTCAAAACAAAAACGAAACAAATTTCACCCTTCTGACTTCTCTTCGATAATTCCCCTGAACTTGCATCTCTTGAGACTCCTTAAACAACATTTATACTCTTTTCTGCCGGTAAGTGGTTGATCCGGTTTTGACTGGCTCGTGCCCAGACTTACCCCCCTTCCCCCCTGGATCTCTGACCGACAAGTCCACAACACGTTTTCCAACCCCTCCGCTTCTCCCCTTTCAACTACATCCCTCGATATATCTCTGACCTATCCACTCCTCCCAGGATCCGAGGGTTTTCTCGCTACCGACAATATGGGTATTACTTTCTCGCGGTTGTTCGACCGACTATGGGGCCGCAAGGAGATGCGCATCCTGATGGTCGGTCTTGACGCCGCTGGTAAGACCACCATCCTGTACAAGCTCAAGCTCGGTGAAATCGTCACCACCATTCCCACGATTGGTTAGTCCGCCCCTCGACCCATCTATCGGCGACACCGTGATGCGCTCTTCGCAATTTATAAGCCGTATAAGAGACATTCAAAACCCCCCCGGAAACTGATGCCTAGTGCAGGATTCAACGTCGAGACGGTCGAATACAAGAACATTCAGTTCACCGTGTGGGATGTCGGTGGTCAAGATAAGATTCGTCCTCTGTGGCGCCACTACTTCCAGAACACCCAGGGTATTATCTTCGTGGTTGACAGCAACGATCGCGATCGTGTTGTTGAGGCCCGTGAGGAGTTGCAGCGCATGTTGAACGAGGACGAGCTCCGTGATGCTCTCCTCCTGGTGTTCGCCAACAAGCAGGATTTGCCGGTAAGGACTTGGATTGTTGGAGGATGTTTGCTAGATGAAATGGCATGCTGACCTCCCCCGCTTTTTTTTCTAGAACGCTATGAGCCCTGCCGAGATCACGCAGCAGCTTGGTCTTCAGAGCCTTACTCGCCGTGCTTGGGTAAGTGTCGTCCCCCGATTTCTATGTTGTTTACAAATTCACTAACCGTCCTAGTTCATCCAATCCACCTGCGCCACCACTGGTGACGGTCTGTACGAGGGTCTGGAGTGGCTCGCTGATGCGCTCCGGAAAACCAACCGCGATTAAGGTCTATAATGCGAATTCGAATCGGACGTGTAGCTGGGTGAAGGAGAATACCGATATCTGCGAATGATGGATTGATGATGACGATGGCGGGGAGTTCTTTGGCCATACATGACATTGATCTCTGCAAGGAAAGGTTCTGCAACTGGTTCGCTACTTCTTTTGATGTTCTCTCTTCAAACGGCTCTTTTTCCTCTACGCTATGCTATTAGCCTCATTTGTTTTTCTTCTCTCCGGCGTCGCCACTCCAAAATTACTTCTCTGCCTTGGAACCCCCAGAGATCTGTATAAGTTCTCAAATTGTAAAATCTCAGAATCTCGATTGGGCAAGGAGAGTGTGAGAGAACACAAGAGGAACAAATGAGCAAATTTCGAAGTTTCATCTGCTTTCTGCTTTCTTATCTTGGCTTGAGGCCTGTAGGGCTCAGTCGGACTGAGTAAATTTCAGTCCGGGCTCAGGTACCATCACGTGATGGATTCACAAGGGTCTGACAGTCATTCCAATGTTGTTTTTGTTCAATTCTTATGCTAAAGTATGGTAAAGAAGTTTCTACTTTGCTTATGTCTAGCCATGGACTTTAAGATTATGTGGGACAAAATATACATCAGTAGGATCCACATAGTTAGGGCTTATGTGGACATATGGAGTCCCCGGATCTATAGGACAAAATGCGTATAACTGCGTGAACGAATGCTTCAAACATACACAGCTCTGACTGCCAAAGACATTTTACAAACGCTCAGTGTCTGCAGGTTCCTGGTATGACCAGAGTTTCGTGAACAACTCTTTCTCTTCGTCATCTTTAGCCAATCCGATGAAGATGTCTTTGAATTTCCGGCTATTCTTCTGGGCTGTATCGTAGTCTTTGGGCAGTACCATGCCATCCACCGGAAGCACAGATCCATCTCGAAATATTTTCAGTAACTTCCCGACACCATTTATATTCTCCTCTTCCTTGGAATGAAGCTCGACATCCTGATTGGTGAAACTGATCGGACATGGTACAGCCGGGACGAGTTTTTCCCACTGAGCGAAGAGCGACGTGAGTGACTCGCGAACAAAAAAAAGATCGCAATTTTCCCACACTCCCGTGACCAGCCAAACTGGTTTCCGGATGATGGGGATCTTTTTATTTTGAAGGACAGACCAGTAACGAGGCGATAGTCTATACACCTTGGCTAGGTAGTACTTGTGAAGGATCTGACTCTCTAGATCGTCATCGATCTTGCGTTGTTCTTCTGCACTTAGGCTGCCAAAGTCTTTCGGTCTTTCGGGCACGACCCAGCCTTCTTGAAGAGGCCCACGGTGGGCACACATCCTTGGGACATCGGCATGGTAGAACAACGGTGCAACACACGCTGATTGCCAATCCACGATACATGTAATTTGGAGGGTCTTTGGATCGACGAAGATGTTATCTAGATTAAGATCGGGGTGCATTAGAACGTTTTTGACGCCGCGTCGTTGGATGCTGTTTCGTTGGTAGATTGAAGAATAAGATAGGGAGCAACTTTCATATATTTGGTCAAAAGAGCAAGACCGTCCTCGGGATGTTCCTGGCTTTTGAGTGACCGATAATAGTTCATCCGAGGAATTGCATGTGACTTCATATACGCAATCTCGTTGCGCCCCAATGAACGAGTGTAGTCACTGGGATGCTTCCCTATATTAGAAAGACGACCAGAAGCTTTTCACCAGGCTGTCGATTCTCTTGACTTACATGGACCACGATCCAAATTCATGCCACTCCGTACCCCGTTCCACAATTCGCCAGTAGTGAGAGGTCCCATGGCAAAAATATCAAGGGTGCTGGTCGTAGCAGACTGAATGTTGGCTTCTTTAGGTTCCTCGCCTAGGGAGCGAAGATCATCCTTGAAGTAAATACAGCCGTGCATATCAAAAGTCACACCAGTCAGAATGTTCTGAATGTCAATCATCTGGATGATCAATTGGAGCTTTGGATCTCGAGACCATTGATTCCAAACAGAGCCTAGACGAACACCGGGCGCTTTTTCTTCAATAATATACTCGGCCCCGACATGATTATTTGCGTCAAAGGACGATGCTAGGACTCGAGGAACAGGGAGCTTCAAGACGTCGGAAAGCTATGTAAATTGAATTGTAAGATTGGATATAGCAAAAATGATCGGCAGAATTACTTACTAACTTGCGTGTAGCGATCTCGGAAGCAATTGTGAACCGAGCAGCCCCGGCGTTAGGATTTGGGAGCTTTGCCAAAACTTCGCAACCGTTGTCCATTGTCAGGATAAATGCCTTGTTGTGTAGGCCTTCTGCACATTTTGTGACTTTGTTACCTAATGAAACTAGCGTATTATTACATTGCAAAGTCCTAAGGACAGCAACGCACAAGATTGAGCTCCCTCGCAAACACTAATGGCAACTTGAACAAGTTGCTGTAGGTCAAACTCCACATAACGTTTAGAGAGTTCTTTTTCTTAGTTGAACCTTGAAATTCGAGCCAAGTTAAAATTCATTTTCCTAAAGAAAATGAACTGCGTAGCTTACAGCCACCGGTGTCTGGTGTATCGGTGCAGATCTTCCTCAGAAATCCTCTGGTCTGGAGGAGAGATAATCAACAATTCAGGGCAGATCACAGTGTATTTTGAATATAATTACCTTGACCATGCTGTGTCTCAGCATAGAGCTCAGGAGAGCAGTGTCGTCTGCCTAGACGAGACGTGGTGAATAAGCTCATATTCTGAGCTCGGGAGCAAGGAAAGGCACGTGCTCGTACACGTGTATTACTTTTCCAATTGATCCAACGAATTCTGGAAATAATTCGCATTGTCATCTTGTAGAATAACCCCGGCGAGTGTCATATCAAGGTGCGATGGGGACTTGGAAGGGGGTTAAATTTGAGCACGTGCTGACATACCTAGTGAGCCTCATACAAATCCGATATACCAAACCTTGGAAGGTTACGGAGACTCACAACCTTATTTTGACTGTGCGAGGTAGTTCTTTCCATTTATTTCGCGTGCCTTCCAAATTTCGATTCTTACTTTCTATCGCATGCAGATCTATTCAATCAATGGAATTACCCACTTCGTCACGGCCAAGGAACCACGTTTGCTCGTGCTCTATGCGGAGTCGAGACCTGTTTTACCGTGGCCAAAACCTTCTTACAGACACTTCGGCTGTCCTACGTAGCTGGTAAGTGTTTGTGCAACATGCCAAGCTGCAGAGTCTATGATCGAACAGTCGCGCATACGTGGCCAGCGAGCAAATTATCCTCGAAGCCCACCGGATTCCGACCTACAAAGTTTGCCGAAGCTAACCAGTATAGTGGCGTCTATCGATCACACGAAGCTAGTGCGGGTCTACATACATTTCCTCATCCCTCTAGTTCCATACAAAATGCAGTCTAAGCTCTACGAGCTCAAGTGGGACCTAAAAAAGCCATAACAAATGGGACTATCGATCCCATCGTCTTAGCTTCGACGTATACGTATACTTTCGTGGACATTCCTCCGTTCACTTGCAACAAGCTATGCAAAGAACTATGTCCTAGCTCATGTGAAGAAGTGAGACCGGGTTGATGAGTGCTGTGGTGCAACTAAGTCTAGGGCTGGTCATGGGTTGACCATGGAGGTTTAAGTATTTTGCAGGATGTTACGTATCAAAGAGCTCTCTAGCACTGGAGTATAGAGCTATGGATATGTTCAATTTCATCAACTACACAAGAATTGTCGCCGGCAGCCTCGTGTCTTTTCGGTAGTCTTCACAGATATTGTTTTTTTTTCCCCCAAATCCAGCTAGGTAAGTATATGCGTACAAGACCCATAAAAAGGCCCATTAAATACACCTAGAAACCAAAATAGATTTAAAAGAAACAAGACGCAATCTCCAGGGCTGATCCGCTCGGGCTTGGACCAGTCCATTTTGAGGACACAACTGCGTAATCCCTCATTTCTTGGACAGCGCCAACAGTCTTGGCACTTTTAACTGCAGAAATTACCGACTTGGGCCCTTGGGGCTGCTTATCTTCTGTTTCGCATTTGAATATCGTCTAGTTCTAGGCAGTTTCGTCTGTTTTTTATTGTTTTACTGTCTTCACCTCCTTTTAGCTCTTTTATCTCTTAAGAGCGACTCCGGACCAAGCCCCATTGCCTGGCCGACGATCAACAACAACACAGCTCATCGCGTGCCTCTCCCTCCGTCCAACAACCACCCCTGATTTGGGCAATATCGAACAGATTTTTCTATCGTTACACTTGTTAGATAGATGGGCTGGTAATCGTGTGATTTTGGACAATTAACTACCTCACTCATTCAATGTTGACATATTGTCTGGCATCATGACTGTTCAGGCGAGGAGGGCCTCCGCAGCTTACAAGGCCCCATCACCATATAATCCACGAGATACAGACATCGAAAAGCAACCCGCCACCGGGCGCCACACCTATCACCACCACCAAAGCGATGACCCCGATACTGAAGACGAGTTGCTGGACGATAACAATGTCGCGGAATCCTACCCGCCGCCCATCGTAGCTGGCGGCAGTCTTCGCCGCCCCCAAGCTAGCGTTGGCTTTCGCGTACCCCAGCGGATCATGCGCTGGCTCTGCTTCGCTCTTTTCGCCGCCCTCGTCGTCTTCATCCTCACCCTCTTCCGCTTTACCATCTCCTCCTCCGTCTCACAAGTCGCCGTCGACCTGCCCACGGTCGGCGCCCCGAAGCCGCCACTATGGGAGACCTTTCCGTTCCTCACTCGCTACGAGGGTGGTATCTCTTCCTTGGTTCCGCGCTCTGAAAATATACCCGAGTACCCTGGCGATGGCTCCGAGGACCTGGGTTTGCGGACGGACAGCGACGAGCAGAAGGCGCAGGCGCAGGAGCAGGATGCCAACAAGGTGACCAAGAGGGATATGAGCCCGAACATGTTGAGTAATGTGTTCAATCCTTATCCTGACTACCAATCGCCGGAGTACATAGAAAAACATGGCGAGAAGCGCGAGTGCTTCCTCAATGCGGAAAACACGCTACGGATTCCGTCTATCCAAAGCTACCCCGGAATTCCAAAGGGCTTCCCAGATCCAGCGATAGGTTCGAGCGAGATATTGGGTATTCGGGACGACATGTGCTTTGATCGATTTGGCCGATTGGGTCCATACGGGTTAGGATACGGGGCTAAGAAAGGCGGCATCGGCGCGGGCATGGAGGGCCACCGTGAGGGTGCCGACCGCGTGTGGGAGGATGTCCCGCCGGTCGATTTCCGACAAGTGGATTGGGCTGCTGCGCAACACCGTTGTCACGCGGCTAATCGCCATCGCTTTAACGAGCTGCCGGAGCCGCGTCTCAACCGCTTTGTTTCTATGCCTGTAGGTATTCCTAAGGTGAACATCCCGCCGCCTGTGGAAGACAGCCGCAATGAACCGCCCAAGGTTGGACCTGAGCGTCTGCCGCGCACTGCAGTGGTTATCCGCACATGGCACGACTTTCACTATACCCCAGAGGACATTATGTACATGCGCTCCATCATCTCAGAGCTCTCGCTTCTGTCTGGTGGCGAGTATACTGTTCACTTCTTGGTTCATGTCAAGGATACCCTTTTGCAGATCTGGTCCGATGACGAGACATATCAGCGTGTGCTTGATGAAGCACTACCAGAGGAGTTCCGCGGCATGGGGACTCTCTGGTCCGAGCCACAGATGGCCCTGATGTATGCCGGATTGGAGGAGACCATGACTCGCGGTCTGCCAATCCACGGTGTATACCGCAGCACGTACATGCCTATGCAGTACTTCGCTTTCCAGCATCCTGAGTACGACTACTTCTGGAATTGGGAGATGGATGCGCGTTACACGGGCCATTGGTACCACCTCTTCGACAAGGTCGGCGAATGGGCGAAAAAGCAGCCACGAAAGGGTCTGTGGGAACGCAATGCTCGCTTCTATGTTCCGTCCGTCCACGGCTCCTGGGAAGACTTCCGGCAGATGGTCCGCGTGCAGACCGAAAGCGGTACAAACTCCGCCAACAACATGTGGAGCGCCGTCAAGGGCAACACGCGGAGTGCAATGCACCAACAGGGCGACAAGTCCATCTGGGGCCCTGAGCGCCCCGATGAACAGGATATCTTCGAGGTTGAGGGTGAGGGTATCCCGCCTACGAGCATGGATAAGGACCAGTACCAATGGGGCGTGGGTGAGGAGGCTGACCTAGTCGTGTTCAATCCGCTCTACGACCCCGAGGGCACGACCTGGCTGCTGCGCGACGACGTGACAGGCTACAACAAGGAGAATGGCATGCCACCGCGGCGCACCGCAATCATCACCGCGTCGCGAATCTCCCGCAAACTGCTCATCACCATGCACCGCGAATGCAGCCTCAAGCGCCACAGCATGTTCTCGGAAATGTGGCCCGCCACCACCGCACTTCACCACGGCTTCAAGGCTGTCTTCGTCCCGCACGCCGTCTACGTCGACCGCCGCTGGCCGACCCGCTACCTGGATTCAGTGTTCAATGCCGGTCGCAACGGAGCTTCCGGCGGTGCTCGTACGTCTATCTTCGGCGATCGCGAACACAACTTCCGTGGGACGACCTGGTTCTACTCAGCGGGCTTCTCGCCGAACATCTGGCGCCGCTGGCTTGGCCTTCGCGTCGACAATGACGGCGGTGAACAGCAAGAGCTGGCTGGCGAGGGCCGCATGTGTCTGCCTCCTATGCTGCTACACCCCGTCAAAGAAGTCAATATTATCATTGACGACGGAGAGAAAGTAGAGGACCAGTGAAGAAGGAGGGAGTATATATTTCTCTCAGAATTGGCTTCAATTCGTTTCTTGGGTGTCCCTCACACCCTCTCTTCCTGCCATCTCCAGGATTCATGCACGCTTTGGGGTAGATGCTTATTTGTCTTGCATTGGTTCTCATAATTACTGTATAATGACCCTTCATTCCCCGGTGGCATAACGTCCCCACGTTTTGGATTCCCGTTTCTCAATTTCGGTGCGAAAAAGGCGTTCGCATGGCCTGGATGGCCGGGCTATGGCTCACGATGCATTCTGGATTTTCCCTTGGTGCTTGACCACTTGGTCTAGTCATTAGAGGTGCTAGATTGCGTTCTGCATCGGGAGAATTTTGTTTTTGCTTGACCTGGACTGGATATTTCAGAAGGACGAGACGGACTTCTTCCAGCGAGGGCTATTTTGGTTACGAATTGTTTCTTGCACATAATTTATATTTTTGGTTTTATGATTTATTCGAGTAGAACATGGGATGTCGCTAGAGATACAAATATGCCTATATACAATGCAATTATAACTTCAACCCACTACTTCTACTGGTCAACCCTGGTCGGCACAAAGCAAATATTACACTCATAAACCCCATCCTCGTCAACCCCATATGTAAGACAAGTCCGACACACCCGATGCCCACACTCGGTAACCAAAATCTCCACCCTCTCCCCGTCCTCAACACAAGCATGACAGAAATGCGTCGGAAACCTTAGCGGCGGATTCTGAACCATACGCCGCTCAATCTCGGAAGCGAGTTCCTTTCCCTTCTCGACGCGCGCACGGAGGAGCGCGGCTTTTGTGCGCAGTTTGTTCATGGTAGATTTGTTGAAGGGGTTATCGGCTTCTTCTTCTGACGTCGTCGGGCTTGTGTTGGGCTTGTGCAGGGTAGGAAATGGTTCGGGGACGATCAGGGGTCGGAAGCGTTCGCATATGGGTCTGTCTCGCATGCAATTTCGTTCGAGGTGATAGCGGCGGAGGATTTGCCGGTTAAGGAGGATTGTATAGAATACTATGAACGTTTGCCAGGCGCGCCATTCGGAGACTGGGTCCAAAGGGAGGGGGAGGAGGGTTGAGACTTTGCTGGGGGTTGTTGTCTTGAGGCGTTGGGTTTGGGTTTGAGTTGAAGACATGTTGAAGTTGATTATAATATGTTTTTTTCCCTTCTGTAGTTGAGAGGGGGTTTATAGCGAATAGATCGAAGTATTGGCTTCACAAGCCTAGCTTGGGCTCTTTTGCAGAGAGATGGGAGAATGTAGAAAATTCGCCGGCCACGAGACCCGGCATATCAATAGAGATTATATCGATCTATCCACCCCAGAACCAAATATGCCTCTATCTACATAGCACTGATTGGCTATATCATGACTCCTGTGTCTTCTCGTCCAAGCAATTCTAGATTCGGTGCATAAAGCATTATGTCCAGGTATACCATGGATGTAGCTGAGCGCGAAACGCGGATTCTTTTTCCCTGGCCTGCGATATCGGCAGACATTAGCGTAGACAACCGGTTCCTTGAGGTCTAGATGCTGTCAGGTTCAATATTTGCCATTGAAGTGGCGGAAAAATATCAATTGGGAAGTGACGATTGCATTGGTCTAGAACTATCGAGTCTCTGGGTTTGTTGATATTGAATTTCTTCTATGTTGTCGTGTTTCGCATTATTTTGATTTCTTTCATACATACCAAAGGGATAAGAGAGCAAAGAGAAGAGAAAAAGGGATAATTCTAAAGGCAGATGCTGTCTCAACATGAAATATTTCCAACTCTGTTCCAGAGTCTCCAGTTTTTTTTATCCACTCTGCGATCTCGATGCTTTTCTTCAGCATCACCTCCATCTGCCCGCTCTTGTATGCAGCACAGGTCCATCCTCAGTCTCTTGTGTAGGAATGGGATGTTAACTCCCTATTCTCTGCTCTTCTTACACCCTTATCCTCCAAATTGCCCACCTCGACGCATTCCCAGGATATGACCGAAACCCCCCTGAAATGAAAGGTATACAAATACTCGACCCCAGAACCCGAATCGATACTCTTGGCGGATATCACGTATTCCCCAGGAATAGACACCCCCTCTTTCCTCTGCCGACAGAGCGGCGTCAACTCCCAGACCCGGACAAGTCGATCCGCTGACAGCCTATCCGCTAAGGCCGACCATATCTCAATTCGGGAAGTGGCAATATCAAATCCCACTTCAGTCAAGCGCATGATGAACCGCACATTGTCTTGCCCAGGGTGTTCCCCTCCAGTCGAGCCATGTGTCTCTACACAGACATACTCCCTATCATATGCCGGGCTAGTCGGATACCGCGGGTAAAAGCCTAGAGTCCCAAAAGATGCTTCATGTCCATTAGCACCTGATGTATGAGAGGACTTCCAAGTCCCATGCAGAGCACGAAAAATAGCCGAGGCTGCAGCCTTCTGTGCGGCCTCATGACCAGGGAGAAGAGCGTCGCGCAAAGCACCTAGTGTCCTATCCGCCTCGCTCTCTGTACCTGGAGTTGGGGTATTGCCATAAAGATACCTCGCAGGAACAACAGGTCCAGACCGACCGTCGCCTGCTTCTAGTGCCGAGCGACTAATCTCTAGATCCTTCGCGAACGACTCCATCAATCCGACGTAGTCGCCCATGGGGAACTGACCACGGGCTAGATCCGGGTGTGCCGATCTGAGACGCCGAAGGTTTTGCTTCTGGTCGTCTGTTTTGCAGAGCGCACCGTTATTCTCCTCACTCCATAATTTCCCAAGGAACCTCGCTTGCATCTCCATCACGCCCCAGTACGGGCCGCGGTAGAATCCGACGAATCCGGCATCGGGAATCTCCGAGCGGACGGTGCCTCCCTTGTCGAGAATCAACGGTGAGAAGGGGTCCGTCTTGCAGTATTCAAGCGTCATCAACACTTCATCCGGTAGCAATGATAGGGACTTGTATGGCGTGAACCCGGTGGCCATGACTATCACCGCCACATTGTCTATCGTCTTGGTCTTCCCGTCGGGCCCTTCATACTGAACTGAGGTTTGCTTAATATCTGGATCAGAAATCACAGCAGTCACCCGGCCCATCGATGTCTGAATCGCTCCACACCTGACGAATTCGGCGTAATCATTACCTATGGCGACCCATGGTGGCTGGGTTCTGGATTCCTCGGCACCATGTGGTGCATCCATGTGCGCGTATTTCTCATAATCACTGCCGAGCAAGGTGTGGAAGTAACTGTTTGTTTTGACTGCTTTTTCTTCTGGAATGGGTCCGAGGATGTAGTCTATTGGACCCGGGGGTCGGCGGCCTAGGTCGTACATGGCCAAGTCTAACGGTAAGAAAGATGGACTCCCATCGGGAGACTCGTGTGGGAGATACGTCGGCAAAGCCCAGAACGGTCTTGAATGTATATGATGCACTTTTGTCTCTTGTGTATGTGGGACTCTGTTTGTGGAAGGTGTAGATGAAGATTGCCGGAGAGCCACAGCAGATGCAGCTTCGACGCCTGACATGCTGCCGCCGATGACGACGATCTGGCCCTTCACATCGTTGGATTCATTAGAGAGCGCCTGCTCTCGTTCATAATGGAGCGAAGAGCTATGGATGATTCGGCCTTGGAATTGATCTAGGCCTGGTATGTTTGGAATATACTGCTGGGCAAAGTATCCAGAGGCGATGACAATCACGTCGAAATCTTCAGAAGATATCCCATCCAGTAACCCAGGAGTTTCCTCCGCGCTATATAGTCAGCATCCAGCTCGAGTACAGCGACACGCGAGTGAGCACCAACATACCTTTCCTGAACCCACTGAACATTCCACTTCGGGTCACCTCCACCCCCAACCCTCCGTATAGTTCTTATCACTCTACACCCTAGCCTCAGGACATGAGCTGGAACATACCGCTCTGCATAACAGGCCAGGTATTCTCCAACCTGTCTCGCCTGAGGAAAAATCGGAATATCCGCGTCGGGGATTACCGACTCCCAGGACAGATCTGAAAAAGCGACTGAGAAGCGGCTGAGGTTGGTCCGCATGCGAGGGTCTAGTGTAACCGGGGGGCCATTGGTCTGATTGGGAGAGTGATGGTGACTTGACCACAGACCCCCGACTTCGTTCTGGCTCTCGAAGATGATTGGAGAGAATGTCCCGCTCGGAAAATTATGAAGAAGGGTTTTGGCTGTGACTAGGCCTGAGGGGCCGGCGCCTGTGGAATGCGATGTTAGTGTAAGGTCGGGTATACCATCTGGGTATAGAGTTGTATCCGCGGGGTCTCGACTCTAGAGTCTGGACTCACCGATGATTGCTACTTTCTTGGGTGACATCTTGGGGTTGGATGGGAGGTTTGCAATGTACAAGATCCCTATGTTTTGTTTGTCTGATGTGCTTTTCAATATAACGTTGGAAGTAACAACTCGGCAGACTCGAGCTGTTGTCGCTAGACTTACCCCGCTTATATCCACTTGGGAAACAGCTCGGGTTTCTTTCTTTTCTATATAAACCGTTGACATGTAATCATTTGCATGTCCGGAGTAATCATTTTGAATACGATGTCGTACATTCGAAGTTGTATAACATCGACAATTAGTAACAAGTCTACGATAGTCATCTAGTTAAGCACAATTCGAACCAGCTTCATATCGCCACACCCACAACGGGCGTAATTATAACCCCTTAATTCAAATATGTATACATCGATGTACCTTGTACATCTCTTTCAAGTTCCAATACGCCAAAAGGCGGAGCTTAAGGCTCTCGGCGTGCATACCAGCAAATCATGACGTTAACGCCAAGCATAACCCCAGCAACCAGGGTTCGTGAATTCCCTCATGGAGCAACCACGACCGGACAGTTTCCTGGCCCCCGAAAAAAAATGCAACTTGAGCGCCAGGACTGAATTTCCCATATTGGACGCGTGCTGTAGGGTGGCGTAAGAGTTCGACAAAAGGTCGAGAAAAAGACTAGCGGAACTCTATCGTATTCGCATCGCTCGTGCTCATGCTGGTGCTCGTTCCATATCGGTTTGTGTGCAGATGGTACTTTCAGACTCAGGAGACTCGCCGTAGCCATTCAGTAACTTGGATATTGGGCGAGTGTAGATTGGGCCTGTATGCCTCGTCGCATTCTTGTTCGGTGACCAAGGTATCGACATTTCTCTCGGTCAAGGGGACTCTGTGGTGGTTCTTTGTTCGGAGGAGTTCCTTTTCCGCGAAGGAGGATGGCGCCAGCTTTGAGAGTGTGTCTCGGAGGCGTTTGATGCCACTGGGGAAGGATCGCGGTATTTGAGGTGGACCAAATGGGTTGTCGGATCTCCATGGGTAGTCGGAAGTCACGGACTGGACGTGCTTCTTAGGAGACAGTGTTCTCGTCATTGCTTGCGACGTTGGGAGGTTGAGGGAGTTCGCTGTAAATGATTTGAGTTGGAAGGAGTAGGGATTTTGGTCAAGTACGATATAAGCAATTATTATTTCTGGCCTTGTAGCTAATTCCGCGGGACCCGCGGTGTTGCCCCGTCGTAGTATCATCGGATCCCTGGTTGTCTATGCTGGTCATTCATCACGTAGTAGTAGTTCGCTAGTCGCCATACTTCCCCCACAAATGTGTCGTGGGTCATGATCGGCGGATGCAGATCAACTTAGGCTGATCAACTATGTACTATTGGGGCTCACCGGTTAGTATTTGACACACAAACAATGGCTGTACAATAAATATCTGGCGAACGTACTACGTCATGGAGATGCCGATCAAGGCATAGTTTTGTAGACTGTCCCAGGGAAGAGTCGCAGAGATGGTGTTTTCTGACGAATAGGAATTGAATAAATGAATACATAAACCGTCTAGGGTCATAAGGCGTGGAAAGTGTAATATAAATCTAGCATATACCAGTATACTACTTCATGTTCAATTCTCAATCGCTACTTAATAAGTAAATCGGAAACTGGGATGATCATCCCCAGCATTCTCCAGCTCCTCCCTGGGCCAATGGTAACGGTGATCTCTCTTGCCCTGCTCACGCAGCCGATTTTCACGGTATACATAACCAAAGAACACAATACACGCCACACCTCCGATCCATATCATCCCTAGACTAACACCGAACCCAGTTCTATAAGTCGGAGCCTCAGAGTCAAAGAAGACATTGCTAGCGACCAGACCGCCACAGTTACCAAAGCCGATCTGCATGGCCGAGGCGATAGATTGCTTGTAATGCCCAGCCATGTTGTTACTCACCCAGCCCAACAAGATCGGCTGCGCCATGTATCCTCCACCGGTGATCGCGTATATGGCGAAGTATCGGGCAGCGACTGGCACCAACTCCTGACAGATGAGAATAACGTACCCAATTGTGGCGATGACGCATCCCAACATGGTAAATGCGAATCGATGGCGGAGTCGGTCGCTGATGAAGGCTGTAGCTAGTGCGATTGCTGTCGCGACGAGGTAGATGGGAATACTCATCACTTGAGCTCGGACAGATGTCCAGCCGAGCTGTCGGAGGATGGTCGGGGCGAAGAATGATGTTGCATAGCCTGTATTGACGATTCCAAAGTACATAATAGCACTGAAAGCGACTAATTGTTAGTGGAAAGCTATGTAATATCGGCACTCAAGCTTACCCAAGATAGATCTTCACATCTGAGAATGTCCGCTTGATGGCCGGCTTGTCGAAGCGATTCATTTGCGCTTCGCCGCGGTCGTCCGATAGGCGCCGAAGTAGCAAAGCACGCTCTTCCTCATTCAGGAAAGTAGATGTTTCGGGCCAATCGACGATGAGGAATTTGGCAGCAATTCCAGTGAATACTGTAAGTAAACCTTCAATGATGAAGATCCAGCGCCAGCCGCTGTATCCTCCGACACCATCCATCTGAGCTATTCCATAGGCAAGAAGCTAGGAGAATGATTTAGTGTAGAATCAACTCATCATGTAGGCAATACATACTCCACTGACTGCGCCAGCCAGAATGCTTGCGCTGAAGAAAATATTGAATCGCCATTGCAACTCGTGGCGCTTGTAATACATAGCAATCAAGTAGATGCAGCCTGCATAATATTAGTACTTGTGTTATCAAGTCAGGGATCAACTATCCAACCTGGCATCAATCCAGCCTCAAACAAGCCCAGCAAGAATCGACATGCAACGAGGCCACCAAAGCTCTTTACCACACCTTGACATGTGGTAACAACACCTGATATCATCGAGGTCAGCCCATGTTCCTTGATCCTATATCGGTTCAAACATACCCCAACAGAGCATGATCCCGCTCAACCACCAAGATGGCGGTACCTTTTTCAAGAAGAGATTGCTAGGAACTTCGAAAAGGATATAGGGAATGAAGAAGATAAAGAGGGCGATGTTGTAATCATGTCCCTCCATCCCCAGATCTTTCTCGAGACCCTGAATCCGCGCGTTACCGATATTGATCCGATCAAGAAAGGCAAGTAGGAATAAAAACATGAGAATGGGAACGACATGGATATCGAGCTTCCGTAGCAGTCGTTTCTCTGCGGCTGGATCTATGTCCGGCACGGAAACCGCGGACTTGACATCCTCAACCGTCTCCTGGTATATTTTCTTCTGCTCCATTTTGGATATTTCAGATGAACCTCAAATTGACACAAGCGGCCACCAGGATAATCCAAAATATGGTAGAGCAATAGCCCCTTTTATATACGTTTAGTGCCAGTCGATATACCATCGCATCTGGGGAAATCCGGGGAATCCGGGGCCCCGCACTACAAGCCCGCACCGCGATGTTGTGTTGATTCATTCCGCGTTCTTTGATCGCTGTCGGTATTTGATTCCGCCCCTAGGAATGCCAAGAATCCCCGGCTTGGTGTGTAGCTTCGTGCCTGGCATGTTGCCCGCCGGGTACCTGGTCTATAGTCACTGAGTATGTATTTGATCGCAGGTTTGTTGATGGCTAGGCACTTGCGAACCTATTCACTTGGTCAGAGGGTTATAGCTCGAGGTCTTGATATTGCATATATCCAAAGCCATAGTCCAGGAGCGGGGTATACATTTGCAATTTACGATTTGGGGTGGCGTTGAAATATAAAGTTCGTGGCCAGTGAAGCCGACCCTATTTATGATGACGGAATGGAACCGCATCATGCCGCATAGAGGGCTCTTGAATACGATCGCTCGATAGTTGGAATAACCGATATCAATATAGCCGAATATCGAATTCAAATCTAAGCTAAGGTGGCTAGAATTGGGCCTTATCATGCTGACCCTCTCACGAGCCGACATTCTTGCGAATAGTTGGCTCCAATGAGAACACCTGCTTATCCGCTGCAACATCCTTGTAGACTATGTCCCAGCGTTCTTGGAGCTCCCGAGGTGTTTCCCATGCGTTTTCAGGGTCTCGCAGCCAGAGTCGCAACAAATGACGCCTAATGTAGCCATGCCGTTAGCACATCCATACAGCAATAATGTATACGAACGAAAAGAACATACTCTTTACCAGGCTCATCTTTAAATCCATTCCGCGCATGGAAAATGCTAAGATTGTTCACATACTGCACATCACCTTTCTGGAAATCCAGAGTGGCACTGTGCTTTGCCGCCAAGAAGTGCAAAGCGTCGAGCGCCTCAGCTTGCGCCTCGGTGATAGGTGGGATATCCTTCGATCGAGGCTGAGCCAGGAATCCGGTGAAGTATCGTCTTGCGTATTGAATCAGAACCCTCTCGGGGGTAGTGGCAGTGGCTGGTTGGTGGTATAGAAGTGGGCGGAGGCTGTAGGGCCTGGCTGGGTTATTGAAACTAAACAGTGTTAATTTTAAGTCTGCTTCCTTGGTGCTTGGTAATCCTTACCCATCTACTGGCCAATCCTGGGACAGAGTGTGAATGAGATCAGGTCTTTCCTTGGCCAGGATGTTATACACATTCCAGCTGCTAGCAAGATAGCTTTCTCCTCCCTCTGCGGCGCGGTTCAGACAGAGGAGTGAGATTATATCGCCAGCATCAGTGTGGAAAACTTGCTTGTCAGACGTGTTTGACGGGGCTCCGATAAGCTTCTTGTCGGTCGTGCTAGTGAGGTCTTTGATATGGGATATCACGGGCGAGTTGCCATCCGCCAGTCGAGCTTCTTGCTGCCGTCCTCGAATATTACCGATGTGGGAAGATACACCGGCATATATGATGATATTGTCTTCCCGGGAATAATTATCGATGCGCAACCCCCGGAGAACGACGAATCCTCGACCGGTGTGGATCTCCTTCGAAAGGTCTCGAAGGACAGGCCGCAGGGTAGGTAGAGGAAAATTCGACTGATTAATATGTCCCGAGGAAAGACCAAGAGCTGTTAAATCAGCAATGGGAACTTAATACTGTGGTCAAAAGATTACTTACATTTGAAGCTCTTCAAAGCAGCGTCGAGTTCATCCAGCTGATCATCGCTCAACTGATAAACCCAATCATCCCGCTTCTCGACGTCTTTTCCTTCCCAGACTAGTGACGATATCAGCTTCTGTGGGAAGCCTGCAGGCAAAGTGGACTGCAGGTCCTCAGTCTCCTTTCGCCGACGAGTACGCTCCTTGTACTTTTCATAATCAGGATGATACTGAATATCGGGCTGGGTGGCCACAGTGATAGTCTGAACAGCGGACATATTTGTTATGCAGAAGAGAAATAACAGATGTCAGATGAAAGATCCTTGGACAGGTTTATCTTTGGTCACTCGGAGTGTGGTCACGACATCAACCCCGCAAAGCGCGAGATAAGTCGAACAACACAGGAGAGCCTTACAGCTAATTACCAACTTCAATCGCGTCAATATTCGCAATTATCCGGAAGTGACATCCATTTCAGATTCTTATTTTGACCTTTCTGTCTGTCAATATATAATCATAGGGAGAAATGGGTTCGATTTGAAACATTAATTTGAAATATAATGATCCAGTGTGGTGTAAAGGTCGGATTATGATTATCCCACCTTAACCAATGTATACAGGATGTCTGACAGTTGCTCATGTCTTTTCAAAGTCGTTGAATCAATATAGAGACCATCAAGCTTGTATTGCGGAAGGGATTGCGGGCCGGAGGCTTGGGACTTGAGGAATTAAGTGAAGAATAAAGCGGTGCTATTAGGCCTCTTGCATCTAGTAGAATTATGTTAAATCAGGAAGCTGATAATATATATTTCTCGCCTTCTTCCATTAGATCGTTCATTCACCAAAAACCGTGGTAGTAGATCATAATCATCTCTAATTTTATTTGCTCAAAGATATATATTAAGCAGAAAGGTAACAGATAAAACGAGATTCGTGAATCGCGCTCGGCGCGCTTGCATTAGAGACTGCTCGTAACATTTTCAAATATCAACACCTAAGTGATCGCATATAGATAAATTAACCTAGTTCCGAGTATGCTCAACAGCAACAGCACCAGGCTGCTTGCTTTCTTCGTGGCTCATCTGAACCCCCTTCTGGTGTGCCATCACCTCCTCTCCCCGAGCAACATGGTTAGCACCGCCAAATAGAATATCAATCTCCTCAAGGGGAACCTGCTTGGTCTCCGGAATAAGGAACCAAACGAAGACGGCAAGTAGGAAGTTAATACCGGCAAACATGTAGAAGGCATAGAAGCCCTCGTTGTCGAGGAAAAGAGGGAAGAATTGCTGCACGATGGCGTTGGCGATGTTCTGAGTCTGCGATGCCATACCTACGGCCTGTGCGCGAACGTTCATTGAGAAAATCTCAGACGTCCAGATCCATACTGTTGCGCCCCAAGATGGTTTGTCTGAAAATGATGTTAGTGAAGTTCCGTTTGCTGGGAAATGGTAAGTAGAAGGAACTTACAGAATAAGATGAACAAGAACAGAAGGAACACAATCGATATACCGACAGGCTCCGACTTGGCTCCATTGGCAAGTTGTGGTGTTTCTGTTTCGACGGCGGAGACAATGATCATGCACAGACCCATGCCGATACCACCGACAATCAAGAGGAACTTTCTCCCGAATCGATCAACAATCCAGACGGCGTTCAGGGTGAAGAAAATTCCAAAGGTGGCGTTCAGAGCGTTGATCAGAGCAATCTGACTGTCGCTGGTAAACACCTTCTGGTAGATCTTGGTAGAGTATGAGTTGAGTGAGCCTTGTCCGGTGATCTGTTGGCCGGCATTGAGAACCAGAGCTAGACCCATGCGCTTGCGGAGAGACTTGTCTTTCCAGAGAGCCGAGTAATTGCTAGAGATAGCTTCCTTCTCGTATTCGATAGCCTCACGAATCTCCAGCAGCTCTTGCTCGACTTCCTCCTCGGTATCACGAACTCTTCGGAGAGCTTCACGGGCCTTCTCGATGTTGTTTCCTCTCCGGATATACCTAGTAATGGTCAGAATTGCTCGGGCCAATCGAAATCGCCAACATGGACTTACCAACGAGGGCTACCGGGGATAGTCGGCAGGAGGGCAAGGATCAAAATAGGAACCAAAAGCTGGAAAATAACAACCAATCTCCAGTCCCACTCACCCAGCTGGGGAACATTTTTAGTGCAGGCAAAGTTGATCCAGAAGCAGATGAACGATCCAACAGAGTAGAACATCTGCCAGAAAGTCATGATCTTACCACGGATCTCTGGCGGAGCCAATTCACCAATGTAGATAGGGCCCGCAGCTGCAAAACAAGCTGTCAGTCCCCGTCATTGAAACCACAGGATCAACAAGACTTACTCAATGCGATACCCTGGCCAATACCAATAATGCATCTACCGGCAAGGAAGCAGGCAAGATCGTGGTGAGGAGCGAAGGTTTGCATAAAGGTGGCAATAATGACCAAAATACAGCCAATGCCCATTCCAAGTTTGCGGCCCAGGAAGTCTGCACACGGGCCTCCCAGGAAGAAACCACCAAAGATAGCACCGACCGTGTATGCTGTATTAATTGAGCCGATTGTCGACGCATTTGGGTGGTTCATCCAAGCGAGCCAGTTCTTGGAACCCTGGACTGAGTTGAATACAGATGCATCGTAGCCGTAGAGTACCATACATGATGCTGCAACGCAAGAGATGTACCTAGGAAATTAGATTAGGGTATGTTCGGCGGATTATATGACTGTGCACCAACCAATTGTACGCTCTCTTACGGGTCATTGAAAAAGTCATTCTGATGATGGCCTGTCTGTTCTAACAATGTGATTTGAGATATAGAACCACACTGCAATATATTTTCAACTTCTGTGGGCAGTGACAGACGAACAACTGTTGCCCTTAGTGTGAGAGAACAGTTAAGGAGGAGCTACATTCCAGGGGGTACCTGAGTGGGCGAAGGCTGCAGCTATATAAGAAAGTACAAGAAGCGATCAGGGCGCGTTCCGGGGGTAGAAAATACAACCCCAGTCCATGTGAGCAGGTGGATCAGACCATCCCCAGAATCAACAAACCCCGGATGTGCCAAGAGTGCTTTTGGCATTTGGATAACGGGGAGCCCTCGGCTCCAGGATCGCTGAGTGGTGGGTATCTGGGGTCAATGGCACAAGGGCAACGCATATACCACGCCTAGTCGATTTCTCATTGGCTTTGAAAATTCTCACATGTGCGGGCCGGACCTGGGGTAATGGACATCTGGGGTTCGAGGATATTTTCAAGCTTTTGTTCCGGCGAGATGAAGTTGGGGAGTTTTCCACGAATAGGCGGGCTGGACGACAGTGGCTTAGGAGAAAGTCAAGTCCACCAATAGGGGAAATGGTAAAGGACAGTATATTTAAGGCAAAAAGGGCGCTAAAATAAACAAGTAGGAGATACGGGGTACATAATAAGCGACTGCCCAGGTAGTTAGACTTCTGGGGTTCTTTTAGGCTGGAGATAGGGCTGACTTTATCCTTATAAAGAGACGTGGAGCCGGGGCAACCTTTTCTTATGTTCTGCTGATAATACATTCTTTGGCATCTCTATTTACAGAGTTTCACTAGAGATAGATTGCTGTATAGTCTTCCAATTAGAGAATAGGCTAAAAATGTGAATCCAAGCTAACAAGGCTCTAATAATAGGCTAAAGACACTCTGGCAAAGGAAGCATGACTTGAGTACTCCGTAGAAAGATTCATAGAAGAGCTTTGGGGAAGCCCTACGGAGTAATATATGTTAAATTGCTTTTCTGTAAGAACAGACCAATCTGCCTTCTATGGATAATCACCTAGGAGCTGCACGCGCATATCTGCATGTATAAAACCTGATCGAACTATCAATGTAACATATCAAGATATTTCCATTTCCTCCTTTCACTTCTAGAGTTAAGTATCAGTCCGAAACATTCGCAATTCCTCTCACTTTCGCCTGTAAGTATACATATCACGTGATCTCGTGATTTTTCACAACGCGATCCGCGACAGCGAAGGTCCCACTGGTATAACAGTCTCAAGCTTTATTTTTCTTTGAACATATTTTCTTTTGTCTGAATTTGCTGTGACCTACCTAGATATATGATCCCGGCACTCTACCTAATCCAGCCAGTTCTGTTATTTTGACTACAAGCAATGCCACCCCGCAAATCGAAGAAAAAGCAGACGCGACTTGCCTTTGCTGCTTCAGCCGCTTCGCCTTCGGCGGATGCGAGTCCGGAGAGTAGCCGATATGCAACACTTACATATGATCACCCAAGCTTGGGCACGTACCGTCCTCCAAAGTCTCTCAACAGCGAGTCGGGGACTTCGCCCGCGAGCAAACGTCCGAAGCTCCCCGCCAAGACGAGGTCTAAGGATAAACCCACAAGTACGGTGATGATCTATATCCTCAATGCTACCAGAAAACTAAGATGCAAAAGACGAACTGTTCGTAGAGAAATCGAGCCATGAATCCTTAGACGAAACAATCATCCCCGCCTCCCAGAAGAGGAAGCAAGTCGCGCCACCCGACAACCTCGACCCGGTAAATCTCGATGACGCCCAAGATTCGAAGAATTCCCGCTCGCGAAAATCACAACAATCCTTGGAATGCTCAAGGACAGATAGCGAGAGCACAAATGGTTCTGATTCGGAGGAGCTTTCCCGGCCGCGCCGATCACTCAAGCGAAGGGCCCCAAGCTCACCGATTGACTCCAGCGACTCAGATGAGCCAGTAGCCTCTTCGGCCCCCAACCGGCGTAGGTCTACCCGAGGTGGCCATTCTTCAAGCTCGCCTGTTATACTCAGCGGTGATGATTCAAACGAGTCAGTGGCTCCTTCGACCGCCAAGAGGCGCAGGGTAGCAAGGCCAGCCGTAGTTTCAGAAAGTGATGAAGTTGACTCGGACGAACCATTGGCCTCCTCGCCAGTGAAGAGGCTCCGACGTGGAAAAGCGAAAGAAAGTCCCCAAGCCCCCCACACCCCCAGGCACATCTCGCAGCAGGCCAGACTTGATATTGCAGAGGATTTGGAGGACCTTCAGGATTCGGGTAGGAACCAATTAGCGTACGAGGCTCGTTTATTTATGCTGATGCAATCATGCGTAGTTGTTAAGAAAAATCGAACTCGCGGCCGGAATGTCGAATCTGCCCGAGACAAAAGAATGAAGCACCTCGAAGCTTTGCGCCGCAGACGGGCTGGTATGAAAGATGAGGAAGAGGAACAAGAAGATGAGGAAGACGACGATGATGAAGAAGAATCCGATCCAGATGTGCAGGAGATTAAACAACCCTCTGTTCGTAGCCTCTGGCGACATGACGACGGTGACAGCGACATAGAATCAGCCATTGACCCCAACGAGAACCTCGATCGGTACGAAGATGACTTTGTCCTAGAAGATGAGGCGAACGACCTTGGCGTTCCCACCGAGGAGCTCCCCTTCGAGTTTACCCGACATGCATATAAGCAGCCGAAGGAATACTTCCGCGACGTCATCGGCTGGATGGTGCAAAACAAACTGAACCCGGCCTTCCCTCGCTCTGACGACATGTACAAGATGGCATTCATGAAGCTGGAAGATGAAGTCAAGGGTCGGGCCGGTTCACAGCTGATTTCTTCAGTTTGGAACCCCAGTTTCATATATGCCCTCCAGGCCCGGCCGCACATGGAGGTCGATACCTTTCCTACAGAGGATAACCATCCCTGCGATGCTTGCAGGCGCTCTGGGCATCCCGCGTCTCGAGAGATGAAACTCTACGGAAAGGCGTATTCCCTGCAAACGTTAGAGCCACTGGAAGATGACAGCGATGAGGATTCCAATAACGACGACGATGGCAATGATCGGGACCGGGATGGCCATGTCATTCCTCCTGAGAATGTCCGGTACTACCTAGGAAAGTAGGTTTTGTCTTCAGACACCCATTCGATCGAGTCCCCCTCTAACTGTTTCTTTTGTTTCAACAGACAATGTAATGCGAGAGCGCAGCTCACCCACACCCTTACTCACTGGCGCTACCATCTCAATGAATGGGTCATCGACTTCCTGGAGCGTACAGGCCACATGGATGCCGACGAGATCCTCCGACGAAATGATATGAGCGTCAAGCGTAAGACGCGAAATGCAAATGATGTCCTTGACAGCATGACTGGAAGTGGTGAAGTCGATAAGTTGTGGCGTGACTTCCACATTAAACTCAAGTCTGCCCGCGAGAAAGAGGTATGTTCTTGTAGTGGGGTCTCGGTGCTTGATGCTAATCGGGTCTGTCCTTCATTTAGTCTATCTACGGATGATGAGATGATCATATCCAAGAACAAGTTCGAGGGTCAGTATTTGTCCTCGAATGGCTTTATCATGAATTTTCATGAAGTCTGAACCTTGTCACTACATAGTTTTGTGGCATCGCTTTTCTTTTGCGAAGTTTCTCCGGTGCTCCTTTCACAATGATACCCTTTTTTTCTTTCTTTCTTTGCACATTTCTAGTCAGGTATGTCTAGCTAGCCTACCAAAAAGTACCTGCAGGTTCAGCCAGCTATCTCAAGAAACTATATTCGCCAAGAGCCTACTGAGTATCTATCTCCAATGCAGTTTTAGGTATTCGTAGGCCTGTAAGTATGGCTGGGATTACAAATTGCGAAGATAACCAAACCCATCCGTTTTCATTACCTGGACATGCACATGGGGAGAGAAAAAAAAAGGTGTATAGGAAAACAGGAAGAAAGATGATTGGGGTTGTACAAATACATGCATGCATAAGCTGCCGGAGCCAAAATGTCAGAAAGCATGAGAGATGCGAGGAGAGAAAAAAGGGAAAAAAAAAACAAGAAGTATAACAAAGATCCGAACAAGTCAAAACAAGACACGAATCGGGAAACCAACTCTTTCCGAGTGCTTGTAGTCCTATATTTTGAGATCTGGCCAAAATAGGTGATTGGAAATCCCAGGACGTGACAGAATTTTGCCGACGTGCGCCTGGGTATGCTGTCTGCAGGAGACCAAGTGTCGCGGCCGGTAATTGTGTCACTGGGTCCTTCGCCAATCTCTCTGCTTTCCGAAGTGGTATTAATTTACAGAGTAGGTTGAGCCGTCTTCTCGGGTTCGGAGCCGGGGATGAGCATCTGCGAGTAGGAATCATAATTAGTATATCGTTTCAAAGACTGAGAGTCCGCCGAAGAGCGCAAAAAATGCCATTTGATGATAGTGTCGAGAAAGAGAAATATTATGGAAGATTGCCGAGATGCGAATACCCGAGGCAATGTACACGGTGTCAATAGTGCCAATGACAGCACGAATCGGGGATTCAAGATAACTGTTGCAATGCCGGAAAATCCGGAGCAAAAAAGGTGAAAAAGAAGTAAAACACATACCTCGTTAGCTCCCTTGATCATTCCCTGCTCGCGCTCCATCTGGATGTACTGCTCCTCCTCGGCGTAGGCCAAAGCGAATGGCACACCGAGCAGGAAAGCACTGGTGCTGATAATCCAGAGGGCCTTGCCGCTGAACGAAAAGGTGGCCTTGGTGAGGTTTGTGATGGAAGAGACGGTGCTGGAGACGTTGCGGCGGGCGGATGGGGGAACAATGTCTTTCAGAGCGGCGATACGCTCGTAGAGCGACTCAGCCTCGAGCTCGATATCTTCCTCGTCGGAGATCTCGGAGTCTATTTTGCATTGATGCCCATGTTAGATACGGTACTTTATGTTGATTTCAGACCAGTGTTCATTTCTGGGTTTCGATGTCGCATTGTTGAGGATTGGGATTGGGGACTGGGATGATAGGAGGAACTTCAGGGAGCAGAATATCTTCCCATCAAAGCGATTCCCCATGCAAATGACAATGGCGCGATGCGAGTTTCGTCTGATTATGGGCGTTCGGGTTTCGGTACTAACCAGTGTCTGAGTAGTCATCCTCATCATCGGAGACCAAAAGAGCATCGTGTTTGGTGGCAGTGGGCTTATCGGTGAAGTGCTCGTCTTCGACTTCAGTGAGCTTGACCATTTTGGGCGGTTTGGGTGGTTTGGATGAGAATGACGAAGGGGGTCTAGTTAAAGGTGATGGTTGAATGATGGGAGGACGCTCTGGTTTCGCTCCGACTTTTTTGCCGAAAAGCGGCGAGGAGCTTGGACCCACCGACAACGATGTCATTTGTTTTCGATCTTATGAATTACATTAGTTAGTTACTGATGTTTACATGAATAGTCTTTTGGTGGGCTTTTTAGTAGAAAGGTGAGTTGAGAAAGGCCATGATTTTAAAAGAGAGGTGTATTCTACATAGTCGAAATGCTGGCCATAGTCTATAATTACAGATTACCACATGACCCTTATATTCGACGCATCCAAGCGAGTCCTGAGGCATAGAATCATCTATTTACCGTCGGCCAAGCTTCCACCGGGCAATCCGTTCTTGGATCTCCTCCCAGGGGAAGGACCGGAGCTTATAGCCTTCCAACTCGCCCTCCTGCAGCACAACAGTAGGCTTACCAGTGCCCTTACCCTCATTGTGGACATCTCCACCAAAGACCTTGCGAGCTACACGGCGGAGGTCCTCGACGGTGAGGGCCTCGATCTGCTCACACATCTCTCGGACACTGACCTTGCGGCCGTGGACCTGCACCTGGCGTCCAAGATCCTCAAGCTCGACCATGCGAGATTCTAGGTTCATGAGCAGCGAGGAACGGAGCTGGTTCTTCGCACGGTTAACTTCCTGCGCTTGCAGCGAGCTGTAACCAGTGTCCAGAGTCAGGGATTGCAGCTCGCGGCACATGACCTCGACCATCTCCGTGATCCGAGTCGGGCTGCAGGATGCGGAAATTCCGAAGATTCCGCTATCCGTGTAGCTGTGATTGAAAGCAATACAGCTTTCGACCCAACCGTGCTGGTTCAGCACGTTGGTGTAGAGTCGCGAGTACATACCCTTTCCAGGGCCACCGGCCGAGAATGAGCCACCACCACCGAGGAGGGTCTGGAGAGTAGCAAGAGCGTAGATATCAGGCGAGGAGATGGGGAGAGCCTCGAAGGCAAGGTGGATGTGACTCAAGCGAGGGAGCATGGGGCTCGCGGGGGGAGGAATCGAAGGGAGGGCGATAAAGCCACCCGTGTAGTGAGCAGGTTGGCGGAGGTTGAGCGCGGATGGCTCAACCAGGGATGAGTGGAGAGGCTCGACTGCAGAGCTCTTAGAGGAAGAGAGATTCTTGAGGAAAGGAAGCTTTGACAAGAGCGAAGAGTGTGTTTTTTGAGAAGCAGCCGGACTGCTGATTGTCGATGAGGGCGTGAACGAAGGAACGGTCGGCACCTGGCCTTCGTGGGCGGCCGCTGGGGAATCAGACAGTGTGGTTTCGATTCCGCTGCCAGAAAGTACAGGACGCTTGGTCTTACTGATGTCACTCGGCTTCATGTCGCCAAAGTACTGCTCTGTGAGCTGAACAGCCTCTGCATGTGGCACTCCCGCAAAGGCAACCACCATCCGATCCGGGTTGAAGAAAAGCTCCCTGTACCGCTCTACCACTGCCTTGTTGATTTCGCCTAGCCGTTCTTCTGGGCACAATAGCGGATTTCCAAGAGTGTTGTTGGCATAAGCAGTCATGTGCACCAATTCTGGAAGGATGAGTTCCGGCTTCGCCCAAATCTCGCCTATCTCGTACTCCGCAGTTGCGAGCTGTTGGATAACCTCCTCTTCAGTGATGAGGGGATCTCGAATGGTCTCCGCAAGCAGGCCGAGCGTGGTAGGAACTGCCGAGTTGAAACTGGCAGACTGGTACATCAAGGATTCTCGAGATGAGGCACACTGAATGTTACCGCCTAGGGACTCCAGAATCTCAAGCATTTCATCTCCAGTGCGCGCCTTGGTAGACTTGAAGGCTAGACGGTCCATAATGTGGCTGACTCCGCGCAGACTCTCATCTTCGTAGCGAGATCCAGCATCGACGTAAACTCCGACACCAGCGAAGGGACCCGGTAATGATTCCGTGGCCACGCGGACTCCATTTGAAAGTGTGGTGATTTGTTCTAGCTCGGCGGGATCCTGCGGAGAAAGAAATAGTTCGTCAGTTACAAATGACGCTGTGTTGTAGGACCTATCGAGGCTCTCTTACCTTGACCGATTCATTGACGGTAGAGAGGCTTCTTGACACAGCGCGAGGAGCTCGTGTCAATGGCTTCGCGGACTCGATGGCCCGCAATGCTGTGCGGCGCATAGTGGTTCTGTACAAATCCAACAGCCTGATTAATTCGGGATTTCTTGGTTGCACCGAATATATCCGGTAAAGGTGTGATGTAGCTCGGACGGATTGTCGGCGAAGAATCGTAATCCTCGATCCAAAATGCTTAGCTAATCCGTTGCATGGTGGATTCTTACATATTCTGTTGACATAGCAGATCAAAGTGAATAACTAAATACTTTTATGATATTTTTGACAAGAAGCGGTGTTTTACTGATTTTTTGACATCATTCGTGACTGGCGTAGCAGGGAGTGTCTAGTCCGCTTACCCCAGGGCATGACCTGCAGGGCTCGAATATACACCAAAACACATGGACGTGGAATCTGAATGGAAATTTGCAGAACAATGAGTCGTCAAGTTTTCTATGTACTAAAGATTAAATAACTAAGGGTGTTCCGAAGCCCAGTTTCTATACCAATCTAGACATGAAGCATTCGCAACACTTGCACCAATCTTGATGTTAAGCCCACACAAAATCTGCTTAACAGCATTCTCCACCTTCTTGCCATTAGAAGTCACTGGAATATCAGGACATGCGTCAATAATACCAGGGACATGGCGCGGGCTAAGCTCCTTCCGAATTGTGGACTGAATGCGTGCCGCGAGATCCGCCGGCATACCCGACTCGTTGCCAGCAGCAAGCCGGACAAACAGAACGACGGTTTCATCGGTGTCGATACCATCTCGTCTCCGGCCAATGCAAAGAGAATCTTCCACCTCGTCGGCGAAATGCTTGAGAAGAATGTTGTAAATTTCGGCACTTCCAAATCGCACTCCGGATGGCTTGAGTACACCGTCGCTGCGGCCTAGCATGACCACACCTCCAGTTTGTGGGTTCAAGCGCACGTAGTCTCCATGGTGCCAGACTGTGGGCCCGAACAAATCGAAGTAGCTCTTCCGGTACTTCTCCAAGCCTGTTGGTCCCGGGGGCCAGAACATGACTGGTTGGGCTGGGAAGGGTGTGATGCAGACAAGATCACCAGGTTCGCCTGATGCGCTGATATCCTTGCCAGCATAGTCGAAAACCGAGATGTCCATGCCCAGAGAGCGGCATTGGATCTCTCCTTTGTAAACGGGGAGAATAGGGCAACCGGAGGCGAAGAGAGAGAGGATGTCTGTGCCACCGGTGATGGAACCAAGCATAATGTCGTCGTGGAAAGAGGAATAAACGTATTCGAATGTCGATGGTGCCAGTGGGGATCCAGTACTGAAGATGGCCCGTAGGGACTTCAACGATACTGGCCTATGGGCATGCTCGCGCGGGTTCAAAGCAGCTTGTTCGAGGAGAGAGAGGTATTTAGCGGATGTACCGAAATGAGTAATTTGAAGCTCTTCGATCAGTCGTGGCATGGCCATTTCTCCCTTTCCGCCTTCAGTGTCAAAGGGTCGGAAGGGTGAACCATCATACAGGACGATTGTTACCCCACTGGCCAAGCCCGATACCAGCCAGTGCCACATCATCCAGGTTGTCGTTGTGAAGTAGAACAAGCGATCACCTGGTCGAATGTCACAGTGAAGAAGATGCTCTTTCTTGTGTTGAAGCAATGTTCCCAGAGATCCATGAACGATGGGCTTGGGGGCGCCTGTTGTACCGGACGAGTACAAGATATAGACAGGATGATCCGGTCTCAAGCTTGCAAACTCCAATGGTGCCTGGGGGTTCTTGACCTCAGACAAGAAATCACCGTAGACCTTTGCTTTCCCATTTGCAGGTCGAAGGTCATCTAGATTTTCGTCAAGTTCCGGAGTAGTGATAAGGGACACCAGAAGCTCAAGGTCTGGCAGTTCCGAGACAATCTCCGCTACCTTCGCATGTGAGCTGTGTACCTTGCCATTGTAGAAGGAGCCATTGTCCGCAAAGAGAACCTTAGGTTGGATCTGCTTCAGGCGCTCCAATACAGCATGCACACCGGTGTCAGGTGACACACCAGTCCAGAATGCTCCGATTGAGGCTGCGGCCAGCATTGCCACGACGGTAGTAGCATGGTTGCCTACGAAGCCAGCGACACGGTCACCGGTCTTCACACCCGCTTCTTTCAAGGCGTTTGCGCACTGTCGAACTCGCTCCCGCAGCTCCTTCCACGAGATATATTCGCGAGCTACTTCAGTGGCGCCAATCACTGCTATGGAATCTTCATCTGGCGAGCTGGCGGGATACAGAAGATTCTCGGCGAAGTTCAGAGTGCTGCCTTCGAAAAATGCAGGTCTAGGGAACAGCACTTCTTTTGTATCCAGTACCTATGTTGATCGGATTAGGATCGGATAGCTCAAGTATAAATGGGAATTACTCACCTGTTCGTATGGATTGTGGGCATTGATTTTCGTATAGTGCCAGATTTCCTCCCAGAATTGAGCTGGCTCAGAGACACTCCATTTCCAGAGCGCATCGTAGTCATTCAGTGACAAGCCATACTTCTCGTTCACTTTAGTCATGAAATCATAGATCTGGGTTGTCTCCGGGGCGGAGGGTCGCCAGAGCTCTTTGGCCTCTGGCTCAACGATTTCGTCGATCTGAGACATAGCTATGAGGTTTGTTGCAGTAGTGCGCGCAATAATGCCAGGAATTGAACTTCGGAGTGTGGAGTATGTCTGTAGAAATGCCGATTGAGATTGAAATGTGCTCAATCTCTTGTCACACTAGAAATCCCAGACAATGTAGCAATTGACTTCCCAGCAGACAACGATTTGATAGGGCTTCACAGGGTCAATGGTCAAAGCTTGCAGTCAAAAGCGAGTTCACACAATGCAAATACCCCAGGGGGATGGCGGGGCGGGAATGATCGGGTACTGAGTTGCCGATCTCCTCGGCTACGGGGAAGATAATTTCTCACAAACCGCCCCGGATATGCATTGTGAATTAAATTATGCCGAAGGCCGAATCTTCAGGTCGGTCACGTTTAGAAGTGACGGCCTCAGGCTCCAAGGTTGCCATTGCCGTTTCCGATCATGATTCACGTCACCTCCATGGACATCGGGATGTAGGTGTCACGGACCTTGAAAATGGACATGATGTGACTATAAGGGTTTTTAGTCGGATATGCCGGATGAACCCCTTATTTCATAACATGATATTACAATAGATGGACAATTATACAACATCTACGGAGTAGAGATAGTATTGCTGTTCACAATCCAATATTTATGCATCATACGACTTGATTTGTCTCTGTAACTTGGGTCTTTCGGGTCCGAGACTTTTTCGAGTGGAAAAAAAACCCCCTAGTATTGCGCTGGTAATATTACATCCGCACTAGCAATTATCAGCCAATCACACGTAATTTTCGCCGTACTGCATGCGTTTTTAATTAATACCAGGAGGTCACTGCATAATGGGTGCTTAGCATGGGAAACACGGAGGTCTCGCTCTTATTTACCTTCTCAGACTCTCTCCTTCTTCTTCTTCTCCAACCCTATACTCGGTAAAGGTGCTTCATTATCTCGGTTTGTAGTGCAACGGAAATTGGTCCCTTCGTCATCCGAACGTAGGGCTCTTTGCCCCTTCGTGCTTCTTGCCCCCATTCCACGTGCATCCGATTTTTTAAGCCCTTTCGGAGTATTCGGCTCCCGCTCACGTCAAATCAACCTTGCGGTACGTCTCAATCTGTGAAGCTGATGACCGGCGAGTTTCTGAGTCGGAGTGACTTGGGAACGGAGCATGGCTCAGAGTGTCGCATCGATGCCTGGTCCAGAACAATCCACTAATTGGCTGCGGTTTCCAGATTGAACACATTGCCTGAGGTTGCCACGACTTTGAAGACCGCTGGAGTTTCCAAGAACACTTGCCCAGTCAAACACATCGATTATCAACTACTTCCGATAGTCCCTGCCTTAACTCGTCAACATCCGGACGCGCTCACCCCAAAGCGCCCCTCGATCCTGACGTGAGAAAAAAAAAGAACACCCGTGCCGAAACCTTGCGCTGTTTCCTCTTGCGATGCCTCGTCGATTTAGCAACAACTCCTCTACCGACACCTCTACCAACCCGCCGTCCTTTTCACCTTCTTCGGGAAAGGGCGGTATCTCCACTAAGGGCCCCACGGTCAAGTCCAATCGCCTTTCTCAGTTATTCTCGGCCTCGCCAAAGTCCAAGACCGAACCTGTGCAAAGTGGGCATCCTCAACCTAGCAATTCTTCTCCGCCGATAAGTTTGGCCTCACTGTCTCTACCGACGATCTCTCTATCAACAGCCACTGCGGACAATCCGAACATGGACGAGCTGCCTACAACACTCTTCCAGCCTCCAACCCCTGAGGAGGCTCGTCGGCTGGCCAAGCAACATGCCCAGTTCGGTCCCATCGGTCATCCTAGCCACCGATACTCCAGCCGACACCCCGGTGGTGTCTTCCCGGAGCCGGTGATGGACGAGCCGCCGTATTATTACCTGCTCACCACCTATATCAGTTACCTAATTCTAATCGCTTTCGGGCATGTCCGTGATTTCTTTGGCAAGCGATTCCGCGAGGAACACTACCGCCACCTCAAGCCTCGCAATGGTTATGGCGCTCTCAACAGTGATTTCGACAACTTCTATGTGCGTCGTCTGAAATTGCGTATCAACGACTGCTTTGAGCGCCCCGTGACTGGTGTTCCTGGCCGTACTATTACTTTGATCGATCGGGCTACGGATGACCACAACCAGCACTTCTTCCTGACGGGTACCACTACCGACACTTTGAATCTGAGCTCGTACAACTACCTGGGTTTCGCTCAGTCGGATGGCCCGTGTGCGGATCTTGCGGAAGAATCCATCAAGAAGTATGGCATTGCCGCACCCAGCACCCGAGCGGAGTCTGGCACGCAGGATATGCATCTCGAAGTAGAGGATTTGGTTGCCCGGTTTGTGGGCAAAGAATCGTCTATGATTTTCTCCATGGGTTTCGGCACCAACGCAACCATCTTCCCCGCCTTAGTCTCGAAGGGATGTCTCCTGATCTCCGATGAACTGAACCACGCCTCCATCCGTTTCGGTGCTCGTCTCTCCGGCGCCTCCATCGCTATGTTCAAGCACAATGATATGAAGGACCTGGAGTTGAGACTTCGCGAGGCTATCTCTCAAGGACAACCCCGCACTCACCGTCCCTGGAAGAAGATTCTGGTCGTTGTCGAGGGACTGTACTCCATGGAAGGTTCCATGTGCAACCTTCCCGGTCTTGTGCACTTGAAGCGCCGGTACAAGTTCAATCTGTTCGTCGATGAGGCCCACTCCATTGGAGCCATTGGTCCTAAGGGCCGTGGTGTTTGTGATTACTTCAGTATCGATACCTCCGAGGTGGATATCCTGATGGGCACACTTACAAAGTCATTTGGTGCCAACGGTGGCTACATTGCAGCAGACAAGGTCATGATCGACGCACTTCGTGCCACCAACTCCGGTGTCTACTTTGGAGAGTCTCCCGCGCCTGCAGTGCTTTCTCAGATCTCTTCCGCCCTGCGCATCATCAGCGGTGAGCTCGTTCCCGGTCAGGGTGAGGAGCGATTGCAGCGATTGGCTTTTAATTCGCGATACCTGCGTCTCGGGTTGAAGCGTCTTGGCTTTATAGTGTATGGCCACGACGATTCACCAATCGTTCCACTCCTTCTCTTTAACCCTGCCAAAATGCCTGCATTCTCGCACGAGATGCTCCGGCGCAAGATCTCCGTCGTTGTTGTTGGTTACCCGGCTACTCCGCTGGTCTCGTCCCGTGCTCGTTTCTGTGTCTCTGCTGCCCACACTAAGGACGATCTTGACCGTGTGTTGACTGCTTGTGACGAAATTGGCAACGTCCTTCAATTGAAGTTCTCTACTGGTATCGCGGGCGGTGCACTGCCTGCTGCCGAACAGCCGGCTCCTCCGCCCGAGCTGGAGAAGGAATGGCACCGCAAGCGCTCGGACAATATTTCACCTCCACGCTGGCGCGTCGAGGATGTCATCCGACGCGGAGTCCAGGATGTCAAGAACCCCTTGTACTAGTACTAGATTGGCTTCCTTCTCCTCCCGGTTGACATGACGCTGTCTTGAGTTCACTAGGCTTTGAGATGAGTCTTCGGTCGGGGTCTTTTTCCACAAGCACGGGTTGTTGCTGGTCACACCGTGCCGGAGTCTTAATCCCATGTGTCCCCTTGCTCTTTGTTCTGAGTTTATATGATTTTTGTGACTTTCGCTGGACTTGGATCCTAAGGCACATAAAGCGAGTGAATCTCCTCGGACTAGAAAGAAAAGAGGGACTCGGGGGGAAACGAAAAGATGAGTTATTCGACAGCAACGAATGAATATGCCCCGTCTCCTATGATCCTTCTTACTCTTGCTTCTTCATGTTTGCATCCATACAGAATTTCATGTTACTTTCTTTGTCGCTGTTATCCTTCTCAAGATATTGCCTAATAATGTTCCACTATTGCCTAATATTGTTCCATTCAATGCTTCACAGGGAGAAGATAGCTAAAGAAGAGGATCTTAAAGACTAGAAAGACCGCTGAAAAGACTACTAAAGAGTACCATCTTCTTATATGTACCTTTCATATGTGAATCCTAACGAAAAGTACATCTTGCGTTCGAACTATGTTCAAAGGTACTAAGCCTATTCCAAAACGTCAATCCGGGGAAGGCCCATTCATATACTTCCACCACTTCCTTCTTCACTTCTTTTCCTTTAACCATCTTATCTCTCTATTTCCTAGTACTCACTTCGATTTATTGAAAACAAAATGTCTTCTCTGACCAATCCAAGCCTCGCCAAGTCCTTACGCCAATACATGCAGTCAACCTTCCGCATTGGCCATGGAACTGTCTCCCCTCGCAGTCTATACGGCATTCAAGTTCCTGAGTTGAAAGTTGCCTTGAATGAAGCCTACCACTATAAAATCGGTGCAAACGAATTTGACCCTGACGTCGTCTTTCCCGAGGTTCTCACCCTCAGCAACCAACTCTCTACCATCCTACAACAACTCACACCCGCCCAAGAGACCAAGTTCGAAAACCATATCCTACATTGCCTTGCTAGTATGGTATACGGATCCAACATGATCGAGCGCGCCGGGGGCGATTCCGACAGCACATTTGGCGCTGTGTACGGCAATCTTCCTCGGAAAGGCAGTGGAAGGACCAGAAGAGATCGAAGAAACGAAGGAAGAGTTCCAGCTACCGTACCACAAACTGCTAGGAGACATCTCCCCGGCCTTGCGCAGTTACCGTGAAATTGCGCAACACGCCAGGGCTGCCTCCTACATCATCGTTCAACTCTGCATACACGACCAAGGTCTCAGCGAAGAGATCATTCTCCAGGCTCATAGATTCTTGACGTACAAAGTTGACGCTGAAACCACTCCCTGGGAGGAATACAGTGGTGTCTATCGTACGGATGAAGTCTCCGCCGGCCTACGTCCATTCCCGCACCACAGCATCGTGCCATTCAAAATGAAGGGAATGGTCCGCGACCTCCATTCTGATGTTAAAGAAGCTATTGCTAAAGGAACACTCGACCCTGTCAGCATAGCCTCGAAATACACCCACGTCTTCGTTAATATCCATCCTTTCATCGACGGAAATGGATGTATGTGTCGTTTGATCTTGAACTCTATGCTCCTCAAGCTTGGCAGCTTTCTTGCGTGCATCGGTGGGACAGAAGAGGAACGCATTGTTTACATGGAAATCGCCAGTAACGGAGGTGCACTTGAAGATCTGTATGGAGATCTTGATGAAGATGAGAAACCCGTAATGTATAAGGAGCTAGGGAGTCTTGTTCTGGAGTATGTCAAAGAGAGTATGCAAAATCTGGTTACTACAGTGCTTTCGTGAAGTGTCTTAAGTCTGATTTTCGGTGTTAATATTTTTGTATTTCTATGGAGGTTTTCCTGGGCATCGATGGATGGAGTGTATGAATACCCCTTGTTGCTAGTCAAATGCCACTATTTGTAAACCTGTTTTTGTATTCAAAGTCTGGATCACTAACTAAGTACTCAGTTCTGAATCTCTTGTATAATCACCCTTCTGGTATCCTCATCTGCAGACTGCATGACTGTTTGACCCCTACAATCCTCGATATCCACACTCGCACCTTTATGAACTAGATACCGAATAACATCACCTTTCTTAAGAGCCACGGCCGTGTGTAAAGGAGTTTCCCTCATAAAAGGAAACATATTCCTCGAATATTGATGGTCTTCATACATAAGGGCATTAAAAGGAGCACCCCGATCAACGAGCATTTCGACGACTTTAAGGCTGTCAGACTCTCGATAGATCGCATTACGCACAAGCTGGCCTATTCTAACATCACCACCACGACGTAGGAGAAGATCAATAGTTGACAAAGCGGCGTATCTGGCAGCATAGGAGAGCGGGGTATTATCGATGTCACAGCGCGTATTAGGATCTGCGCCATGGTCGAGCAGCCATGTTGTCATCTCCGGGTCCTCGAGCGCATTGCTAGAACGAGATAATTGTTATTCGGCTGTAAGCTTTTAAAAGAGAATAGGTTGTCTCACGCAAGAATAGGCGGGTCCGTTCTACTCATTGACGTGTTGATATCCCAGCCGTTATTGAAGAAGCTGGTCAAGATAGTCTTCGCTCTCGCCTTGACGGCTTCGAGTACGTAGATTGGCGACACGGGCATTTTGTGTTGGAGTAGCTCGTTCACGAGATACACTTTGTTTGACCTGATGGCATCAATCATGACCTCGTAGAAATGACGGATATCGCAATCATCACGGATGGTGCGATCAAGGAATTCTCGTAACTGCTGCTCGCTAAGTCTTGGTAGCTGCTGCACTAACAAGAGCCTTTTTGCTAGGATCGGGGGAGGAGTTTGAACTCGGCTTGTGTAACCCTGTTCAAGGGTGTGATGAACAGACATGGTTGAATACTTGAGGTGTAGAGAAACATAACAGAAGGAAAGCAAAGCAAAGGTACTGCAAAGAATGATACAGGAAGGTCAATATCCCGTGACTATTGTAGTATCACCATGGTAAAAAAAAAAGCCTGATCAGCCCTGATTAATACATGTAAGTTCCATAACTCCCGTGCAAACAGAAAAACAAAATCAGTATTCGTCAGTATCGAGAGGTGGAAAGAGAGCTCCAAGAGAGATATCTGATGGTCTCTTAACTAAATTATATACGCACAAATCCTTCCTGTTTTGGCTTAAATGTCCTAAGCTAGGCCTATCCAGAACCTATGTATAACTTTAGATATAGACACTAACCACTGATAGAACTGGAAACAAGTGTTCAGTCCGGTCAATGCAAATGGTATTTCTATCATGCTGAGCTTTTACGCTTTTATATCAGGCGCCCGGGTCAGGCCAGAATCAAAACAAAAGAAAAAAGCAAGTCGGGATCGTTCCACAAGATGGGAGAGATCCTTCTGAATCTCCAAAACAGTAGGCTGTGAAGTGCCCAAAAAAAGAAACAGGGAGAAGAAGACAAAGTACGACAAAAATAGAGGCGCAAGGAAACGCCTGTCAGCAAAAACAGAGGGATATCATTAAGATTCAAAGAATCCAGAATGTAGCAAAACAACAATTTGAAAAGATAAATTGGATGGGGAAGAAGAAAACAGAAAAAGCAAAACCGTAGGACTCGTATACTCGATAAGTCATCAAGGAGGAAGCCATTCCCTCCACCAAATATGTAGAATATTTCTCGTCGGCAGCCATTCACTCGTCTTTCAGACTTCCGACCAAATTGCGCAGCACGTCCATGATAACAGCTTCGTCTTTTGGCTCGCCGCCTGGGAATGAGCTCTCTGGCGCATCGCCCAACACGCGTGCGCGCGCACTCCGGAGAACTTCCCGGATGTAGTTTTTGTCCTCGTAGTCTTCCATGAGAACAGCTTCAAAGTCATCGATTGCCTTATTCGCTCGGTCAATGAATGAGGATGACTCTGGTGGCCCTGGTGTTTGCTGAGCAGGGTGTTGCTGTTGATGGTGAGGATGGGCCGGGAGGCCTGGAGGTGGATGATGCTGGTGTTGGTGTTGGTGTTGGTGTTGATGCTGATGCTGGTGCTGCGGCTGGTGCTGGTGGTGAGGCAGCGGATGTTGCTGCTGAGGAGGATGCGACATGGGCTGTGACTGGGGTGGAACCGGTTGTTGATGCGGGTGCGGATGCTGATGGTGTTGGAACTGCACCCCGCCAGATGGAGGGTAGGCCCGAGGCTGCGGGTTATTGTGAGGGGGTTGAGAGGATGGCGGCTTTTGTTGTGAATAAGGGGAATGATGCTGAGGTGGTCCATGAGGAGGCCGTGGGGTTTGCAACTGTTGCTGCTGGCCGCCTTGCGGAGCGGGGGCGGATGCGTAGGGCGAAGTGTAGGTTGAAGGGATGGTCGCTGCGAATGCAGCTGGGAGGTTGTTACGGAGCTGACTGGGGATGGGGAAGGATGCAGCTGGATTGATAGCTGGTGCTGGTGCCGGTACCGGTGCCGCCGATACTGGTGCTGGTGCCTGCGTAGGTGCGGGTGTCGGTGCGGGTGCGGGTGCGGGTGCGGAAACGGGTATAGGAGCCGGAGTAGGTGTTGGTGCTGGTGGTGGAATAGGAGCAGAGACAGGGGCAGGTGTAGGCGCCGGTGGGGGTGCTTGTGCCGGTACCGGTGCCGGTGCAGCAGCCTGGGGCGGGGGCGGAGCAGGAGCAGTAGCTTGAACCGGCGCAGCAGGAGGAGCGGTTGGTTTAGGAGCAGGGGCCTTCAATGCAGGTGGGTAGGGACTAGACCGTGGTGGAGGTCCTCCTACATTCACAGATGCCGGGAAAGGAGCAGGCGGTATGGAAGGGAATTGGAAATGCTGTGGCGGATTTGGCACCGGTGGTGGGCCCTGTGGTGCATAAGAGTAGGACGCCTGAGGCATGTACTGCTGCGGAGTAGGCGCAGGAGGATGGGACACCTGAGGCGGCGGCGAAGGGCGTCGTTTCTTTTCCTTTTCAACTGACGCGCCTGGAATAAGCTGCCATGACCAGCCCTTGCCATCGCGCTCTGCGTGCATGAACAAATGACCGTTGCCGTTCAGATTGTGCCGTACGCTGGATGTCCAACCCTCAGTCTCACACTTGAAGCGGAAGTACGGATACTTCAGTTTCAGCGCACGGTAGATCTGCTTCAAGGTCATTGGCGTGCCGGCTTCCGTCAGAGCATCAAATATGAGAACGGCGTAATTGTATGGGGGCTTTGCCAGATCCTCAGTATTGTAAGCAGACTCTGGAGGATAATTGGGAGATGGTGACCGTGATGGTTTGCGCTTTTTGACCGGTGGGGGTTTGACATATTCTTGCGCAGGCTCTACAGACACCTTGCCTTCCGTTGAGGGAAGAGGAGACTCCATTGGTGTACCATCCGGCTTCTTTCTCTTGGTGTACTTCCGCTTCTCGGATGGTTTTGGTGACTCGGGAACGACAGATTCTTTGGCAACTGTCTTCCCAGCCTTGGGCACTTTAGGTGGAGGTGGTGTGATACCTCCGTTGGCCTCACGCTTGGCAGCATTTTTCTGCTCCCGGGCAAGCTCAGCTCGCTCGCGCTTGGACATAATCCCATCTTTAGGAGGGCGTCCTGGTCCCCGCCGGCGTGTCGGCTGTGAATCGTTATCCCCATTTTCGATAGAATCCATCGCTTGGGACGATTTGGAATCCCTGGTCTTCAGGACGATCTTCTTTGAAGGTTCTCTGCTCTCGCCGCTATCGCTTCCAAGTCTGTCAGACTCATCGTCTTCGTCATCCACTTCAATCGAAGCCCGAGCATCTTGCTCTTCCTCCTCTTCTTCCTTTTCTGCCAATTTTTCTTCCATCCGGTCCGCTCCAGTTTCGCCAATTGGGACGTCTGGTAGCAAAAATCGGATGCGCACGCCTCCAATTTGGATGTAATCACCGCTGTGTAACGGGCGAACTTGCCCCGGCGATAGCCAATCAGCCCCAATGAATGCTCCGTTACGTCCCATTACTTCCATTTCGAACAAATTCCGATCAAAGTTGTATGAGATCCGGACATGCCTCCGAGAAATCCCTCGATGGCCTGCGGCACTGCCGTCAACGGTCGTTGGGGGGTGAATTGGGATAGTGGGACAAGAATCAGGGGATGGGAGCAAAGCCAGCGCATCAACGGGCTTTGCGTCTCCGTTTCCATCTTGCAAAGACTGCATTGCGAGCGCATTGTAGTCGGTTGTCGATTGTAGTTGAGCCGGGTTTGCATGTAATGGTATAACAGCTTCGTCAAAAGAGGATCTTGAGGATCGTCGGCTCATGTTCATATTGTTCGGGAGATGCGGAGGTACATCTGGATCAAAGCCCATGATACCTCCCCGATCACTGACGACACTGCCCATCATAGCAGCGCTTTCCTCTCGCTTCATACGGTTCGGGGTGTGTGATGTATTTCCTCCACTTGAACTCTTTGCCCGAGTGCTTCGTACGGCCTGCCGGTACTGGAACTCTCGGTGGTGCGCAGCGCGGGCAGCGCGCACGTCTCGTCCTAGGATAAATGAGTAGGTATTGACGTAAAAATGCCCATCATCGAACTCCAATTTGGCAAATGCTTGGATCTTAGGTTCCGATCCAGCGATTGAGGCCGCCATATCTTGATATCCCAGGGCTGACAGGTCGGCATTTTGCGAAAGAAAGGCAGCTGTGAGCATCTCATTTTGGTGGAGGGCTTCAAACGCATTTTTGGGGGCCGCGGAAAAATCCAAGGGTGGAAGGAGCGAGGGCTGCTCTGGGTTCAATTTCGGGTTCATGGGGTCTGACAAGGTCTCCATGGCATCGGTTGAGTTGAATTCTGTATGGTTCATATCCTGGTGCGCGGAATTTCCCTGCTCATCACCTAAAGCTTTTCCATTCAGCAAGTCCTGAATCTCACGGGATATCGAGGTTGTGTCTCGGTGCAAGCTCGGGTCGATGGGCGTGGGGTTCTGGGCAGCCATGTCGAATGGCTGGGAGATTGAGTCGTCCATCTTGATATCTATGTGAGTATCCTGGTGCTCCTCCTGTTTTGCAGGTTGTACCATGGTAGTGGAGTTTGCGGCTGATTGGTTGCCGAGGAGCTGTGCGAGGAGCGCACTTGCGGCGCTTTGCGTATTTACATCTTGTTGATGTTGCGCAGCTGAAAAGTCGTGGCTGTCCGAGCATTCGGTTTTTATTGCGACGTCCGGGGCGGGCATTCCGTTGGGAGTTGACGGGGCAGAATTATTCTGCATGGCGCGGATTGCGGAGTCGTCTCGAGGATTGGAAGGGGGTGTGGTGTCTGGTGAGCAGCCATAGTCGTATAGGGGGCTATCGGGGCCTGGGTCAGGCGGTCGATGGCCCACGGCTGGCGCAGTCATGGTCTGCGACGACATGACAGGCTGTTGCTGAGGAAGGGAGAGGAATGAAGTTCCTATAAGAAGGGAAGTTCTCAACTTGGAACCGGGCGGTGAGCGATGGCCGAGTTGGTGGCTGCAGATAGCCGTAGTCACCGCAGAGCCATGTTTTTTTTTTTCCTTTTTTCCTTATTTTTCTTCGGCTCTCGAAATGGCGATTTGACTTGCAGAATCACCAACAAGTATGAATCTGGAAAGGTTTACGGTTGGAGGGATGGAGAGAAAAAGCGCCGATGATCCTCTTCCGGGACAAATTTTCATTCCCGCCCCGCCTAAATCCATATTCTCTCCGAATTGATCCACCTATATGGATTGCCCGCAGGTGGTTCTCACCGATTTTGTTGATCAAAAGAGCCTAGAACTATATAATGAATGTGGCAATTTATGATCCTATGCAATTGACCTCATTATACTCCTATAATCTCACATTTCCTCGGTCTTTTCTCTAGGGTGGAGTTGACCCCTCTAGTATGGCTTGCCTCCACGTTGAGATGAGGGGAAACCGTGCTAGTCGTAATAGGTACTTTAGGCAAATGCAATTTCTATCTTGTATCAAGTCCGTATATGCAAGGGTATACGATGTATAGTACTACACATTCTGGGGAAGCGGAGTATTACTTGACACGGGGTTAGGTGTCTGCGACAAACTTGGCAAAAAATGACAGAAAACTCAGTGTTTCTTCTGCTTCGCTCTTTTGCTGAGGCGTGCTTGGCGAATCTAAACGAGGAGTAGCATAAGGACCGGCCTGGCTGAGGCTGAGAGAGTTGGCAGAAACCTCAGCCGCTGAATGGTTGTCACGACTCTCATTGTGTCCCTCTGATATGACGCCAACCAAATTTTGATGGGTTGAAAGCGCATGTGAGATCCTGTGATTCAATCGTATCATATGCTCACAGGTAGAACCCGATTATAAAATCGGCACCGACATCCATGCTCCGTAGGGCTTGGCTGTTGATTTCTCCCGTCAGAGGACACGGCGAATCGATAGTGCTTGCGAGATTGTCAGGGTGCGAGAGTCGAATAAGTGGAAGTCTAAATCGATGGTTAACTAAGGGCTCTATATAAAACTAGCCGCAAAGAATAACTTAACTACAAGAAACATCACATGAAGATTCATCCACCACTGCCCCGTAGGTTTGAAGTTACGTTTGGAGTGACATGAGACGACAGAGCATCGGGCTCGTCAAAGCGAGCGACGTTCAGAAGAATATGTGTTTTGATAATCTCTTGTCGATCTATGTTGTAGTTGGTCTAGGACAATCATGAGTTAGGGCCGGAGGGTGGGATAAAAATAGAATGTGACGTCACCTTTCTGACAACACCCTACCTCTCCTTCTTCCACTTTTGAATGCTGGAAACCGTTGCAGCATGACAGTATTTTGCCCCTGAATAATTGGTGGGTTCGCTATAGAAAGAGTGTCTAGAATTAAGGTTAGCCGCAGACCTTGCCAAGAATAGCCGCAGCCTAAGGGGATCATTATTGGCTCAGATCCAAGACCCAAAATGATACGTAATCACTTAGCTTCTCTAGTTAACTATTAACTAACTAGTTAACTAACTAGCTTTTCTATTCTATAATCCTCTCCGACATCCAATCTGATATTATCGGTAGATAGAGGTCTATAGATACAAATTTTCCTAACTAGCCTATCCCGACTCCTGGACTTTTAAAACTCTTTGTAATTGGAGTTTTATACTAGATTATATAAAAGACTCCCGTCTTAACAGTTAGCTTACAATCACTTCACTAGCTTTACGTCGAAGCAGGAGTGAGTGTTACCTGCCAGATCTTTGTAGCAAAAGAGTGCATTGGAACGAGATTATTAAGTACAAGAAGAGACAGGAAAGAGAAGAGAGGGGAAACTCGGGGTATACAAAATCCTACCCATCTGGGAAGGAACGACCTGAGATAGTAATCTAACCCCCGGGCAAAGGTGTTTTAGTCCCTAAATGCTGGTTTTTCATCGTTAACCTGGTCATTAAGTATCCGGTCGTCCTCGTAGCTTCAATCTATTCCTGATCCGGTTTTTCTGAAACCCAAGAATGATCCTCTAGGTTTACAATTGGAAGTTATGTTACGATCCAACGTTTGCTTTGCTTTGCTTGTTTGCTTGTTTTCTAGATAGTTGAGCGAGATGATTCGAACCTTGCATTGTTTACAAAGCGGTCAGGACACAGCTATAAGAACTAGCTGTCTCCCACTTTGCAACTTGCTTCCTTCCTCTCTCTCCCTATCTTAGTTATTCTGAATTCAATGCACTCTTCTATCTTGCAAGACCTGGCACGTCACAAGTTCCATGGTTAGGAAATTGATGTTAAGTGTGGGAAAATGTATCAAGTGACCTCGCTTTGACATAGTTAATGAGAATAATTCTCTCCCACTATGGAGGTTCTGCCGGACCTTGTCCTCCGGATCCCGCCCGTCTTGGCTCACATATGACACATAAGAGCCTCACCCTCTAGTTACTTTAGGCTTCGATCCACCTTCCAATCGACTCTCCCACCCTCCCACCCACAGCACCCCAGCGCAGCTCGAATGACATCCTCGTTGCCCGGATTCCGCAAGGGCTTCGACCCTAGAACTATTATCACCCTTGATAAACCCCCCTCTTCCCGGTGGGAAATTCTTGAGAAGCTGAATGAGTATGACGATCAGGTATGACCCCTCTCATCCCATTACAGGGTCCTCGGGAATCTGAACGAGCATAATTGGTAGGTCACTGTGGAGGAAAATAAGGCATATGGCCTCCGTTCTTTCGCCGAAGCTAAATTTTTATGTTGTGATCCTCAACGCCGTGCAACGAAAACCTTTATGCGAGTCTACATTCAAGTTCCCCATCGAACAACTGAGATGGATGATGCGGACACCAGAGGCCAGCAAGCCATGTCATAGATCCCGCATGAATTAGCTTCCCTGCTCGATCTAACTGAAAAGGACTCAAATATCACACCAAAGCTCCTCGGATACAAGACCGGTACTCAGGATCGCTCAGGGCTAGTTCCGGATGGGTTCATCATATGGCTTGCTTGGGAAATTGTTCCTGGGCTACGCCTTGGCGATAGTGATGGCGATGGTCCATTCTGGGGTCTTGAAAGCTCTGAAAGAAAGCAAATCCGTGAATCCCTTCTTAAGGCTCTTGCGTAAGTTCGATATTCCTTCTCTGTATATCACTGAATCTAATTATTATTAATGTTTTAGCAAGCTGAAGGAGTATGGGTGGTGCCCGAGCGTGGATAGGGCAAAAGGTCTAGTTTGGCACCGAGAGACTCAAACACTGTATGCGAACCACGTTATCTTAGCTTACTTATTTACTGATTGAATATAGCTACTTCATCGGTGGCTTCTGCGAGACCATGAAGGATAAGCCCATGCGTGTCGCCTGCCCAACGGTTCGCGACTTTTGAACTTGCTTTACCGGATGATCCAGTCAGCTGGGAAATGGAAGACTGGGATAAGGATACTTCACGCAGGAAATGGTAGCTAACGAGGAAGTAAATGTTCCGCTCAGCCTCACATTGATCTTTGCTTCTGAGCCCAGGGAAGAGAGGGTCGGTGCGGCAGTCGCGCGACGGAGGGTGAGAATCACCCGCTCTCACCTGGCTTCTCACTCACCCAGTCTCACCCGGACGGCAGCAACCCGACCTTCTGCCGCAGATAAACCACACACCGGTGAGTAAGTAGTTGGGTGGGAGTGCCTCGCTAGCTATGTTGTACAGACCATGACTAGGACGGACTTTGATTCGAGCCTCTTTCTCCAATGTCCGAGAAGCTGATCAATGAAATCCTCGAATGCAACCACGAGTTGTATACACAGCCCATATGCTGTAACTGTCGGCCATAATATCTGAGTCACTGCTAGCAGCCCCAACAGCAGCTTTGTTTGTAGGCACACCCGCTTTTGATCATGGAAGGAGTGTATTTGATTTCAGTGAGGTCAAAATCAGAATGAGATAGTTCCCATTGGCGCAACCAGGGTTGACAAAGCTAATATTCACGTCCGGGTTCTAGCTTCTGGATCCTGGGGGACAAGAACAGGCTGGCAGCTCATCACAAGTGGGTGGGTCCTGACCCCCGGGGGGGGGGGGAGAGAGGATCCCCAACGATCCCCAGAAACTAGGCTGGCCACCACGTGACAGTGGGTTTGATTGTAATAATCAAAGATCATATTTTCGCGATAAAAAAAAGCCAATCAGACCCTTTACATCTACCTCTTTCTATACCTTCACCTCACAAAGAACAAAGACCCAAATGGCCCCAAAACCCAAATCCAAAAAGCCCGACCCAAACCCGCAACCAAAAACCACAACCCCAAACTGGCCACCCCTCCGCCCACTCCTCCCGGCCACCGATCTAACCCTGACCCCCGTCCTCCCGGACCAAATCTACCTAATCCGCAATTTCCTCCCAGGCACCCTCTGCAAAACCTACACCTCATTCCTCGCCTCGCTACCACTAACCACAACACCGGGCGCGCCCAAGAAAGACGAGGCATTGCGCGTCAACGACCGGTTCCAGATCGACGATGCGCGGTTCGCGGAGATGTTGTGGAGCACGACGGCGCTGAAGGAGCTTGTCACGACGCGATTTGACGAAGACGAGTCCGACGAAGATGACGGTAGTCACTCGCCTGCTCTCGGTCTTGCTGAACGCGCGCGACAACTCTGGGGCGGGGAGCCGTTGGGGTTGAATCCTAATATTCGCATTTATCGATACTCTGCAGGACAGTTTTTCGGACAACATTGTAAGCTCTTTCTTCGTTCGTTTTTCGTGCTGCGAATTCCATTATGGAACCATACACATACATACATCCAAGCAAGCGAAAATTACACAACACTCGTTAATTAACCCAATCGCAGACGACGACGCCAACAATATAACCCTCCCCCCACCGAACTCACGCTCAAAAGCAACACCCGCGCGCACGACCTGGACCCTCCTGATCTACCTGACGTCCTGTACAGGCGGTGAAACGATCTTCTACCCGGAGCCGACGCGCGCGAACCGTCATCCGGAGCCGATAGCTGTTGCGCCGGAGGTTGGGATGGCGCTGTTGCATCGACATGGTGATCATTGTATGATTCATGAGGGGGCTGAGGTTACTGGTGGGGAGAAGTGGGTTTTGAGGAGTGATTTGGTTGTTCCTAGGTGATTGCATTTTGGAGTGGCGAGGTTGTAGAGGTGTAGTATTTGTTAGGTGTGGTAGAATCGTAGTGGGCAGGTCCTACGCGATCTCGAATCCGTGGTGTTTGGTATATAGCATTGCATGGGAATTTTAGTTAGGGAATTAAACAGTTCTAGTCATTCTGTTGGATCATACTTAGTATTGGGTGCAATCGACTGGATAACACGGTAGCAAAAGGACAATATGAACAAGGACGACAGTAGGTCCCTGTCACAGCACGCATGAAAGAGACAGTTGTAGATACAAGTTAAATAGTCGTAAAGAGTGGAAAGTTTGCTGGGGAAAGGAGATGGGAGGAAACAATGAGAATGAAACAAAGAGTGAGATCATCAGTTATTGAATAGCAGGGTGACAGATGAGAGCTGGACCTCGCCAATGGATCTAATTCCCGGAAAGCCTCCAGATTCAATTTCATTTTATCTTATCAAATTGGTTTGGAAACAGGAGACTTCTCCCCGTCCAGTTCATACTCGGCTCCTCTCATCATCCCCTCCACAGGGCCGAGAAGCCGCTTGAATCCGTCCCGGCCCAACCGTGCCACCTTCACATCCGTTTTAGTGGTGATGCTCGCCTGGCGGGGCTTGTCGTCCAGCAAGGCAAGCTCACCAAAGTAATCACCTCGGTGATAGCTCTTGACGGGCCCAGAGACACCGTTCTTGGTAGCCTCGGCTTCGCCCGACTCCAGAAGATAGAATGCATCTCCGGGATCGCCTTCGTGGATGATGATGGAATTAGCCGGATACTTGATAGTATCCAGAGCATCGGCGATCTTCGAGCGCTCGTATGGCTTCAGAGAAGAAAGCAGCGGGACTTCCTCCAGAAAAGCCTCGTACATACGACGGCGTTGGAATGCAGAGTCCATTAAGATGCGGCGGAATGTGACGCGATCTAGAGCCCACAAAGTGCTCTGCGGCTCAGTGGAGATCACTGTCGCAGCACGCGGGGCATTGTACATCAGAGCCAACTCGCCGAAAGATCCTCCGGGTCCAGTGCTGGCGACCTTGTTGCCCAAGCCATCAGGACCAGGCTGCACGGCACCAGAAGGATTGATATAGACGTCGAAATTTCCCTTCTCCACGATGTAGAAGTAATCCCCGGCGTCGCCTTGGGAGATGACCTTGATATCCTTCGCCGGAATGGGCTTCTCCACCAGAGCATTGAGCACGGTCGAGAATGAATCATCGTCGAGGTGGGAGAAAAGGAAGTTGCTACTGACGGCGCTCTTGAGCCGGGAGGCCTGCTCTTCGGTCTTTGGGTGGTGAGGAGGCGACCAACTATCTGAACCCGCTTCAGTAGGGTTTAAAGATTCCGCTGAGACCGATGTCCGACGACCAAGCGCGTAGTTGGTAGGGAATCCTTGCTGTGCGGATCGTTCCGGGAGAGGGGCAAGCTCCCCCTCCTCCTCGTCATCCTCCCCCGCATTATCCTGGAAGGGACTCCGGCTGAACAACGATCTACCCACTTGTAATCCTTGTGATCCTCCTTCAGCGAATGCACTACCTCCAAACAAAGCGGCGCTCGGCAGCGCAGCACCCGAATTAGGCTGTCGGAAGGTCAGGTTGGTTGGTGACGTCACCTCGAAGCCGTCGTCCTCGGAATTTTTTTGGTTGCCAGCAGAATTGTCGTCAACTCTAGTGTTGACGGCCGGGGCCAAATCCGGAGCAGAGTTTAGAGCCATGAGGGCGTTGGATTGAGGGCCGGAGAGGCCGCAACTCCGGGGTTGAAGCTGAGAGAGAGGGACGGGCGAAACAGAGATGAGATCTGTGGAAATTAGAAAGGAATGAATTAAATAGGGGAGAATGAATGGGATGAAAATGTAGGTAATGCAGATTGTAGAGGAGAGGAGGAGAGGTAGAAAAGGTAGAGAGTAGGAAGCAACGGAGGGGCAGACAGTGGGGGATTATTGGTTGGAGTCTAATTGTAGGAATACTGCATGACCTCGTCCCTCTCCTTTTTTTTCTCTCCTTTTCTTTTCTCTCTCCTTTCCGTTCTGCTTTCTTTTTTCTTTCTTTCTGTCTCGGGAAAATAAAATGGAATATTGCAGGGAAAAAGAAGGAGAAAGAAAAAGCAAAAGCAAGTCAAGCCAACAACAAGCGAAACTGAAATTACCTTCTAAAAGCAAGCTCAGCTTTACTTATAACAAGCGAGTCAGTTTGGAAGACAAAGGGGGAAGACGTGGAAAGATGAGGGGTACACACTAAAGTTGGTCTGAGCTTCGTCGATCATTGGATGTGCTTCACCTTTCACGCACTGTGCTATGTACTCCATGTTGTACATATTTATGGAGTAATGGTGATCGACATCCATTCCTATACTAAGATGTGGGATACTAGGTAGTATAAGATTTAATTTAAGCCCCCGTCTGAGCGTCTTCTACACGTCTTCTAGAATGGCATGCTCGCCACTAAAGTGGCAATTTCGGGAACCTTGGAAGTATCACCACGTCACACATGTCATGGACTCGTGTTCAAATGTCACCTTATAGAACGGGATAAAAATACCTGAACGGCAAAATCAAGGAAAGTGTCAAGAGTACAGACGTTTCATGTTCTGGTGGGGAACGAGAATGGATATCATATAATCCACGGTCTTCGCTCAATAATTGTAGAAGCATCCAGCATACCTCTATCTAGCTATAGCTTCAAATACGGAACCTTGACAGTATGGAGTACTCCGTTCTCCGTTGATAACCTAAAGCTCTCTCCATGGCGTCATATAAACGAGAAAGTCTAGATCGGGCGCATAGACCCAGCCACAGCCACGGTTCACCCCCAGCCCCCTTATATTGGCGATTGGCCATGTCGATGTGCATGCGAAGTCTGAATTATAGAGCGCTAAGTACTGTCCAGGGCCAGGTACTGGTCTGTGTCACCCCCCACCGATTCGAATAATTTACTTGGGCCTTTTTCCCTATCTTCCCCAAACTATCTTTTCATTTTTCTCTTCACGTTCTGTGTCAGAATCAATATGGGTACCTTTACATTTCACTGGTGAGTCGCGCTTCTAGCATGTCCCATTCTAGAGATTTCCATTTCGAAATCTCTCCTCCTCGTACAATGCTGAGACGGTTACTTGCAGGCCTTACAATGCGAGCGAGGTGTTCGTTACAGGCACTTTCGACGATTGGGGTAAGACGGTGAAACTGGACCGAGTCGGCGACAGCTTTGTCAAGGAAGTGACTACACTGCCTGTACAAAAAGTCCAATACAAGGTATGGCCTTTCCTTTTTTTTTCTTCTCTCGCACACTTTCGCCTTTGCCTTGCCCTCGTAGATTGGATGGCGGTGAGCATTTACAATGACGTCACCTGGGCCGCTTTTCCCCCCCCCCCCATTTATAAGGTCGCCAGTTCCCGGAATCCCCAAAGTCCCAAACATTTTAAGATTGCCTGATTCCCCGCTGACTCAAAAATTCAAAAGTTTGTCGTCGACGGGATTTGGACTACAGACCCCAAAGCACGTGAAGAACAAGACGGGCATAACAACGTCAACAACGTGCTGCTGCCTGAAGAAATTAAGGCTTCCGACTCCGCCCCCACTATGTCTGGCGTGACCCCTTACTCTACAACCGCGGCACTCGCTGCCAACGTTCCCAAGGAGCCCAATGGGGATCTCCCTGGTAGCTTCCCAGAAACTCCGGGACAGGAATCCGAACAGACCTTTTCCGTGGATCCCATTCCAGCTTCGGGAGGTTATGGTAACCCCGTTACCCTGAAGCCGGGCGAGGAAGTCCCCCGCCAGAGCACATTCAACAACAATACCGTTGGCTCAACTGTCACTTTGGACAAAGAATCATATGACAAGGGTCAAACTCTACCTGTTGACGGCTACCAAGCAAACAACACCAGCCCTGAGACTTTCGCATTTGCCCCTTTTACTCTCCCCCCAATCACGAACAATATGATTCCTGAATCCAGTCTTCCGATCGGTGGACCCTCTCAGTCGTACACCGGAGGTCCAGCGCAGCAGGCAGCGCTAGCCGATCCGGAATACTTCATCCAGTCCAGTGGCCCCACCTCGACCACAGCGGAACTCGCTGCTGGCGTGCCGCTGGAGTCAAAGGGCAAGGCCAACGCCAACAAGCCCGTTGATGAGGTCCCCCGGGTGGTGAAAGACTCAATTGCCGAGGCTCACAAGGACCCTGAGGCGACTGCGTACCAAGAAGCAGTCGACGAGAAGTACGCTACCGAGAACGAGCTTCACAAGAAGTACCCCGTTGAAAACTCCGCAGGGAGGTTCGTTCAACCCGTTGACGAGGTTCCTCGGGTTGTGAAGGACTCGATGGCCGAAGGTTATAAGGACCCAGAAGCGGCTGCAAACCTGAAAGCAGTCGACGAGAAATATGCCACCGAGAAGGAACTGCAAGAGAAGTTCCCTGTCGAGGACTCTGCGGGTAGACAGGCCAACGGTCACTACCCTATCCCTCGGGCAGTGAAGGACTCGATATCCGAGGCTCACACAAACCCGGAGGCGACTACGAACCAGGAGGCACTTGCTGAGAAGTATGCTACCGAGAAGGAGCTACAGCAGAAATTCCCTATTGAAGAGTCTGCGGGAAGGTTCGTTCAGCCTGTTGAGGAGGTCCCTCAGGTCGTGAAGGACTCGATGGCCGAAGGTTACAAGGACCCCGAGGCGGCTGCAAACCTGAAAGCAGTCGACGAAAAGTCTGCTACCGAGAAGGAACTGCAAGAGAAGTTCCCCGTTGAAGATTCCGCGGGCAGACAGATCGACGGTCACTACCCTGTCCCTCGGGCAGTGAAGGACTCGATAGCCGAGGCTCATAAGGACCCGGAGGCGACTACGAACCAGGAGGCACTTGCTGAGAAGTATGCTACCGAGAAGGAGCTACAGCAGAAGTACCCTGTTGAAGAGTCTGCGGGTAGATATAATAAGCCCGTTGACGAGGTCCCTCAGGTGGTGAAGGACTCGATGGCCGAGGCTTTCAGGGACCCAGAAGCGGCTGCCAACCAAGAAGCAGTTGACGAGAAGTATGCTACCGAGAAGGAACTGCACAAGAAGATCCGTGTTGAAGAGTCTGCGGGTGCACCGGCGCCTACTGTCACTGCGGCCACCCAGGCCATTGCGCCCCATGTCACTGCCAGTGGTGTGGACTCGTCAGATGTGTCGCCACTTTCCACACCTACGGCGAACCGCAGCTTTACTGCTGCTACCCCATCTTCAGCGCTGAAGACCACCGAGTCCAGTGGGCCGACTGTCACAACTGGCCCCGAGACTACTTCTACTGCCGAAACCTCGACTGCCGGAACCACGGCTGCCGCGACTGCGGATCCCGCAGGTCCCACTGTGACGACGGGAGTTGCATCTGCTCAGGCACCTACCAGCTCGACCGCAGAGCCGGCAGATCCCGCTGCGACCACTGGAGCTGGATCTACCCAGTCTCCTGCTACTTCTTCCAAGCCCGCTTCGCCGTCTCGCAGAAAATCCCACAGCACGGAAGGTGCTGCTTCTACTATTGGTGACAAGAAGAAGAAGCACCGCCTGAGTGGCTTTTTCGACAAGATCAAGGAGAAGCTTAAATAAATGACTCGGAAATGTCCAATTTTCGACCTTGGGATCCGTTCTATGATTCTATCATCTTGGGCGGTATAGTCTTGGCTGTGAAAGCCGACCGATATCGCATGCTTTTTCTCTGATGCCTTACGTTCTTTGCTTCTGGATACCTCTCCTGCCCTGTTTTACTGCATTGTATTTCTGCAAGCCGCTTTTTGTTTATGACTCGGCTAGTAATTATCGTCTAATCGAAGTACCTTGCTTGATGTGTTGATTGTTTATATCGTACTTTATGTCTTGTACTTATATCTAAGCCGAAATCGGACCAAAGTCTTGCGTAATATGTTGTACAGAACTCGGAGTATAAGCATGTTGATTCGACATGGATCATGAAACATGAGGTTAAAGACCCAATCAGAATAGAACCTGAGAACTAAGAAAGTCGAATGTACAATTCTCCACGTATAACCCTTGGGATTGCCCTTGTCATGAGTGGGGAGAAGGTCATTCCCTAATTCCGCTCTTCTCCACCTTTCCCCGACTTTGGGGACTTCCAATCTTCTTTCCCTTCTCCTCCCTTCTTCTCTGCATTGTACAAGCGACCTTGGTCTTGGGGGTATCTACACCACCGCGAGCACAATATGGCTACCCCCACATTGTCCGCCATGATCGACCCGACAAAGCAGGCCGAATACCCAATTGTGCTAGGGGAAAGGCTTGCTCGAAACCCAAACACGAGCCGGCTGATCAACGTTAACTACAACCACAAATCCAAGTCCGCCACCTCACAGCAACGTTCGGTCATCACCCACTCCCGATCGGCCGACCTCTATGACCTCGCCGTGACTGATAAGGCCCCGAACGCCGATCAAACGTTGACCTATTCATACAAAGGCAGCGAGGACCCGTCGGGCGAGCGAAGCCTGGTACTCATCTTTGACCCGGAGCGGAAAGTCTTTGTTCTGGAGCCGGTCTCGACAACCTTGAACTTTAATCTACGGTCGGCACCAGGAAAGACGGAAAAGCAGGTCCGCGAGCAATACGAACAACTACAGATAAAGGAAGAAGATGAACCAGCGAACCCGGTAGAAGACCGGCACGGGGGAAGCGCCAGCGAGGATGAGGGGCCGGCCGACGACAGCAATCCCTATGACTTCCGACATTTCCTCCCGAAGAATCGCCGCGAGGATGACAAGCCGCCCTCGGGCTACAGCACCCCGGAACTTGTCACCAGCCGGGCCAGCACACCGTTAATGCCGGCTGCCAGATCCGCGCCGAGACCCGCACCTCGACCCACAACGCAAGCAAACCCCCTACGACAGAAGAGACCGCCAGCAAAAGCACCCGCCAAAACATACAAGTCAAGCGAGCCGGTCATTTATCCCGACCCGTCTGAGCACGGGGACTCGCGCTCGTCGCCGTCCGATGCAGGCACCGGGTCACAACAAGCTGGGCAGTCTCCTGGCTCGAATATCATTGTCGATGGAGATCTCATTATTGATATGGGATCTCCACCTCCGCGTCCGCTCGTGGACCGGACTTACTTCTCGTCGAATAATACACCGGCAGATGACGATGGCGACGAAGACGTTGGGGAGTTTAGTCTGCCCTCCCCGGTCGGCAATACAGCTCCACTTTCCTCAGGGCACACAGACACGGCTGCTCAAGAGGACGAAATGGAAGATGATGATGCTTTGGCGGCAGAGATGGAAGCCGCCTTTGAGCAAAGTGCTCGTGAAGAGGAGGCTCGGAACAACCAGTACAGTCAGCCAACGACCAGGCAATATATCCCCAGTGATGATGAGAGCGAGGTCAGCGAGGAGGAGTAAATGTTTGGCTTTCTTGTTTATTGCATCTACCAGCGTGGCGCCAGGACGGACTTTGATTCCAACGTACTAGATACCAATTGTAATTGTAGTATATTTGACCTTTCCACTAGATCAGAATCGCTGTTCTATTTAGTGCATTGTTCTACGCATCTTCGCATCTTCCAACTCATGACATACCAAAGTTCATTGGCTTCATCCCCCTATCCAGGAGGGCAACACAAAGATCGTTGTTTTTCCATTCACTAGTAATTTGGGGGTGTGCAAATAGTAATTCTCCTATAAAGTGTGCATTGTCATCTCTTACATCGGATAAATAGTTCCTTCGGATAAACCATTGTTCCGACCAAAAGCTTCCCTTGTCGACTGCGTCAATACGGAGATCTTTGCCGCTTTTTAAGTTACCTAGTAGTGCTCAATATCTCGGCAGCACTCTGTTGTTTATATTGCTTATATATTGGTTATCCCTGAATTCCCTTCTCCAATTCTCTGAACATCTCCCGCGGTGCACTATCATATCCGCGATGCGATAGAAAGCTCCGCCGAGCTAGCTTTGGCTTACGACTGTGACGTTTGTAACGATAACGACTATTGTGAACCACCCGCGCAAGCTGTTTCTTATCGCGCGCTGGATGCGCTTTGTCTCGGTCGCCATTGTGTGAAAAACCCCTCGATCTTATTCTCTTTCCCCTCTTCACACAGCGGCCAGCCATGGCTTCCTCAGCACCGAAGCGACGAATCCCCGGCCTGCCGAACCCGGTGTTGGAAGCGGAGCAGCAAAAATGGCTATTCACCGAGGAAGAATTCGACCGTACACCATCGCGCATTGATAAGATCGAGCGTGGGAAAGAGGACTACATCCGCCACCGTGCAGTCGACTTCATTTGGCAAGTGAGCGTGATGTTGAAGATGCCCCCGCAGACCTCAATGACCGCCACGGTGTACATGCATCGCTTCCTCATGCGCTATTCGTTGATGGGCCAATATCCGGAGATGGGGTCGGACTTGATGCACCCGAAGGTGATCGCTGCGGTGGCCCTGTTCGTCGCGTTCAAGGTCGACGAGGCCATGCGCCGCATGAAAGACTTTGTCATCGCATGCTGCCGGGTCGCCATGAAGCAGCCGAACCTGATTGTCGACGAGCAGTCCAAGGATTACTGGAAATGGCGAGACCTGATCCTGCAGAACGAGAGCGTCATGCTTGAATACCTCTGCTTTGACCTACAGGTCGAGTCCCCTTACCGCATTCTCTGGGACTACTCCATCTTCCTAGGCGTCAGCGACAACAGGACTTTGCGCCACTCCACCTACTCCTTTCTCAACGACTCCACCTACACCGTCCTCTGTCTCCAATTTCCACCCCGCGTCATCGCCGCCGCAGCCCTGTACGCCGCTGCCCGCCACTGCAAAGTCGCCTTCCCCGACGACGCCGAAGGCCGGCCCTGGTGGGAGCAGATCGACGTCCGCCTCGACGACCTCATCCGCGCCTGCACCTTCATTGTGAAGATCTACGAGCGAGTCCAGCAAAGCCTCAGCAAGGGCTTCCCGGATTTCGCACTTCCAGACTCAACCCCCCAACCTAACGACCCAACCCGCATCTTCGACACCGATCCCACAAAATCCGCCTCCGAGCAGCAATCCATCTCCACCCCTCCTACCCTCACCGTCACCTCAGACACGGCTTCAAACGGCCGCAAGCGCTCGCGCGAACCCGAACCTCACCCCACCACACAGTCACAACCACACCCACCCTCCCCAAAAAACAAACCCCCTTCAACCCTCACCCTTAACGGGAACGGGAACGGCGACCGCGATCGATCGCCCAAGCGCCAGCGGACCATCACTCCCTCCAATGAAGCCGTCCTCCCCACCCACCAAAAGCAAAACCCTCCCGCCCCCTCCAACTCGCGCGTCCCCGCGGCAGCATTATCTCAAACAAAAGCCACGCCTCAATTCAAATCCATGTCAGTCGCCGAAGGGAAACCGGAACCAGGACCGGGGTCCTCCTCAAAACCCCCTCCGAAAGAAGAGTCCAGCATTGACGTCGAAGAAGGCGAACTCCATGAAAAACAACATGTCGTTCCAGTCGCGCATCCCACTCCGGCGGATGTGGATTCTGATTCTCGGAGTAAACTAGACTCCCGGAAAGAGGAGAAAGAGGAGGGCGAGGCTGATGATGATGATCGTGCTGGGAGTGAAGAAGGCGAGATCTAGGAGTTTGGGCTTCTCAGGTCCTGTGGATATGATAGTGGGAGGATATCGACATCCACATTGTTTTTGCTTGTTTACCAACTTTGTACTTATGTCCTGTGTCCTGATTTATTAGGTGTAGACAAAATATCTTATGAATAGTTCTAGTTAATGTCAGAAGAAGACGTACGATTCAATCCTAGTTTCCAAGTCCAAGTCCATAGCCAGACCCAGGTCTATATATTCGTAGCTATGCTAAAAAAAAAAGGCACTAGCTACAGTCAACTATCTACCTTACTAAAGCGAATGATTACAGACAAACATCTTCAGTGTCGCGCGGGGAAAAAGAAAAAAAAAGAAAGAAAGGCCCAGCCGTGATTTGAACACGGGAATCTCCGCATTACAAGTGCGACGCGTTAACCACTGCGCTACTAGGCCTGCGGTGACTGATTATTTTGTATACCATTTGTTCTAGCCATTTTGTTTCTTTCCTCCCAGACAGAAAAAAAGAGAAGGCCCAGCCGTGAATCGAACACGGGAATCTCCGCATTACAAGTGCGACGCGTTAACCACTGCGCTACTAGGCCGGTCAAGGTTACTGAATTTTATTTTAGAGACGTTATAAACTAACCGCTGTTAACCCCGTTACGTTCACTATTGTAAATCTCTCTCTTATGTGAGGTGTACAATTATCAGCTGGACTGGGTCTACGTCTGTCATTCCGGGGGAACTTGGTGAATGGGATGCAGTGTTTGACGGTAACTGAAATCAAAAATATCAAGCAGCTTTGGACTACAACAATCTCAAACCAAATTTACCTGTTGATTACTAACAAACATTCCATCTTTTTTAGTTACTCAATGATCAAAAGCGGCAAGAGGTGAGCACCAAAGCAGAAAGGGGAGGTATTAACTATCCGGTACATATGACAGAGAACGTTTCATACACAGTTTCCGTTAATTGATTTTAAATTCAATGTGGTAGATATATTAATGAAGCCGCTTGGTAAATATCGGACTCCGCATCCTTCGTACCCAACAGGCAAATTTGGACGCAACAAAACGAACACAAAAATAAATAAACAGAACCAAGACAAACAAATAACAAAAAGCCAACTTTTGAATGTAGATCGGTTCGATCTCAAACGGGAATTGCAAGGTGCTCGTGATGAAAAGAGACAAGATCATCACTAGCCTCAGCCTGGCCGGACCCGAACGACTGCAAATTCCATTTCTCAACACCCTCCACGCCTTTCAGATCATTCGCAAATGTACTAAAGAGGTCACGATTAAGCCGTTCGTACTCGGAGTATTCCTTGGGCCAATTCCCAAGGCGTTCAACCGCAAGTTTGAGCATATGCAAATGCTGTCGGACATGCTTCCCTTCTTCCATGTTTTCGTCTGGACTGGAGGCGGACGAAGGGGATGAGATGCCCGAGATGACATCCATGTCCACATCGCTGGCAGGTGCCGAGGACGGGTCAATGAACACACGCAAGGCATTCTCGTGCAGCGCGGCTGCTTTGCGATAGTACTGGTAGGCCAGCTTACGCCGACTCTTCTGGGTTTGATAGCCTTGAGCCACGCTTGTATACATCTGTGATAGTAGAATAGTCATCTCGACCGTACTTGGATGTCGGGGTCCATGGACACGAGCACAGTTGTAGACAAGATCCTCCGCAAGCCGGACAGCTCCACTATAATCGCTGATGAGATAGCGGGTAATGACCAGCATGCGCCCGAGCGCAAGCGTATATGAATGCCGTGGTTGTGACAAAGCATAGGCGTCACGGCTATTCCAGAGGGAGGTGAGAACCCAGGCCATGGTGTGATAATCCTGTTGCTCATCTAGAACCTTGATCAAGCGATTGATGTGTTCCAGATCCAGGTGTGCGAGCTCAAAGTTGTGCTCCTTGAAATATTCGAGAGTATCACGAAGAATCGTCGCTGACACGCTTAGCATGTACTTATCGGCCGAGCCTGCTGGGTGTATGTCATTGTCTTGGCCGGCCAGGAGAAGGCCCAGCTTGAACACTAGCTTGAGTGTCGCATCGGACGAGTAGCCATGGTGAGCACCGATGTATTTCGTCGCTGCCAATGCGATGTGGCAGGCAGATTGGTAATCTTTGGAGCGAAGCAGCTGGTCTACGCGATTGTAACTGGCGATGGCCACTGAACGCATAAAGTCACGCGAGGAATGAGTGCTGAAATATTCCAGAACTGTCTCAATAAAAGCCTTAGCCTGGTTAGGGCCGATTTCCAGGTTGGAGCCCTCTGTCGCCAAGAAGAAGCTGGTATACCGATCTGCCACCTGAGTGGCAGTGGATGGACGGCCGCGATTAAGTAAGAAGCCATGCAGGCGGGCCGCGGTTTCCGCCGTGTCTTGAAGCTTGCCAGTCTTAGAGCTGAGGGTTTCCCGGAACTGTTCAAAGTATATATACTCCGTGGTGAGGGCGGCATATATTTCGTTCAAGGTAGTAGAGTTGTCCCCGCATTCCCGGATGCTATATTCGAACTGAGCAAGGAAAGCAAGGGTTGACCGCCCTTTTGAGCTCCGGTCAAAGCCGAGAGCATTCTCATCCTTGGTGTCCTTGGTAATAACATGACGATATATCTCGTTTGAGAGCTGCTCGGCCTTTTGAATTTGACCAGCTGCGATATAGCCAGATGCAATACTCTTGGCCGCCGCAATCAACTTGATAGAGAGCGTCTCGGTCGATAGCACTTGCATTGCTGCTTCCTGTAGCAGCGAAACAGCTGCCTGTGCCTTCCCTTGTTTAGTGTAGAGTGAGACTACCTCCCCCATCTGAGATA